GAATCATATGAACAAAATCCTCTTCTTATCCATACTGGAATTGGTGGGAATATTACTGATAATAAGATTAATATAACATCTGATAAGCATAAACACATATTATTATCTCTTTATAATTGCTTTTTGATAAACGGGGGTGGGTACTAAGTGGATGGATACCTTCTAGTTTAGTCTTTATTTATAACTGCTTTTTGCAGATGATTGGTTGAGGTGAGTGATATGCCTTCTCTACGAATCGGTTGTTGATTGTTAGTTAAAAGGTTTTGTTTTGTACTTGGTTGTGTTGTTAATTATTGAAATGAAAAAGAGTATAAAGATGATCATTAAAATTGCCTTCCTTCTCCTCCGTATAAACCGATAAAATCAAAGCAGAAAAAAGAAACTCTTACGAATGCACGTGATTTTAGTCGCGACTTATTTTACGACAATATCCTCTGTGGGGACCAACTGAAAAAAAAAAGATAGTTAGAAAAGATTATCAAATTTGCCATCAATCGAATTCTTCTTCTTGTTGATGTCAACCCTTCAATATGTCATCAATTACATTAAATATATCATATAAAGGATCTACCAAGAAGATCACAACTACAAAATCAACAACCATTTCTCAATTGACTTTAAATGTTCTTTCTAATTTTAAAATATCAAAAGATGATTATATTGGAATTTTAAATTATAATCAAAAATCACTTGATTCTTCATTACCAATACGTTTAACTCCTTTAATTAATAATTGTAAATTAACTTTAACTTTAAAGAAATTAGATATAAATAATCAAATTAATATTCGATTAATGCATCCTGAATTAGGAAATCAAATTAAATCATGTTCAATTGGAATTAATTTATTCGAAGTATTACAATTATTTCAAATTCAAAATTTAGAAAATAGTCAATTACGTATCTTAAATTCCTATTTTACTAATGATCAATATGATCTGACACGATTGGGTGATGTCATTGGTGATTCCCCAAGTGTGGTTATTCGATTTGAAATTATTAAACTGGCAAATGAAAAGGAAAAGATATTGAAACAACAGCAGGAATTAAATAGATTGCAATTAGAAGAGCAAAAGGAGAGACTTAGGAAACAAAGAGAGCAAGAAGAAGAAGCACAACAGCAGCAACAAATAGAAAAAGAACAAGAACAAGCGAGAATTGAACAACAAGATCAGATGGACATTGACCAAGAAAAGGAACAAGATGAAAAGTATCAACATGACGACTTGCCGATTGAGATCGATAAACCAGCAGTGGAATCTAACGAAGTTGATAAAGGTCTAGTCGATCAAGCCAACCAAGAAGAATATACATACACTGAACCTGAACTTCAAAAACAACCTCAATTATACATGCCAAATCCAAATACAAATCATTCCTCCCAAACTTATGAAAATCCGGATGAAGATTATCAAATGACAATTTCTCAAGCTAAAACTTATCATAATATTATTAAAAATACAATTGCTGGTAAAAATAAATCAAAATCTCCCATTAATGGACCCGATAAAACGCCAAAGAAATATTTGATTAGAATAAAATTCCCTGATAATTCAATTCTTCAAATAAATTATCTTGAAGATGTTTCAAGTATAAAATTTGGACAATTAATTAAGTCAATTGATGAGTTAATTTTACCTCAATATATTGATTTATATGATTTAAAATTAGGATATCCTCCTTTTACAAAATTAACTCAAACATTTAATGCCAATAATGAATTTCTTTATAATATGCCTGATTTTCAATCAAATGAAACAATCACATTAATTTGGCAATTAATTAAAAATGATTTAAATATAAATAAAGGTCCATTTGTTAAACAACAGAATGTAATAATTAAAACAAGTGAAGATTTACCAGAAAGAGTTTTAGAAAGAAAAAGAGGTGAATTACCTGATGATGAACCAAAAATTAAGAAATCACAAACTTCAAGTACAAAAAGTATTGGTAGTAGTACCACCTCCTCCTCATCCACGGGCTCCTCCAATTCTAAATCGATTTTACCAAAATGGTTTAAATTAAATAAGAAAAGTTCATAGATTTTAAAGTTAATAGATGTGTGATTTTTATATCTATATGTATGTTGTTGCGTTACCGGACCTGTAAAGGACTTCGGAAAACGGGTTCCTATACTTTATTTATTGTTCGCTCTTTTATATGTGCCAAATCCCGTTGAACCGATGCTTATTAATTTACCTTCCAATTGATCAATGATTTTCATTATAGAATACAATGGAGTTGCGCGTTTCACGTGAAATACCTCAAAACATCCAATCATCAATAGTAGGTGTATTGCGCGTTTGTTCTTGAATTTATTTTTCATTTAGTGAGAGATTATGCGGGAAATTATTAATAAGAAAACGCCTTATACAACTTATGTCAATCTGCTGGTTTAGACAAAAACCTTAAATGGGGGGGGGGTATACTCTTCTGATGCCTGAGATATTTCGTTGTCACTCCACCAGATGTGTTACTCTTGTAAAGTATATACAACACTATTAAGAAGACGTCGTATGACTCATTATTCTTATTCAATGTGTAAACAAGAAGAAAAAAAAATCGCTGTGATTCTCGTAAGAAAGAAACAAAAAAAATAAAACACATTTTAAAAAAATAATATTTGAAACATCCTGCATATAATTGGTATCTATCCAATGAAAAATAAGAATCTCATAAAACAATGTACTGAGATTTACTACGATAAAATATTTTTAAGTTTTTTTTATAAATGTCTAAATTGTATGTATTGGTTCGTATACAATATTAATTTGTCTAAGTAAATTCTATACTGATTAAATATTTTCAATTCTTTTCCAATTTTTAATTATAAAACTTCAACAAAATCCTCAACAGAAAAAATTTTTTACTTTTTTTTATTTCTTTCTCTTTCTTCTTCTTCTTCTTCTTCTTCTCTTCAGTTTAAACAACACCGACAACAAACAACAAACAACACAATTCTATATACTACTACTGCTACTACTACTACTACTATTAGTTAATTTACTTACTTATTATTTTCCTTCCATTATTATTTTAGCGTATCCATAGTTTTTCACCATGTGTGCTTAAATTTATTTTATTAAAATTATCCTTATATAAAATTTTAAAAAGAATTGTGTTTTATTATATTAATTAAAACCCATAAGTTGTTTATCAATCTTCCTCCTCCTCCCTTAAAAATGTTGTCATAAAGTTTAAAAGTTTCCCCCCGTCCATAATGACGTATTTGTTACAAATCAAAGATTATCCATAGAGTTAGCCCCCCATCCTCTCCTCCTGAATTATCAAAGTTTATTATTATTATTACTGTTTACTGTTTACTATTAAAGTTGTCCCCTAAATTAAAGAATATCGAAATGTCTGCTACTACTCCAATTATTTACACTGATTCATTATTTGAATCCCAGGATTTATTTGCTCCAGAACATTCAATGGTTCCTGTTGCTTCCCCAGCTAAACCAGAAGTTATCGAACGCGAATTGAATTCAGCATTAGCTGCACCTGCTCCAGTTACTGCTGTTGCTCCAGTCGCTTCTGCTGCTTCTCCATCACTCGCTGTTCATTCAAGTGTACTTGACCTGGTGTTTAGTGCTACTATGGATGAATTAGATCAAACTCCTATGTTTGATGAATTAGATTTCATTGTTGATGGTGCTAATGTCAATTCTAAAGATGATTGGGTTTCATTATTTGGTGCTGAAGATTTCTCCACCAATAATGAACCTTTACTTTCTTTAGATGATGATGTTAATGCTGCTATTGATGATGAAAATATTTTACCAAAAGATGATACATTATTGAATAATACATCTGATGCTACAATTTCAGCCTCAACCACATCCAATTCTTCTCCTGAAGTTTTTTCAACTGCTAGTGCCAGCTATGCTTCTCCACCAGCTACTACTATTTCTTGTTCATCCAAGAGAAAGTATGATGATGTTGAAAAGTCTTTTGAATTCCAATCTACTTCCACCAATACCCAAACTCAATTATTCACACCAAATCCTTCATCTACCTTGCCTACTCCATTGCTTGACGTTGGTCGTTCCAAGAAGAAAGCTAAGGTTGACCATTTGGGATGTGTTACTTACTCTAAAAAGCAAAGAGCACAACCATTGAAGCCAATCACTCTTGAATCTGATGACCCAATCACTTTGAAGCGTGCTAAGAATACCGAGGCTGCTAGAAGATCAAGAGCTCGTAAAATGGAAAGAATGTCTCAATTGGAAGACAAGGTTGAAGATTTGTTAAGTGATAAGAAGAGTTTGGAATTAGAAGTTGCTAGATTGAAAGAGTTGCTTTTGGCTAATGGTATACAGCCATGATTTTGTTTGTATTTGATTGTATATTTGTTTTGTTAATGTTTATAAAGTTTTAAATAAAAAAAAAAATGATTGTTTTTTGAATTCAAATTGTAAATTAGTTTTAGAAGTTTACGCGTGTAGTCAGTTTCTCTATATTCTTTATTTACAGCAGTTGCCGTATAATATTGTTCTTTCTCTGTACAACTAAAAAGGTTACAGTTCCATACTGCGAGATGCTTATCTTGTAATATGAGTCATGTAAATATTCCGCTTATTTTTCAACCAAACTTTGTAGTTTTTCGCAACCAAATTTAAATTATTTGTTGAAATTAATAATAAGTTGCTAATATTTGAGAAATTACTTAATTAAAAAGATGATACTTATTTATACCTCTCTTATAACGAAAAATAGTATCAGCAGTGAATTAATAGATCATTGCACTATTATTGATATGGCCCTGCGTGAATTATTTCCACCGAAAAGGAATGCTGCATGGTGCAAATGATATGCTGAACGGTTGCAAAATTTTCTTATATTTAAGCAGATCAAAGTAGCTCATCTTCAAAACAACCGAAGGTCGCATAAATAACAATATGACAATTAGCCCATTTCATAAAGATGCCCCTTCAAACTATTCATTGTATCGGGCCAACGATGAAAGATCCAAAGTAGTAAAAGAAATCATCACTACTGAAACTGAATATGTTAACTGCCTTAAAGATATAGTCAAATACCAGAAACTAGTCCAAGCTGGTTGCTTAATCACACCAGAGAAGATCATGGCTATTTTCATAAACATTAATGAACTTATCCAAATTCACCAGAGTTTCCTTTCCAGACTTACAACGACCAATGTAAATAACTATCTTTTGCATTTATCGAATATTTGCCTTATATTTCTGTAACTTATGAAGTCTGGGTGAGAGGACAACAGGGTTCACTTGAGACGATATATTGGAATGTTGAAGACTTAAAGAAATCTTCTACTTTCTTGGAACCTCGTTTTGAACTTCGTTCATATATCAATAAGCCCATGGAAAGATTAGTTGAGTATCCAAAGCTTTTGAGCCAACTTATGAAAGCTTCGCATAATGATCTTTCTTGCTTTAATGCGCTATCTAAAGCAAAAGATCAAACGGAAAACTTGGTCAGACACTTGTATAAATTACATCAACGTATTGAAGATACTCATACCCAGTGGCTAAAGATAAAGCCAAAAGTAATTTGGAATGGTATCGACAATATTCAAGGAGAATTATTACATTTCTCTAAAGTTTTAGCCACATTCGAGAATATAGGACAATATTTGGCATTGTTATTTGGGAAAAGTATAATCTTTTGTATTGAGGTTGACAGTAGGCAAAAGAATGGTTATTTAGACAAGAAATTGTATCACTTGAAATGGTTTGAACTATACTACGAAGCTAATATAGCTATACCCATTTCACAAATCTCGGAGCTAAACTCTTCCAATTGTACCGTTACGATTTTGGGAAAAGGGAGGCAAAGAGCCGATATCAGGTTTGAAAATGTAGAAACGTGTGATGAATGGGAGTGCTATCTACACTCTTTAACAAAGAACCTGCGACTGACGAATTCCATTTCTCAGAAAGATCTAGTTGGTAAGAGAATGTAACCAGACAGTAAGTACTTCTTTTCTCAGAAGGTTGTAAATCACACTTTACAGACTTACCTAGTTCTAACCATTATATATTGATTTAAGAATAAGACCAGTTATTTAAAAGGAAACCAAGCTGTAGTAGCTGCTTAGCTTTTACTCTAACTTTATTTAACGATAGCCATCTACCTATCCATACGAAGTTCAAAGCCCGTCTAAAAATAAGCTCTTAATATCAAACAATAATCCAACTGTTGGCAGTGTTGATATTGAGAAATTTCCAACAGGGATTTGCGGATTCAAGGAGTTTTTTTGAAACCAGCCCGGGATATAACCATCTACTGGCAACTTCCACAATTCTTTATTGCCAGAAAGGCTTCTTTTAGCAAATAGGTAATTATCCAATTTTCATTAAAGCGACAAGCAGATGTTAACACTTTTAAATCAGAATCAAGGAAATCTTCTTCATAAGTTTGTTTAATTCTCTTTTCAACTGGAACAAAGAAAAGATAAGGCATCTCTTTGGCTATTATATAACTCAAATATTGGATGTTTGTTAGTGGTGCATTGAACAAATTAGTCACACCATCTTGAATCAATCTTTTTGCAACCATCTCAATCAAATTTAGAAGATATTCAAATGCTTTTGCATGTTGTTCATTTCCTTCTTCTAGTCCTAGTAGTTTCATTACTTGGTATTGTTCGAAATGCATGTTTGATTGAATCACAAGTTGTGTCAATTTGGTATATGAAGCACTAGAATAACAATTAATGGCCCTGTCGTAGAATGAATCCAAGTCTGATGCGACAGGATTGGTAGCGGAACCCGTAAAGCCCATGTTGATAATAGTTCTTAATCTGAAATATAGAGAACTAAACCCTCATTTAGAGGGGCAATTGATTCTAAAGGTACTATATAAATTCTTTTATGATTCGTTTGTTTTTATTGTTAGGGTTTTATGGTTGTCCCCTCAACTTTAAAAATCAGAAGGGTTGCCAAACTTATTAGAAAACCCACAATTAGACATCAGCGTCATAGAGGGATAAATGCCGTCATACACAGCAAGCGAGGAACAAGTACAAGACTCGGATTGTTCGCATCAACGAGTTGAAGATACTCAAGTCACTTCAGACGCGTTTAAACGTGTTGCGAATCCTCAAGAACTATTCACTTTATACGCGACACGGAACTTTCAACGAATTCATACAATTAGGTTTCCTTCAAATGAAAGATTGAATCATATTATGAAGATTCGAATAGATAAAGTAGCCCATATCATGAAATTCAAAATAGAATTGAAAAATCAACTACAAGATGCTCAAATTAACTATGATAATTATCTGAAAATACCAGATTTTAATAATGCAGCACAAGATCTATTCGATATGTCCGATCTTAGTCCCAACAGTCAAATATTTATAACAGAGAGCGATTTTGCTGACTTTAAGCTGAAGACACTCGAAGAAATGACTTTGAATCAACAACATGATAAAGTAAGCTATCATCCTAATTATGATTCTATTGATCTCGAAAGTTTTGAAAGTTATATTGAAGATGTTTTGAAGCCTGCCTTCACAGGCGATCAAAATGAAATGTCTATTATTGCTCAATTAACATATTCACAGGTTTCGTGAAGTTGCTGGGCTAAATGAATTTGAAGGCAAAATGGCATTTAGCGCTACCACACAAATATGAATACCAAGAGATTTTCAATTTCTTTTGCATTTTCAATACTTTCCTTTAAAGAGAATGTTAAAAGGAGATATCATGGCCATGAAACTTAGGGGGTTCTTTTGGTGTAGAGTCTTTTTCTTTATATTACAATAAAGTGTTTAGTTATTAACTTAGTGAATAATATAACCTCCACCCACTTTTGATGTAGGGGTACACGTTTTATTCTCACCTTCAATTAAGAAAAAATAATTAATTAATTCAAAATCAAATCATTAATTTTCGCACCCATCGAGAATTAAAATGAGGCTATTTACAATTTTAACAATCTATAAACCACCACCCAAATTTTAAAAATCAAAAAACCACCACCCAAAAAAAAAAAAAAAAAAAGAAACCATTATTTCTCATCTAAGACATTTTCAGGTTTAAGCACAAACCCTACTATTATATAAAAGATCACATCTAATAATAAGCATGTCGTTTCAAGATGTTTTAAAAAGAGGTGACGACTTTCTTAGTGATTATCCTCGAACATCTAAACTATGGAATTATGCTTCTCATGCCACATGTCTTTTCATGATTTTGAATTCCAAGATTTTATTAAACACCTTATATAAACCAGAATTACACGATATAGAAAAGTTAGATTATGCTATGGCAAAAGCAAGAATGGAAAAGAGATCCCTATTAACTGTTATGAATCATATGTCTGTTGTTGATGATCCCGCATTTTATGCATCATTGCCTTGGAGGTATCATTTAGATATTGACACTATTAGATGGGGATTTGGGGCCCATAATGTATGTTTTTCAAATGTTTTCCAATCATGGTTCTTTAATCTTGGAAAGATTTTGGGAACAAAGAGATTTGGAGAGGGTCCATTTCAAGGATCTCTTGATGCAGCCATTAGAATTTTAAGTCCAGATGATACTTTAGATTTAGAATACACTCCAGGGGTTAAAGATGTCGAGAAGCCATTAGTCTTACAAAAAGTTAACAACTTCTTGAATCGCCCCAATTCAAAAGAAACAAGCAAATTAGTAAAATTTGTCAAACCTTCCCCAGAATCCACCAATGTATTAATGTCAAAATCTCCATTTATTCGTACTAAAACTTCTTGGTTCCATGTATTCCCTGAAGGGTTCGTTCTACAACTCAAAGAGCCTCATAGTAATTCAATGAGATATTTCAAATGGGGTGTTTCTAGATTGATATTAGAATCTACAAGAGCACCAGTTGTTGTTCCATTATTTTCCTTTGGATTCGAGAAAGTTGCACCTGAAGATGCAGCTGATGAAGGACTTCAAAGATGGTTACCTGCCAATTTTGGTGCCGAAATTCATGTTTGTGTGGGAGATATAATCCCGGATGCAAATATTGAGAAATATCGTGAAAAATGGAGATCATTAGTAAAGAAATATATCGATCCTAAAAATCCATTTGATTTATCAGAAGAATTAAAATATGGTGAAAAAGCTCAAAAGTTAAGATCTGAGTTAGCATCATATTTAAGAGGGGAAGTATTGAAGATTAGGGAATCATTAGGAATTTTTAATCCTGAAGATCCAAGATTCAAGGATCCTAAATATTGGAAAGAGTTTACATCATCTGAAGGATTAAGTGATCCTAATGTTAAATTCATTGGTAAGAATTGGGCTGTTAGAAGATTTCAATCTCATTTACCTGAATATAATCCAGATGATGAAAAAGATGAGAAAAGTTGAAGAAGTTATTTCCTGTTTTCCTTTTCTTGTTTTTGTATATAGACCCATTGTTATTTATTTCTAATCCCCTTGTATAATTCATATATAAGTAGCATATAAACGTTTTAATAGATGAACTTATAATTAATAGTTCTAATCTCCCATGGCATATCATATCTGGTTGAAATGAATTCCGCTGCGAAAAATGATAAATGAAAATTTTTCAGGATCCTCTTTTTTTTTCCATTGGGGATACAGTTTTCAATGAGGGTTCTATTTCTCTCTGTTTCTACAAGTGCTTGCATATAATTGACATTCCAATACCCATAATCAAATCTTATAAGAGATGCGGATTCCCTCTAGAATAGCTAGTCAGAATCTTGCGAGAATAATATATACCAATAGTGTGTCAACATTAAGAACAATCCCTCGAACCAATTCTTTATTGCCCATCGTATATCCAACAAGAAATATATCATCATTCACGAAGAAAATAAAGAAAGCTTTATTTGTAGATGAATCTATCAAGAAAGAAAATCCTGTTGTGAATCGATGTTACAACGAAATCAAAGAATATGTTGATAATGAACTGATGGATCCAAATCTAAAAGCGGAAATGATACAACAAAATATTGCATCATTATTACATGAAAATATGACTAGGAATGAATTTTTCAAAGTTCTTGATTTGGCAATCCTTCATCTTCAAGAGCTATCTAGAAATAATGATATAGAATTGTTACCGTTGGAATCTTCAACCATATTATTTGAAAAAGTATCAGATATGATTCTATCTGAACAAGAACAAGGTAGAAAACCTCATCTTCCAACCTTTATTCGTATTGTAATTAGTCACTTACTCAAAAATGTAAATAATTTGCCACATTCCACCTTGCTTGCTTTAGTTGATTTAGGATCTCAATTAGAAAGTTTCAAATTAGCCTTACAAAGTTTGGTGTTTGCCAAGGGTGAACAACTTCCAGAAAACTTCTCCACTTTACTAGTTGAATATTTTAAACGGAAAGGAAGGCTCTCCTTGGAAGTATTTGAGGAACTTGTCTTGCTCCTGGAACATGAACCAAAACTAGTTGATGAGGGAATAATTTCCAGTTTGAAGCTGTATATCGAAACTTTATATGAAGATGCAGCTCCAGAGACACATTGCTATATTGATTTAGAACGTAATATCGATAGAGTGCACATGCTAGTCACTAACTTAACCGAACAACTTTCATTGGAGAAAATCTCCATGAAGGCAGTCTTGATGTTATTTAGGTTGAATTATGAATTACTAGCAATCAACAACCACCAAGAATCTGAAAAACAACTTAACAGAATATTAGATTATTTAGTTGATCCACCTACAGACCAGAAATTTTCAGATGTCAACGACATAATATTTGAACAGAACTTGGATGATGAAGCATTAGCAGAGGCTCTCTTGGTATCAGCTTGGTCTTCTTTGAAGTATCATAGTTTGGCTCAATCTATAACGCTCTTTATTCTCGGTGATCTGATCAAGTTTTCTCCTGAATTACGTCTTCAAGCATGTGCATATCCAAAAATTCACGAAGATCTAACTGAAGTTCAAGCATTTGAAACTATGACTGAAATTATGGATACTTTCGAAAATGATATACTGGATAGATCTCATTGTTTTGATAGAATAATACAAGCAGCTCTGACTTCGCCAAGCATCGAACCCAATGGGAAATTTGTTGAATTACTAACTGGCTATTTTGCTGAAGAATATTTGATTGAACCTTCCAGAAAGTCCTTCAAATATCGAATCGACAGAGCATTACAACAAAATGAAGTTAGCGCGGCCGTGGATATTTATTCTGCAAGTATTGAAAATGGAAATACATGGACTGCAGAAGCCCAAGACCCAACTATATTTAAAACATTGAATGATTTAATAGTTGAAGTAACCAATGGTTCAGTGGAGGATGAAGAACATTGGGTAGCAATCTATCAATCTGTTAGTGCCCAAGCACAATCTCCGCTTAACGTAGAAGCGATTACTAATGTAGTAGCTGCCTATTTAAAGACGGATGCTATAGCCGAAGCAGATCAGTGTATGCACAAGAATTTGCCCGAAATTAATCGTGATACGATATACAGGTTGCCTAGTGACAAGCAATATGGTTACAAGTACCGAAAGCTTTTTGACGTTATCCATGATTTCATTATCACTTACAAGGGTAGACCGGAGAAAGCTTGGTATTTCTATGTCGCCTTGAATGAATTTTTCTTCCTTTCACATGAAACTATCTTACCAGCTTTGAAATTCTTTTGTGATAATGGTTTATTAAGTTCCGCTCTTACTATATTGAAAACTGTTGTGGAAAGATCGCAAATGCACGGAAAACATCCAAACTTGCCACCAACTCGTGAAATGTATATGTATTTACTTACTGAATTTGGTAATAAATTATACGAGCAAGGTGTTCTCGACATTCATGAAATTATCAAAATGGATGTTAATCTTCTAGAACTGGACATTGAACTTGAAAATTGTATCCTCAATGCTTATGCCAATTTACAAGATATCACCAGAGCCAGACGTTTGTTCCTTTCAATGAGTACAAAGCCAAAAGAAGCAGGTGGAATTAACGAAGAATCTGTGCAAATTATGGTCAAAGCCTATTCATACAATGATATTCATCATGTTCAAGATTTCTTTGAAGATTTGCCTCAATTTGGTGTGGTACCAAATTATGCCATTTACAGACAATATTTGATTGCTTATGTTTATCATGGGTTTGCTGAGAGAGCAATTGAAGTAGCTGAAGAAATGCCCAAGTATGATTTGGAGGTATCGGGAGATGCGTTGATTTGTATGTATAATTATTGTGCTTCCAAGCACGGACAGCAATTAATTGCTGATTGGGCAGAAAAGAAACATCCAAAAGAGTGGGCAAATGTGGTCGAGTCAGGGTTATTAATTGAATCATCTGGATATAGGGCCGATGAAAGTGTCATCGCAGCAAGTTCATCTGATGAAATCAAGTTGTTGAACGAGTAATCTCTAGTGTTATATAGAGTAGACTTCAAGAGACATAATTGAAGAGTGCTAGATACTGTAAATATATTTATTTTCACGTTTGAAAGTTCTAACCGGGTCATTCCAAGCCGTATTAGACTGTAATCATAACCGGCTGTAGATAACCATTAGTATTAGAGATACCTTCTAGGCAAATAAAACTAGGCAAAGATCTCGCTTGTTAATTACAGAAACAATGAAAGTATATTAAATGAAAATAAAAATAAGTCTATTCTCTAGTAAACTATTTAGGTAATGATTTCCAAAGTGTATAATCACTTGGCTCATTAAATAATACGCTCCTTAAAAGAGTAAACCAATAATAGTCTTAAAGTTGTTCAAGATATAGTTAATGGCAATCGATCTCAAACTAGAATTTGCCATAATTTTAGTCACTGTATTGGTAACTATGTCAGAATCATTGACAGCAGATATCAAGTCGTCTAAGGTAATAACCTTATCATTGACAATGGCAGTCACTAACTTAATTAAGAATTGTTGTCCATCTGTGGTTGTAATAAAATCCTCGAGTATAGAAACGGCCAAACCGGATTTTTGAAGTGACTCGCAAATTTGTTCCAAGTTGGAAACATCATTAACCAACGTAATAACAGTCTGAAGTATCTGGTTGTTGATCCCTTCAATTGAATTTTGAACCAGTTCAAAGAATCCAAGGACAGGTCCCGAAGAAGTACTTGTTGTCGAAGATGAAGAAGTTTGGGCATCATTTTGTGCACTTTTGGAAGCACTCAAGGCATCAGAGCTTAATGAATCTTCTGCAATAGATGTAGACTGTGTTTGTCCTGTGGTTCTAGAGATAACCTTTGTACTTGAAGTAACTTGGGGTTGTAATATGCTAATCGTTGGAAGTTGGATTTCCTCCTCTGGGGTACTTGAAGCAGCTATTGCAGTTGTTGACGACAGGGTTTGTCCGGTGGTACTGGACGTAACCGGCTGGGTCTGGCTTGTGGTTTGTCCTGTGGCTTGGCTGGATGAAGTCTGTCCAAAGCCAAGTTTTTGTCCAATATCATTTGCAATACCATCAATAAAATCAAAAACGCCTCTTTTGGTTAAGTCTCTTTTAGATATAAATGGAATTGAAATAACTTTCTGATTGATCAAAGTCTTGATAATTGTGATTAACCCTGGAACCATATTGTCATTCTCGAAGAAGGACATAACTATATCTACTGCCAAGTCTGATTGGTCTACAGCTGTTAATATCTTGGTCAATCCGGTAGCTGTAATATAATTCTCAATGAGATTAATAAGTTGTGGTTGAGTCAAAGGATTCGTAGCAAACCCATGGGCTAGCTTAACACCGACCCCACTTTTATTTAACTGGGTAAACGTTGTCGTAAGAAGCAAATTGTCTCTTTTGCTAAGAAGAGACATATCCATATTGTCAGCAAGCATATTGAGGAAAGCTTCTACATCTTTATCAATACCTTGAATGTCTCTTTCACCAACACTCAATGGTGTTGGTGCTGCAATGGCGAATGTTAACAAAAAGAACGTTAATAAGCTGTATAAATGTTTCATGGTTTGTTGTTGCAAAATCATCTGGTAAGATAAATTAATTTTTGAAGAGAAATCAGTTTACTTTTTATAATTTATCAAAACAAATAAACTGAAACGTTCCCTATCACTTCTTTCGGTAAAACACCTAAAAAGGGTACCTTACATATCACTGTTAATTGTTTAGCTACTTTACCACTTTGAGTTATTTGCAGAAAGATAACTTCCTAATTGGGAAGTGTTCCAAATTCTGGTTGCGGAAGGCTTTTGCTCCCCCAAAAAAATACCGATTGTTTGTCTAATGAGGAAATCTTTTATACGTTTCTTTCGTGGATCACAATAGAAAGAGAAATTCAGCACAAAGACATGTGAATGTTGAATTGATTTATATTAATCCCCTCCCCGAGAATCTAACTAGAAATTATCTAACATAATCATATTTGGTACCGGTAAGTTTTATACGGAACACTTTCAATTTAATCAAATAATTGGGTAAATTTGTAGTGTAAACATAAAATTCAGAATGAAAGACGTACCATATTCTCTGATAGAAAACAATTAAGAAAGAATCTAATCTGCTATACAGTAAGCATACAATAAAATTCTCGAATGATCATAAATGGATATAGAGTAGTCACTATAGAAAACAGAACGTAATCCTATAAAATTTTCATCATGCTTTCACTATACCCAGAGCCCTCATTTCATCATATAAAACCACTGACCTCAATAAGACTTGGAATCCATTGTGAACGTCTTCAGGACTAGAATATTCTTCTGGACTATGAGAAATTCCATTTTTGCAGGGAATAAAGATCATGGAGGTGGGAACTCTGGTACTAACAAAGCAAGAATCATGGCCGGCACCACTCGTAATTTCTCTGATTTCGTCATCCTTAAAAATTTGTCTAGCTGCAGCTTTGACTGTGTCAATGTTTGTTTGGTTAAATTTGATTGCTTTTGAAGTGGTTATATTTTCAAATTTGACCAGCAAGGGTTCTGCTGTTGGGGAATTGATATTGGCTTCTGCAAGTTGTTCAGCTTTTTCTTTGATTTCTTTAAGAATTACCTCTAAAACTTCATCTTCGACATGTCTACAATCTAAAGAAAATCTAACTTCACCTGGAATAACATTGACTGATCCTGGATCTAACTCTAATGTACCTACAGTAGCCAACCCGTTGTGCTTTGTTGCGACTTCTCTGGCCATCAACATTATTTGGGCAGCCGACATCAACGCATCAGATCTAACTTGCAGTGGGGTAGTACCTGAGTGGGATGATTTACCCTTCACGGTAACTAAGTTCCATTCGAAGGCTTGTCCTCCAACTACGACACCGATTTCCTTATTTTCTTTCTCTAAGATTGGGCCCTGTTCAATATGAATTTCAAAATGAGCAGCAATTGGATTTTCCAAATATGATGCCTTAACTTTACCGTCATATCCAATTCTTTTCAATTCATCGCCAAATGAAACCGGTTCCTTATCTAATGACATCAAATTCAAACATTCTTCCAATGGAATTTTTTTGGCCCAAGTTCCAGATGCGACCATTGACTTTGGGAACCTAGCACCTTCTTCATTTGTCCAATTGATCAACGCAATAGGATAATTTGGAACATAATTATTCTCCTTTAAAGTACGAAGGACTTCTAAACCAGATAATACACCTAAAATACCATCATATCTACCTCCACTAGGTTGGGTGTCTAAATGAGAACCAATAGCTGTTGGCAATCCTGGGTTCTTGCCTGGCAATATAGCAAAAATATTCCCAACTTGATCCACCTTAATTTCACAACCTAAAGATTCAGTTTCATCTACAAGCCAATCTCGAACACATTTATCTAAGTCTGATAAAGCCAACCTACAGACACCAGTTTCTGTTTCACCAGGACCCCATCTACCTTTGGCCCCCCATTTGGATGTTTCGTGTATGGTGGATAATAATCTCCCCTTTTTAATGACTAATGAGTCAACTGAAAATGTCATTTTTTGAATATAAATTGAAGTAAGTTTGTTAAATAATTTTGATTTAAACTCGACGTTTAATTTAAATAACATAGTTTATTTTCACATATGACATAATGGGATGTATTTATACTATTTATTTGAGATCTATGAGTATTTATGGGATAAGATAACATCCCCTATTATTTTCTTGTTTACAGCGGAAAAGTCCAAATCGGGGAAGGGATTCCGAGGACTGAAAAAAAATGCTGTAAAGAGTGGTTATGTTCGTTGATAAATTTGGTTAGTATCACAGAAACATAAACTTTAAAATCTGTTGATTGTAGTATGGGGTAAGGCAATTATCCGGATAGTGGTTTCCGCCCTTGTCTGAAAATAGCTTTCAATATATTTCAAGCATGTTGTTTTCTGGTTTAAAGAAGCGACTCTGACGCAATCATCAATACGATACTATTGAGCATAGAAACCTTGCCGTTCTTGAGATTCTCCAAACGAGTATCCTGATTCAACAGTTGGTTCCTTTTGTTTACAAAAGATTTCCGCTACAAGGCTAAATTCTGGCAACTTCACCCTTTCCTTTCGTATCTCATCTGTCATACCAATAGATGAAACTATTAATACTTTAGCGAAAAATTAGATTCGCATCTAACGTTTGCGGCAAAAAAATTCCGATCAATTGGGAATGTAAATTGCGCTTTTGCCATGAATTTCTGACAGCAGGTAAAATCTACTAACCCATGATGTTACAAAAGAATAATAGATAATTCTCTTTTACAGAATGAAAATGAACCTCCTCTTCGATAAACTACAAGAGAGCATAGTATTGGTCGAGTACAAGGGCATCCATCCTCGAAGATGTATCTTTCGCCTTCGGTAGATAAAAAATCACAATTGACTGATTTTATTATGGATATGTGTATGAGTCCCAAGTGATGTGGTTGTCTTTAAGCCTTACTCGGAGTAACTTCCAGGAACCTTTTTGCTTTGTTCCTATCTTAACATAGGAAGCTTTTCCATGATCATAAATAATTCATCTGCCTTCCGGGAAAGCAACCCACTTACGAAAAAAATGTGGTGGTGTCAGGTTTGTATAGTACAAGTATTTGTACGATGCTGCATTCGTACAAATCGTTCCGCTTTACGTATTGCCTGCCACACTTAATGCACAAATAGCTTTACGAAGCCAATCCGATTAAAATTACATTCTACTACTGAAACTTGCACTGTAAGTCATTATCAGAATACGATCGTAGGTGCTGTACTAAAAGAAAGAATGTAATTCATCTCTAATTTATCGAGTCATGTATTAGAATACTCACTGTAGCAGCTAAAGCATTGCCGGATTACCCAAATACACTCGAAAGGCTCATATTATATAGAGTTCAAGTCAGTGTGTTATTTTTATCGTCACATAATGGGCCATAATTGCAAGCAAAATATGCAAACAGCTTAGAAGCTTAATCTGACCAATATGCAGTAATTTGAACATTTTGCACGTCCTTCTCCTTCTCCTTTTTTTTTTATTTTTATTTTTTAGTTTTAATTTAAACACTTTTTTTTTATCGTCTGTAAAAATTATTTTTAATCTTTTTCTCTCTCTCTTTTGCCTTTTAAATAAAACTACCCAAACCCATTAAAGCAGAAGAAGAGGAAGTAGAATAAGAAGAAGCAAAAGAAGTCGTAGTTATTAGTGACAATACAAAGGGAGCATTAAAAAGACCATTCCAAAATTAGTCCCTCCCCTCCCCCCACACATTCGCTTGAACAAATTCAGTTTCACTTTTTAATCCCTTTTTTTTTTTTATCATTATTAAGAAGAATTTAATAGTTGATGGTTTAAACCCTTCACCCAACTACCACTTTATAAATTCATTAGCTTTTATATTAATATTGTTTTCCAACCAAGTCATTCGCTTTACAACTTTATAAGGACAATAAATCCTACTTACATTCGCTTAATATTTCATTTTACTTGGAATAAGAACTTTTTAACAAAAGCGCTTTATATCAGACTTTATTTTTAACTTCCCACGTTATTAATTGATTATGGGTATGAAACTTGAAAACATTCCTAAACATTTAGAATTGGATCTAAATACATCCCCACTTACTGACAGTACAAGCTTACTGTTCTTTGACATGAACGCAACCCTGGGATTCCTGACTAATACTCCGAACTTAAATTCCTTGGCATCCGGCCCTACTTCACAACTTAATGAATTCGATCCAGAATTTGTAGGGAATTATTTTCCAACTCCAATACCAGCATCTCAACCTCAATTTACTCATCTCCGAGCCAATCTGCAGCAAGAATTGCAAGAACAAATGATTTTACTCAATTCGACATCATCTCCAGTAACTTTTCAGAATGCCGCAGGGTTCCGAAGCAATCCAACTTTACCAGCATCACAATTTTCACCAATCACACCAATCCCTGGTACTTCAAATTTTGGTTTTTCAAATCATCCTATGGATGTGCCTGTTGGCTCAACAAATAACACTCAAACGTTTATGGATTATACCCCGTCAGCTTCAATGACACAAGTTATCTCACATGCTTCAAGTGAGGCCGCACCATTAGTGGGATTGGGTTTCAGAATTGACTCTGATTCCACTTATGAACAAGTTCAACAAGAATATTTACAACAAATGAGAGAGCAAGAGTACCATAAGTTGGTTATTGAAAAACAGAAGCAATTTCAAGCCATACAAGAACGATTTGTAGCACAACAGCAACAGCAACAACAACAACAGCAGCAGCAGCAGCAGCAACAACAGCAAATGCAACGAGTCAATAACATCAATCAGCACCACCAACAACTTCAGCAAGAAGCCATACCAGAGAATACGAGTCTAGCCCAGCAAGCGCAGACTATTCTACAATTGGGACAATCCATGGATGAAAGCAATATCAAACAAGAAAGTGTAGACTTGATCGTTGATTCTCCTGCTACCATTGATGCCTCCAGCAGCCCTGAATCGTCGATGTCAAAAGATGACTTAATTCACATGTCAACTACTATTGCAAACAATGATAGCTGCGTAGAAGATCTCTTGAACGTGGACCTTTTGAATGATTTGAATACCCCATCGGCGTTTTCGCACCAAGGTATATTATCAGAATTTGTTGACTTGGGCTGTGAGTCCTCAGGAAGTGATGCTGATCTATTGAAAACATCTCAAGAAATTAACGATGGTGCTCCAAGTTCAAGGGTCCAGAGACTAGGAAGTATATCAGAAGTGGGCTTGATGACTCCAGCGACTACAACTAGTGCTGCTGAGACTCCTCGATCTAATTCTAAAATACTTAAAAAGAAGCTAGGAAACAAGACAAAAAAGAGTTTAAAGAAATCATCATCTTTTTGTGGGAATACTGGAAGTCCTACGTTTATTATAAACTCGTTGCAATGGAATAAATCTCAAGGTGATTTCCATCTGAAACAAGAATCCAAATTAAAGAAACGATCATTCAGTGAAAGTTCTCAAATGATACCCGTTGTTTCTTTAACTAACTATTCATTCGTGTATGAAAATCCCGATAATATGGACGAATTATCACCAGACTCTGGTTTAACGGGAAAATCATCCACGTCACTGAATGTGAATATTTCTACACTTCAAAGAAATACTGTAAAGAGTTTGAAGGCTGGGTTAATTGAATTTAAGGTCGACTTGAAGAAGAAGTCGAGGAAGTAAGAATCGGACGAATATGTGGGTTTTTTTTTTAGTATTTTTCGATATGTGGCTGGCTACAGGAGCGAATTATTCGTGATATTGTATTATTAATAGATTTGTTTAAATAGATTGAGAGTCTGGATTAACTCTCTAGTTTATGTATTTTTTTTCTTTATATGTTGAACATAGCTTTGGTAAAGGTGAGTAATTTAGTTGATTTCTTGTATTTTAAGTGTCCCTTTACGAATACCATAATTTTCAAATAAATAAAAAAACGTATATTATAAATGCAATATAAAAATAAAGATGCTAGTAATATTAACCAGTGGATGAAAACAATTATTCAACAACAAAAATCCCTTAAATTTAAGGATTTAATTCTAATTTACATGGAAAACTGATAATCGTCGTCTTCATAAACTCAACCCAATTACAAATCCTTGTCTCTTGGAACGTAATCAGTTTCAAACACTGGTTGGTGTCTGAAGCGTCTTGTTAATGGTAATTGACCTTCCGTCTTATAAGCAACTATTGTTAATCCAACAGGGATAAGACCTGCGAATATAATGTTAAAAATAACAGATCTTGGCTTAAAACGGAAGTAATGACCTGCTTTTTCCCTGGCAGTGTTGTATCTTTGAAATTCTCTATCTGGATGTAATGTCCCTGCCATTATGTTTCTATTCTGCTATCAACTATATTGAAGTATATTGGAGTTAATATAGGACTTCAATTTAAACTGGTAAAGTTTTTTTTACAGCATATAATTGGTGAGGGTCACTATGCAGGATGAAAAATTCTAATCACGTGATACTCGATTTTGCAGATTACCAGAAAAACTGTAAATATCAAAATCAAAACAAACTCCCTATAGCAATACCAATTTCTTTCATAAAACTTCGAAGCAGGTTTAATGAACAATGTCAAACGAATCACTTGATGCAAGAACTATAGCCATACTTACTGAGCATTTTGGATATTCTCCAGTGACAATTATAAACGATGTTATCAATGCAGTGAATCAAATTATGTATCGAGGAACCAAAGCTTTTGAACGATATCTTTTCAGTAGGAAACAGGCAGCTTTAGAGAAACAACGACAGGAAGATGATTCTGGAAAGAATCCGCAAAGAGTAAATGTGTTTAGGGAAGTTCTGGACGATGATATTAGACTCGGTACTGCCAAATTGGAGAAGTTGCTTGAAAGTCAAGTTGATTTGAATTTTGATAAATTTGAACTTTATACACTTAGAAACATATTTAATATTCCTCGTGAGTTGGTCGATGGAGGATGGGTGAGGTTGAAGCATCATGAAGGTGTTGAATTTGGCTCTGAAATAGCTAGCAGGAAACCAGAGCTTCACTCACAATTAGTAGAATTGAAGGAACAAATTGAATTTGAAGCACATATTCAAACGGCGTTAAAGTTACAGTTGATAAAAGCAACAAAGATAGTTGAAACAATGCGATTACTAAAGTCGAATTTACGATTCTTGGCTACAACAAAGTTACCAGATGATAATGAAGAAGTAATTATTGCTAAAGAAAAACTTGCAAGCTTAAGTCCAATTGATGAAACCTTACATTATTTGATTAAACAAGTGAAGATACTAAATATAGAAATGGAAAATGTTTCCAAGAGAATAACGTATAATTTACATCATAAGAAGTTTTTGCCGGATGAAAGAGATATAATTCAAGATGGACGAGTAATTCAAATTCTTACTAAAGTTGGTATTCGCGATTATTCATCGAAGAATCAAAGCACAACCAGCCATGATCCAAAAGTGATTTTGCAAGATCTGCAACTAGATTTCCCGATGGATTTCAACCAAGTATCCAATCTGGATGCTGTACGGCGAATACTTGAGGAAATGGAATTAAGTCAAGAAGTAAGTCGAAACTAGTTGAAATATTATCTCTTGAAAGGGTTGCTTAGCTTTTGCATTATGCATTATTGGAGTCAGCTCCTTTTCCCATTCATCAGAAATGACGGTATATGGGGGCAAATTTTACACGTCTTTACACAGCAGGGGACCAAGGACCAAGTTCGCTTTCAAGAGAAGTAGCTATAGCCCCGTTGCTAATAGACGAATTGATTTGCATCAATGTTGGTTGTACTTAAGATGAGAGTGGTGTGGTAAATGCTATTCAAATCAACATCAAAGGATGATTGAAGAAACGATGTTCACGATTTGATTAGGCTAACGGAAATCAAAATCCTGGTAATTGTTTATAAACTGTTAGATATTGGAAACGATGTTCACGATTTGATTAGGCTAACGGAAATCAAAATCCCTGGTAATTGTTTATAAACTGTTAGATATTGGAAATGTCGTATTTTATAGAGAATAATGTAAGATTTGCATACTTTTGAAGGATTTAAATGTCCTGACATATTTTCTGCTACAGCTTCTACTACTTTAACTTCCATTGCCAAAGGTAAGACAATAGATAAAAAGATGTGTTAATTTTCTGTTGTTCAAAAAACTCAACATTTTGATTATTTGACATTATTGTAACCGTTAAGAACCCTTTATAATTAATTTGAATATGCCAAGACAACATAACACCTTCATCCAATTTCTTAAGAAGTTCGAAGGAAGGTCATAAAACCTCACACAAAATCCAAAAAGGGTAATCCAATTTACCGCGGTACAACAAATGAAATTTTTTTTTTTTTTTTTTGACTCTTTGAAATTTAAATTAAAAAAAATCAAACCATCCAAACACCAAACAAAAAATTAAACGTCATTTAAAAAAGAAAAATCAGATAAATCAATTTTTAACTTTCTTCTTTTTTCTTATTTAGAAGCATATTTATACGCTAGACGATAGCATAGACATAACTGACTCACAGATGTTTCTGCTGTATTTATATCACACCCTAACTAGCATAGGATCCAACGACGGAACCATTCCTTTGCGTGTTCAAATTAGTGGAGTCATGGGCTCTACTTCTCTCGCATGTTGGATCGTACTTTTAATGCCACAACTCATTGAACAATGGAGGTTAAAATCGGCTGAGGGGATAGCAATAGGGTTCATAAGCATTTGGTTCATGGGGGATGTTTTCAATTTAATAGGGGCTGTTTGGGCCGGGTTGTTACCGGAAGTCATTTTTCTTGCCATTTGGTTTTGCATTGCCGATTTCATGATGATATTTTCATATTTTTATTATACTCATATCTATAAAAGACATCATCATCATCGTCATGGTAATAAACGTTCCAGATCAAGAAGCTCATCAAGAAGGAGAAGAAGAACAAGTGGTAGCTTAGAACATGGAAGTCATAGTGATGGTGATGAAGGAATCGTAAATGAAGAAAGGCCATTATTGAGAAGAAGACGTAGTTCTACATTAACTGATATCGCTCTTGAACCTCAATATCATTCAATATTTGTTAAATACATATTACCAATTTTATTTGTTGTTGCTGCCGGAGTAGTTGGATTCTTTTTAGGAGGTGCCAATATGGGAGATGAAAATGATTCACCCGGTAGTGGTGATGATGGAGCCATTGCTTTAGGTCCACAAATCATGGGATATTGTAGTGCACTTCTATATCTTGGTGCTAGAATACCCCAAATCATTCAGAATTATCATAGAAAGAGTGTCCATGGATTAAGTTTATTATTCTTTTTGTTTTCAACATTAGGTAATTTAACATATGCTGGACAGATATTATTTTATAGATCAGATTCAAAATATATTTTATTGAATTTAAGTTGGTTATTAGGTTCATTAGGTACAATCTTTGAAGATAGTTTTATCTTTTTACAATTTTATATATATCGTGAAAATCATCATCAAGAAACAATTGTTGATTGATTGATTGATATAAAACATAATAATAATATACATTTCAAGTTTTTAGTTTAACTAATTAAATATACAAAACAAGAAAGATAAAAGTAAAATTCCTGTAATTAAGTTTTTCTCTATACATCCGTTTAATAATCGATACAATGTCCCTAGTCTTCTCTATTAACCTCATTGTATTACTATTCCCAATATTATTAATCATAATAATAATCATAATAAATAAATATGTTGTTGTTGATTTCTGTATTTCCTTTTTCTTCCCATTCCCAAAAATTCCGTTTCCCAAATTAAAAATTCTAAAAAAATTGTAAATACAAAAATAATTATCCTTTCTTTCTTTCTTTCTTTCTTGTTCGTTAAAACAAATTGTAATTTATCCCTTTTAAATTTGTAGGTTTCTATTTGTTGCTAATTTTTTTTGTTGATGTTTTTATCAATTTTTATGCTGCAAAAAAAATTCCAAAAAAATTTCAAACTGCAAAATATTCAAAACCTGGTTAGGTTGCTGTTGAAGAAACATGAAATACTTATAAATGCTTTTCAAATAAATCATCCTTCAACCATCCTACTTTTTCAAATGCAGCAAACAATCTTGAAGCTTTATTCACATCAATTCTACAAGCTTTTTGTGCATCAGTTCTTCTGAATTGTTTTCCAATCCTTAATCTAGCAACCTTTTCAAAAAATAATCGTCTCTTTGAATCCAAATATACTGCAACTGGTAACCTCAAAATGCTTGCCAATACAACTTCTGCGGGATGTAATTTCGATAAATTAGGATCTTGTGATAAATCCATTGGTTGTCCCTTCCATTCAATTTTCAAACATTTAGTATTATTAGGTGGTAATGTTTCATTTGGATCTGGCGAATAATCAGGTATAGATTCATCAATTAGCATTTGTTGTTGTAATGCAATTGAAGGTGATGCAGATGTATTTGGTCTTCTCTTCTTTTTAGGTGAGAAAGATGGAGATGGAGTTGAGAGTTCATCATCGGTATTTAAATCGTATTCTTTGGTTTTAATAATACGTCTGGTACGAACTCTCGATGATGATGATGCATCGTCACCACCACCGGAAATAACTGAGTTGTCATTATCCGATTCATAATTGAATCTTTTCCTATTGTATCTCCTCAATGGGAGGCTGATCTTGTTGCGCTCTTCGTTAATTATCAGAGAGTATTTGTCAATAAATGACAATTGATCCGACTTATAATGACTGTTGGTATATTTTGGTATGGCAATTGTTAATTTATAATCCTTAAAATTTTCCAATTTGAATTCATTTTTAGTAGGTAAATATGATTTTGTATTTGATAAGAGCACCGAAGGAGGGGCTGGTGCAGGTCCAGCGGTATTTAAAGGTACACTGCGTTGATAGGGCGACAATGGTGGTGATAATGGTGGTGCTACAGTAATTAATTCATTGCCTAGAAGTCCCTTTGGTTTATCAGCCGTAGAATTAGTTGTGGTAATTCTCTGTGCTTGTTGCTGTTGCTGCAGTTGTGGTTGCTCAGGCGTATACAAGTCTCTTTGGATCATTGTCTTTGTAAATGGTTGATATAACAATGACATCTTCTTTAACTATTCAATTCAATGATTTAATTAAAGGAATAAGAAAGAAAGTAAGTAAGAAAACAAAAATAATTAGAAATTAATGAGAATTCAACTTAATTATAAAAGAATCAGACAAAAAAAAATATGCTTATTTATTTCTTTTTTCTTATTTGCTTTTTTCTTTTATTAGTTTATTATTTTGCAATCAGTCATCTCTTTTTTTATTTTTTTTTTTTATTTATTTAAGAAATCATTATTTTTTATGCAGACATTTAAAAAAAACCTACAGAACAAAAAAAAAGTTAAATTTCTTTTGGTTATTGTTTCGAATCAAACATAAAAAAAAGTTATGTTTCAGATACTTGTTTTATCCTTCTATCATGTGCTAGCATCTTAGAGGATTATTGATTGCTTTTGAATGACCTCTATTTCAATAATTGGCACACAATTGAACGAGAGCAACAAAGAAAAACCTTGGAAAATATATTGGTCTACTCTTGCAATGTGTGTATCAGGCAAATATGAAATTGTCCGGCACAATGTGTTTCGCTTCTTAACGTTTCTTTTCTAAACTCATTTGCTTTAAAAAATATTATTTTTTTTAACTATTAAATTTTTATTCTCACATTTTTTTTTCTGATTTGCGGATTTATTCCACACTTTGAGAATTGTTTCCAGTGTGGTAAATGCAATTGAGTGGAGAGCACCAGTTTATTTGTTATTTGTTTTTTCTTCAAGTTGTCAATCGACGTCAGATGGAAGACTCCTTAAAAATGAATAATAAAAAAAAAGACTGACTGATTAGGTTTATGTGATCAGTTTTTTCTTAATATTTTCTTTTTTTTTTGTTTTTTTTTTTTGGTTATGGACGCTTATGGGGTACATTTTTTTCATCCAAAAAATTAATTATTTTTTTATCTTTTTTTTCTTTGATGGATTTGTATGTGTTTGATTTTGTGTCAATATCAGGTTTATAAATATGGCTATGAACTCAATTAAAATAGACAAGTACCATACACAGTCACTCAATCGTTCCGTTCATTGAATGCTTGAAAGGTGTTACAAACTCTCGTCAATTAAACACTTGAAACGAATAAACAACAGAATCCAAAAACTTTGATAAATTCGTATAGTAAAAGCAATTTATTCAAAGTAAAAATTCCCGACAGACATTAATTCCTTTTTTAAAAAAAATCTTATCGGTGGTACATTTCCTTATCAAGATACTTTTCCGAATTATATGGTTCTATATCCTAACGGATTTACTTAAACTTATTTCTGTTTATAACCTCATCCTGTATTGGTCAAAATAGGCAGTGTAGAATTGAGTTCATTAATAGTTCCGTCTAGATCATAAAACACGGTCACATGTATAATATTTTTAAACGGCTTCTCAAAATTTATAAAGCATGTGCATATGCATGATTAGATAAAAAATATTATTCCTACTAAATTTCTCGGTTGGTAAGTTATCACCAAGTTACGTTAGATCTAAAGTTTTGTACACGCCTACACTATGATCTGGGCATAGACGTTATTGTCTGGGTTGTACATCATTGTACTTTAAGTTTTACGAAAATGATTCAATAACATGTGGATAAGTTCTCCTCTATTGGTTGTAAGAGATTGCAACCAACTTTCCCCCCCGCCAAATGGAAAAAAAAAAATCATTTGCAATTTCAAAATGAGACTGTGCCAAAACTGAGATAATGTACTGAATGTTATATTTTGATGTGGTGAATTTCAGTGTGGTCGGCTATCGTCTCATGGATTTGTGAATGTGTCTACTAGTCCCATCGTCTAATATTATACATATAGACACTTTCAAAAAGAGTTTGTCTATGTTGTCTCATTACGGTGCAACCAATTCCCAGAGTTTTTTTCTTTGATACGAATATGCAACAAGTGGCTGAATAATCTTACGTTGATGTCATTGAGGTACTAACGAGATTTCTGGTATCTTCACTAAACGAGATGTCACAAAATCCCACCAATTAGAAGATAGTTCCATACCGAAACGAACATATTAAGAATCCTGAATGTAATACCAACTTGTCAAATAACGTTTGACTAAAGGGTCAATTAAATAAACGTAATAGTAATTGAAACCACTTTTACAGTCCTTTTCGGTAGTTATAAAGATCAGATCATGAATAGGGTAACGCTTTTCTGGCGTTTTCAATATGAATGCAAGTCAGCCACATGTCACCATAAATTTTCGTTTTAATTTTGTTGCAAATTCCGGAAATATTAGCAGCCAAATTAAATGATTCATTATATCTGCTGCAATTTTTCACAATCACTTAAGCAATTGCTTGGTCTTTCCAATATTTCATTTCTTTATTGTTTCATGGTACTTTTCACACCGTTCAGCAAGTAATTCGAACTCGGGGTGTAGTAAATACTTAGCGACTAATCAATATATGGTAGGGCCGATTTCAAGCATCACTGGCAACGCACCGTATTCACTAGTCAATATTTGGGATAAAATTGTCCGAACTAATTGGGTATTTTGGCTCCAGATTACTAAGTAGGTATTGCCCAATTTCTTATAGTAACTCTAAGGTTTCGTTGCATTCATGCAATTTTGCAGCAACATTTTTATAAATGAAACCCGAGATTGTACACTTCAATATTTTCATTTAAATTTATAAGACGCATGCTTATGGTCCATATATATACAATGCAATCTCCCTAATATTGTAAAATTGCTTTTCCCCTACCAATTAAACCTCCCATCGATAGTGTGTTTCAGCGCTTGTTGTAGAGGATACGATTGCGACATCTAATACGACATAAATCATCGGCGACATTCTCTATATTTTTTAATTTTCTTTTTCGCTTCTAAAAAAAAAAAAAGAAAACTATCTAAATCATCAGAAGCTGAGCCGATAAATCTTTGTAAGCACGGGGTTGATAGATTTTCTTAAGAAAGTATGATCAAGAGGATGGTCGAATACTCAGGGAAGATATGCCTTGCTCCTATGGTAAGAAGCGGTGAATTGCCCATGCGATTAATGGCTCTTAAATATGGATGTGATTTAGTATGGACGCCTGAATTGATTGATCGAAAATTGGTCAATACTATACGTACAGTTAATAGGGAACTTGGTACTATAGATTATGTTGAAAGTGGAAATACCAATAGTGTTGCTTTTCGGAAACATCCTTCGGAGACTGGAAAGTTAATTTTACAACTTGGTTCTGCTACCCCTGATCTTGCTGTTGAGGCTGCAAACAAAGTGATTGAAGATGTGGATGGTATAGATTTGAATTGTGGATGTCCTAAACACTTTTCGACCCATGGAGGAATGGGTGCAAAATTATTAGATACTCCTGATATTTTATGTTCAATTTTAACTAATTTAGTTAACAAAGTTGGCATACCGAATAACAAACCGATAAGTTGCAAAATTCGGTTATTACCTGAATTTGAAAAAACTAAAGAATTAATAGAAAGAATTTGTGAAACTGGTATTAAAAACTTAACTATTCATTGTCGTACTCCAATTATGAGAAATCGACAAGATCCATTTTGGAATTATTTACCTAAATTAATTCCTATTATTCAATCAAAGGGTGTCAGTGTAATTATTAATGGAAATATCCAAGGTGTGAAGGATCTCCATAACCTACAAATGGCAATGGAGAATGATAAGTTGGGTATTATGATTGCAGAAGCTGCGGAGACCAATCCTTCTGTCTTTTCATTACAACCTAAATCACAAAAAGAAGTAGCTTGTGAATTATTTGATTTTGCATTGAAATATCATCCATTTTCAGGTACAAAATATTTCTTACAAAATATGATACCTGGGAAATCACCTTATTATTCATTAGTTGTAAGACTGAAGACTTATGAACAATTACAGGAAGTTATAGATAAGTTGAGACAAGATGGGGATGATGTCTGGATGAATACTATCGCTAATCGTAATTTACAAAAACATCATAGTATGACATTGGAAGAATATAATTTGCATATGGATGCTCGTGGTGAAGTAATGAAACAGTTTGCTGGGAATTGGAATGAAGATGAAATGTTGAAACCATTGAATGACAGACCTACAAAGAGAACTCAAGAAATCCCTCAACATAAGAAACAGCAATTTAAAAAGGTAAAATCAGATTTGGTGGCACCTCCAACCGAACTAGTCAAAGATATAGCTCCAGTTGTTGCAGCCGCCACCACCACATGAAACAAAACTAGGGTTAACTGAATAGAAAATTTTATAGAAAATCTCTGTAATTGGTAAAATATAGATACTTTTAATACACATATATACATGAAAAAGACACTTGATAGGTGGCAAAACAAACGTCATTAACTCAATATTTCTGGATGTTCTTGTTGTAAGAAACGTTTAATACCACACCAGATACCAGCACCACCTGCCATCATAACAGAGGCATAAATCATAGGTTTAGCTCCAGCACTACTTTTAAAGATGGCACCAGCAATGGCACCAGCTGCAACTGAGTTAAGATCATCATGTTTTTCTCTAACTGCATCAATAGTTGAATCGATTATATTATAAGACATGGCCAATACCCCGGCAGAATTACCCAAGAATGGACCTCTTTTGGTGATATGATTTAAAATTGTATTCAATCTTAATTTTGCTGTTGCACCTTCAGGAATATTTTTAATACCTTCTTGAAAACCATATGCACCACCAAAACCTAATCCTAATAAATAAACCGCACCAGTCCCATAACATAAATCATCAGTCCATGATCTACTTGGGATGATACCATGAGAGCCTTCGACTGTATTTAATTTCTCTTCTTCTAAATCTAAATATTCAACACCCTTTTCTAATCCAGCTAAAGGATGTAATTGAGCAGAATTAAATACACCAGGTGTTTGTATGATTGTATTAACATCAGCAACTTCTTTAGGATCAAATCCTAACGTTTGTTTGATGGAGGCAGAGTCATCTGAAGTTTGAGTGTTTGATTTTCCGAATAACCACGACATTGTTAATATGTATACTTTATCTAATTAATGATTAATGATATGATGGTGATGATGGATCTATGAAAAATTTATATAAGGAAATGAAATCTGCAAATTAAAAATAAAAGTACAGTTTATATGATTATTATAATAATTAGTGGTTGTATATAATATGAGTTGGAGATATTGGATATAAGTGTATGGGAGGGGCGTTGTACTGGTTGGTAAGTAGTGTTAAATCTCTATGGTGTATATAAACTATTAGTTTGTATAGGCAAATTGGTCTTTTGAGTTTTTCATTCTCATTCCAAAAAAAATTAAAAAAAAAAAAGAAAAAAAAAATTTTGTAATCTGCAAAATAAGTTGATGAAAAATGTAAAACAAGATTTGCAGTTTAAAACCGAGAGAGACTGACTCACAGTTGAGTTCAACCCCCCGGAGCACCCCCCGGAGCACAACTCAACTCTCGAAGTATTTACAGCTTGTAATAAATGGAAGCAAATGCCACTGCGGAATTTAATTCACACTCTACGTATCTCTTTCTGAGAGCTGACACTTGGGTTATACCCATCATAAAGAGAGAGCTTTCTAGAATTTTTCGATTTAATGTGAATTATCCCAGATGCCATTGTACTGTACCATTTACTCTAAAGCTCCTTCTTATTAAACTACACTATAGATAGTTCATAATATGAGTAGTCGGATCCTGTATATCCATTTTCTGACTCATTCCTCTTTTCACTACTACTCCCTATGGTCAATCAACTTGTTATGGCCATTTAATATTTATTTGAATAAATTATTTGAAAAAAAAAAAAGAGAATTGGACCATTGACTTTTACTATGTGTATGTACACCTAATTATTGGTCTTTCCAAGCTGAACAAGTTAAGTCGATAGTTCTAAAAAGTACCAAAAGAAGATAAGGAGCCCCAAATAGTCATTTCTCTTTTTGTTTTGGGCATATTTCCTAATAATAAATTACCAACAATTTCACATTAGACTCATACTTATATTTCGATGACTACTACTCCACAACCCCAATTGCATACAAGTATTCTTAGTACACGAATACGACAGGATGATGAACAAGATAAACAATCAGATACTATAGACTCAAATACTAGCAATACCACGACAACTAGTAGTAGTAGAATCATTCACATCTCAAAACCAGCTACATTGTTTGTTCCTCCATTGAATTTTGCTCTTGTTGAAGATGGAATTTATAGATCCGGATTTCCAATGCCAATCAATTATCCATTCTTAACAAGATTAGGTATAAAAACAATTATATACCTTGGTGATTTAGGTCATGAAAAGGTTAAACCATCGACTTCTTCAAAGAAAGGAAAGAAAGATGTTAAAGAAAAGAAAAAGGATAAATATGGTGCTCTTGAAATCTTTCAAAATTATCAAGAATGGTTAAATACAACAGATATAACATTTCATAACTTATTAATAGACTCTCTGCTGGAACCATTCAATGTTCCTGAAGAACATGAACAAGCGCTTAAGAGTCTTAGTATTGCATTACAATTATTATTAAATAAGAATAACTTTCCTGTATTGATTCATTCAAATAAAGGGAAACATAGAACTGGGTTATTGGTTGGATTAATGAGAAAATTATTACAAGGTTGGTGTTTAAGTGGAATATTTGAAGAATATGAGAAATTTGCCATGGGCAAATCTGAATTTGATTTGGAATTGATTGAACTTTGGCAACCAGAATTATGGGTTGATGAGAATAATAAACCAGATTTCGTTAGAATTTAGCATATCATATATATATATATAATATCGCATCAGTACTATTACTATACATATCATAGAAAAGCGTATGACGTAATTTTCCTAAAATTGATTCTTCAAAGTACGTAACTTATCCATAACATCATCTGGATTATTAAACCCAGTCTTTTCTACTACTTGAGGGTCATTTAATCTCATAAAGGGATTGAATTCCAATTCATCCCCAATAGTAAACTTCCCAGTTGTAAATTCATTTTCATTACAATACTTCTCTAAATTTTTAATAGCAGAATTATTTATAATTGATTTGGAGAATTTAACATTTGATTTGGTATATTCATGTCCCGGATATACATTAGTATCTTTAGGTAATTTACCCAAAACTTCATTTAAAGCAACATTCATTTCTTTCCCATTACCTTCAAAAAATCTACCACATCCACTAATGAATAAAGTATCTCCCGTGAAAACTGCCCGTTGTTTAGTTTTGGAATCTTCAACAAAATAACAAATCGAGTCTTGAGTATGACAAGGAGTATGTAAAGCAGTTACACTCAAGTCATCACCTAAATCAATAACTTCTTGATGTGATGGTGTATAACTTACTAATGGAGAATCCTTCCCAGCAATTATAGGCAAATCAGGATATTTCTTATGAAATGCAACATTACCATCAGAATGATCATAGTGATGATGTGTATTGACAATTGCCTTTAATTCAAATTTGGGCTTATGTTTAGTTATCCAATCTTCAACTTCTTCTGGTTGGGCCGGGTCAATTAACCAAGCATGTCTGGTTGGGGTATCAATCAAAAGATAAGAATAATTATCTCCTTTACCCCATCTCATTGGAATTGATTCTATATGCATTTTTCTAGTAATTATCAGTTGGATTGTACTTCTGAGGAATGTTCTAGAGATCATACAGGTTACGGCTGTTTGCTTAATAAGTGTTCTTATGAACGGGGTGAATTTTTACAACGAAAAATGTCTAAATCCGCAATTTTAAATCCGCAATCATATTATTTTTTTGTCTGTCTGTCTGTTCGGAACAACCTATGACAATTCGGCTTTATCTAATCATTTACTGAGACTACATGTAATTCTTCGAGACGCAGTAAGAGGAAGACGACTCAGATTCTGAAGTATCACCATCCCCATAGTTTCTGAATTCTCTGATACAGAATTAGTCCAGTACCAGGTTCAAATGGGACTACCACTACCCAAGCATTTAGTTAACCTCAGAACACAGAAAACAAACTGTAATCTATACTCTAGATGAATATTGAAAAATAGAACACGGATTATATAACATTGAATGCATTCACTATATACTCTTTAAACAGGTTCTCTTACTGTCTCCATTTCTTAGCAACCATCCCATCTGGTGGCTGAGTTTCAAATTCTTTATCCTTTGCTTCGTCCCAGTTTGTTGTCAACACAGTACCATTAGATTGAACATATGATTTCATCATAGCTCTTCTAGAATCTTCATCTACATCCTTAAAGATCTTTTCAAAGAAACTGTTGGTACTGCTAGGTTCATTATCATCGTCATCAACCTTGAATTTATTCCAGTTGACTTTCTTCTTTGAAGAGGAAGGGTATTCCGGAGTAGACTCGTCTTGATCTTGCTTGTTTCCAATTTCTTCCAATTCAGCTTCTAAAGACGACCATTTCTTTGCTTCTTTTTTCTTTAATTGGATTTCTAATTTTGTTGAAAAGATCTTATATTTCGATTGTTCAGGATCAATTTCATCAAATAAAGGATCTAAATGATAATTATATTCTGAATTCGACCCACTTGGGAAAGATATGGAAACGGCCCTTTTTTCAAAATCAACCTTTAATTTCTCTTCCTTAACACCCTTGGCATAGATTGTAATTATAACCTCGTCATTGGATTGATACCAATCTTCCCTAATCTTAATATTCAAAGGAGCTAATTTATTAATAACATCAATACTGGTAGATGGTTTATCACTTAAATCAACTTTCGGTTTTGGAACTGTTAGTGGAGCTGATTTTCCTTCAGGGACATTAATTGGTGTGGAATGGGGGGTTTTAAGATCTTCAGCAGCTGTTTCATTGTAATCATCATCTATTTCCAAGTCACCAACAAGATCGTCTTCTTCTTCTTCTGGATGCTTCTTAACATCGTATTCTGCTTTATTCTTCCACATAGCCAATGTCTTCTCTTGACAATCATATTCTGTAGCCTTTTCGAATTGTCCTAAGGCCATCTTGAATTTTTTCTCCAAATAATAAATCAACCCTAATCTGAAATAACATAATCCAATTTCAGTACGCTTTCCTCTTTGATTAGCAATTGTAAAAGCTGTTGAAATATCTTCTTTGGCTTTTTCATAATTACTCAACTTTTGATACGCGCTTGATCGTTTAAGAAATGGAGCAAATGATTCGGGGTTTTCTTTAATTGCAGCAGTGAATTCTTGGATTGCTCCGAGGTAATCCTTGTTCTTTAACGCGTTGTCACCTTTCTTGATTCTAGCTTCGATAGCCATTTTGACCTTTACTAATTATAAAAGAAAGGGATGAAAGTAAAATTATTAATTTATAAAAAAAAAAAACCTTAATAAATCAATTTAAATTTATCCAGAATCTTCTTTGGTATGCGCTACCACGTGATGTCTTAGATATGATTGTTATGTTAGAGAAGTTTGATTATTGCGAATATATTTACGTTTTACCGATCTAGATTCTAGTTTATAGGTTCATACTTGGAAGTCCTATCTTTAGTACACGATCCTTATAATGCTTTGGACAGAATTTATGTTTACTGAATAACTATTTGACGGTATTCGAAAAATCTCAATATCTATTAATAATAGCTAATTACTTTGCAACGTAACAATGCTGCTGTTATTCGGTGGAACAATTATGAATCTCCGGCTGCTTGAACTAAATCTAAAAACTTTTCTTTTGAAATTTCATTCATTAATTCTTCTTTTCTAGATTGACCAACCTTTTCTTTACTTATTTCTTGATTAGTTTTGATTTGAGTTGATAAAACAGCATTAAAAAGTCTAACAACCCCTCGTTGTGCAATTTTCTTTAGTTTCTTTTCTTTCTCTATAGTTTCTCTAACTTTCTCTGGCTCGCTGGCACTAGGTAATAATTGTTTTATTCTGAATCTATCTTGTAATTGTTTCTTTTCAGCCAAGAGAGCTCTCTTTGCTTTATTTTCTAATTTCTCAGATTCTAACTTCTTTAACGTAACTTTATTTCTAGCCAATATTGGGTCCTTTCTATCATATGCCTTTAATTTAGAACCAACAATCGCAGTAAAAGCATTAGCGAATGATTCGGAACCATCATCAAGGTTTTTCTTCTTCTTCAATTTTGGAAAGCTCTCTTCATCTTCACCTTCAATTTCTTCTTCGTTCTCGCTCTCGGATTCAGAGGATGACACATCTGCAACATCTATTTCATCATCCATTTCAAGATCCGATAATCCTTCTTCCGCTGCTGCTTCTTCTTCGGCTATTTCACCAGAGGAAGATTCAATTTCTGCCAAAGATTTCTCTTCCTGTACATCTTCTACCTCAGAATGTTTTCTATTTGGTATTATAGCTTTCTTGGTATCTTTAGAATTACCTTTCTTGTCTAGTCTTTGCTTTTTCAATGCGGATCCCATAATTGTATTTGCTTTATGAAATAGTTCTATATCCTTTAATTTTCAATGTAAATAAATATGGGCATCTCATCTCTCTGATTTGTTCTGTAAGAAAATTTAATTAAGAATAGAGCGACATAAATCAAATTGGGACATTTATCTGCGACATTTAGTTTGGTCGTGCATTTTTCCCAAATCAATTGTTTACATTTTTTTGAATTTTTTGACAACCAATTTTATCTAAAACAAATCATCATCAGATATACACGAATTAATTCCATAATGGATAGCGATGGCTTCAATCAGTTAGTAACCCAAAAGGAAGATGAGATCAGGCATTTGAAGGGAGAAATGTCAACTTTAAAATCAAAGATTGCCAAACAAGAATTGGAGAATTTTCGTATTGAACAAGAATGTCATGAAAAGAAAAGGGAAGTATCCCACATACAAGATAGAATCGAACAACTTGATTACCAGAAACAAGCTTCCTTGACTGAGATTGAAGACAGATATAAACGAGGAGTAGAAGTAGCCAGATTCAAACATCAACAAAAGATACTGGACCTACGGGATTGTATTGCAAAGGAAGCACAAGATATAATACTGGAGAAGCAACAACAATATGAAGATAGGATACAAGAGTTGATGACAAGTATTGACGAATCTAAGACAAATATCCTTGAAAAGGAAAATCAAATTAAACGACAAAGGTTAGAAATGGAGGAATCGTATACATTGAAATTCAACCAAGAAAATCAAGCCATATTGAATTCTATTGAACATTTAAATCAAGAGAAAGCATCAATTAAACAGGAAATTTCAAACCTGCTTGTGAACGTTGAAAAAACTAACCAGGAAATAGTTGAAACTCAACAAGACGGTTTAAGGTTTGCAAGGGTGCATGACCAATTAAAGCTGAAATATCAAGGACAGCTGCAAGAGATTGACATTTTGCAAGGCAAGATACAAGATAAGGAATCTCAAATTGAAGCCATTGAAGAAAATGCCAAAATAAGAGAGGAAGATTTAAAAGAAATAAACTTTGGCATAAAACGAATGGGCTCCGAATTAGTTGATCAAGAGTATCAGAGGAGAGTATTACATGCCAGACTACAAGACTTGAAAGGGAACATCCGAGTATTTTGTAGAATTCGTTCGGTCGATCTGGATTTACCACTTGCTCCTATGGAAACTCCGGATGATGAACTAGATGATGAATCAAAGCAAGAATTAATAGTTTCTAAAACCCCAAGACAATCGCTTTATGGCAATCTGGTCACACAAGTGCCAAGTGATCTGTATTACAAGTTCCTGTTTGATAAGATTTTTACAACGAAAGTTGGAAACGTTGAAATTTTTGAAGAATTATCACAACTTATTCAAACATCCCTAGATGGTCAAAATGTTTGTGTTTTTGCCTATGGTCAGACTGGTTCAGGGAAGACATTTACCATGTCACATCCTGAAGATGGTATGATTCCACTATCAATCAAGAAGATTTTCGACGATATAGACGAATTAAGTCAAAGCGGTTTCACCTATAAGGTAACGGGCCAGTTTCTTGAAATATATAATGAAACAATTGTGGATTTGCTATCTCTGAATAACTTAAAATGTGAAATTAAACATGATGATGAAGCTTGTATTACTACCGTGACAAATTCAACCTTGATTGAAATAAAGTCGCCGTTGGAAGCTACTAAGTTACTTGAGTTTGCCAATAAAAAGAGATCTACTGCTTCAACTATGGCAAATGAAAGATCTTCTCGTTCCCATTCTATATTCACCATGATAATTGAAGGAAAAAATGAAAAGGCTAAAACATCTACCCGTGGTATACTAAATTTAATCGATTTGGCTGGTTCTGAGAGATTGAATGTATCTAAGGCTGAAGGGGAGCGATTAAAAGAAACTCAGAATATCAATCGTTCATTGTCATCATTAGGGGATGTAATTTATTCGTTGGGGTTACAACAACAACATAGAGATACTCAACATATACCGTTTAGGAATTCAAAATTAACTTACTTGTTAAAACATAGTCTCGGCGGTAATTCAAAGACTCTTATGTTTGTTAATATTTCTCCTTTGGAGAAAGATTTAAATGAAACTATTAATTCATTGAGATTTGCGGCAAAAGTAAACGGAACCAAATTACAAAATCAACCAAAGAACCAAGTGAGGTGATGTTTGTGCTCCAACTGACTTCGAGCAAACTCTTGAAAGTAGTGGATTTACTCGAAATTAGCGAGACGCGCGTTTCTTCCATCTGAGGGAATTGAGTCGAAATGAAGAAACTCGTAACAATCGGTTAGAGAATATTAAGGGTTTCGACTGTATGGGTGCGAAGTATCTTTCCAAAGAAGCGACAGGGAAGAACAAGTTTCTACCTGTTGAAGTCGTTAGGATAATCTTAAAAGCTTGCGAACCGTTCTCGATGATTCGATGTATTTACCACTCTATTAGTCTATGTACTTAAATATACGTTCCCCCAATCCTTCATCTGAATTTCTTAATGCCACAACTAGCTCATCAAGCAACTTCATATGATCACCAAGTTCGATTCTATTCTTCATATCTTCACTGGTCTTGAATGCTTGGGATATTATCGAATTGGGTATACCTGCAAGCTTGGCTACGTTTAATCCGTACAGATTATTGATGACTCCCCGACATAAATTGTATAAAAATATAATCTCGGGAAATTCTTGACCTGATTTTTTAATTTCTTTGAATCCCATATGATAATTAACCACCTGCCCGGGATATTCGTGTTCCAAAACGTGTATTGATGGATAATGCGTAATGAATAGCAATAAAGGCTTATGATCCGATTCTATTAAATATTTCAAAATCGAATAGGCCAAAGAAATCCCATCAATCGTTCCGGTTCCTCTTCCTATTTCATCCAAAATTACCAATGATCTGTTAGTTAAATTTTGGATGATATTGTTACATTCTGTCATTTCTGTCATGAAGGTAGATTGTCCCCTGAGGATGTCATCGCTGGCTCCCATTCTAATAAATATCGAGTCAAATATACCCATAGTGGCTGCTTCGCAAGGGATGTAACAGCCAATCTGGGTCATTATGGCTAATAGAGCCACTTGTTTAACATATGATGATTTCCCACCCATATTTGGACCAGTTATAATGAGGACTCGGTTATGATCATAATGTATGTCAATGTCATTCGGTACATACGCATCGTTCTTTAATTGTTCTATGATCGGGTTTCTAGCTTTAACAACGTTGACGACTAGATCGTCAACAAGCTTTGGTTTGACTTGCTTTGTTATTACACTTGCAGCTGATAAGGATAATAAGCAATCAAACGTTGCTAGATGTTTAATGACTTTTCGGAAAAATGTATACTCCTTATCTAATTGTTCAATAAAGTGTTTATATGCTTCATCGCAGTTCTTAAGTAACATTTCTTGATGATACTGCAACAATTTGTATAGTTTACACGTTTTCTCGCTTCGAAATCTACTTACCGTAGTAGTTCCATTGATTCTTTGAAATGTAGCAGGTAACTCGTCAACTTGTTTGCCGTTTCTAACTTCTATTAGATAAGGCTCTCTATTGTTAGTAATGAACTTCAAATGGGGTCTATTCAAAATACTCCTAATACTGACCAATTCTTGATCAAGTTGAGTCTCGATACTCTTAATCTCGTGAATTTCCAGGGATATTCCTTCCCATTCAAAGTTATCTAAATTGAAGAACTTTTTCTTTTGTTCATCAATATCCTTACTTTCATTAAACAAGTAAGAAGGGTTAATCATATTTGTAAATCTGGTGACAACATCTTCATTAGCTAACTCCAATAAACCATTCAATATTTCATTCAATAATTTTGATGATTTTATGCTATTATTTTTGGAAGCGATAATCCCATTTTCAAACAGTTTAACTAACTTCAATATATCTTTAAAATAATCCAACATCACTACGACATCTCTTCGACTAATTCTGGAGTACTCTTGACTTGCAGAATAGTGAACCTTAATCAACAACTCTTCTAGATCAATTTTCTTCTTTCCCATCTTATGTAATTGATTCTTGAGAGAGTCTATAATTTGATTATAATCACCCGTGAGTATCTCAACAGCCGATAATCGATCTTCAATCTGGGTTTTATTAATCAATGGTCTCGAAATCCACTTCCTAAAGAGCCTATCTCCAAATCTTGTTCTAGTGTGATTTAGAAGCCAAGTAAGGGTTCCGATTTCAGAATCTGGATTAGTTGAATTTGTAAAAATCTCAAGAGCCGCTAGTGTGTTTGCCGGGAGAATCATATAAGTTTTGGAATTCTTAAAGGGAGTCATATTGGAAGGGATGGTAAAGATATTAGAAAGTTTAAATTCTTGAAGATAAGTCATTAATCGTGCTATGCATGATTGCACCGATTCTGAAAAATTGACTGAATAGTATGCCACTAATTCCGGATCTAAATGGTTCTCTAATTGATGATGTAAAGGTAAACTTTCTGAATCTGACATGTGAGTAATTCTAAGACGATTGTTTATTAGTTTTAGTATTTTTAAAGTTGATGGGCTTGTTTCCTGGCATTTATTCACCACCAACACTTCGCTGGGTTTGAGATATGTTAATCTAGTTTCTAATTCTTGCCTATTGGCTCCGTCCTTGAACTCGTCATAGATTATATCACCAGTTATGGGCTGGACAGCCACGATGGCTAAAGTTATTTCTTCGGTCTCATTAATACATATAATGTATCCTGGATTTTCATTTTCATCTCCCATGTTATCCTGCTCCGTGCCGGCAAACTCATCATTCATATAAGTGGCTAATGTATATACTCCCACCAACTCCCTTTTCATTACTTCAGATGATTTTGAAGTTTTTTCTATACTTTTGATAATAGTTGATTCTAATTGTTTAACTACTCCTATCTTATGATTAGTGTGCTGTAAAATTCGTTTAAGATTGATATGAAGTTTGAAATCAGGAAAGGAACAATATGAAAATCGTCCATCTGTTTTTGGATCATCATTCCCATTGGGGATATACATTATATTTAAGATTTTCGATACTTTTCTTGCATCCGGGCCGAATACTTTATATTTATATCCAACTTGAATTAATAAAATCTTATCGGGATTTGATTCAGTTAATTCAATAATTTGCTTTTCTAGTGGTGTTAAAGTTTTGGACCGCTTTGTCTTTGGTTTTGATTGAATGTCATCAGGGGTGGTTGCTTTCCTTTTTGGTGGAGTTCTTGGGGGTTCTTGTTTGACTATTATCGGTTGTTGCTGTTGAAAGGTTCTTTTCAAGGCAAATTGTTGGATTTTATCAGATATTTTTGGTGTGGTTGATGCACTAGAAACATCTGATGATTCTGGGGGAGTTGAGATCAGTTGGAAAAATCTCCCAATTGTTGGTTGTTTCTTCTTAGGAGTCATATCGGTTTACACTTCGGTCCATACTTGTAATTTTACCGAAGAGATTTTTTTTTGATTTCTTGATTTGGTGGTGAGAAAAAAAAAAGACGCGTGAAAAATTAACTGAGATCTGACTGATGAACAATTACTCTACTACACTTGAATTATTCTTATATAAACACAATTAGATATGACGTTTGAAAGATTGGTATTAAATTCGGAAACTTGTTTTATTTGAATTTGATTTAGGTCTTTCTAATGAATACCCAGGCAAATTAAATTGGCAAATTGTTCTTCCATGTGTATATTCAATCGAATTCACGCGTTTTCAATTGACACTAATGGTTTATTTTGGAAACTCTGGAGCTCCTTTAGTTATTTAAAATATGGATGGCCCAGGAAACTGACAATGATGCGTAAGCACGACTACAAGCAAAGCTGCTAAGGCTTACTTCATTGCTTCTGTTGATTCGAGATTTTTCTATACATGGGCATCCATATGAGTTTTAGGGTATCTAACTGCAGTGAGAGAGTATTAAATCCAGTTCTTTCTTCGACAGTTTTCATGAGTTTGTTGGTTAGGTGAGTCGGAGAGGGGCTGCTAGAGAAAGTTGAAAATTTTCTATTCCCCAAATGCATTAATAAATCATAGCTTTCTCTGGCTGGGTACTAGAAGAAAACGATCACAAAGATCAATTATGTGAATTGGTTTGGTTTATAAACTGGTTGTTAATTCTATCATCTCAATTGATTATAATTAATATTAAAAATATTTTTTAAGGGTTTTATTCTTTTATTTTATTTAATTAAATTATTTTTCTAAGAAACAATTGCAAAAAATTAAATTTAAAAAAAAAATAATTTAAATGTTTAACAATTTTAAATTGAACTGACAAATAATCAGCCTCCGTTTACTTAGTTAGCCACTTTTTCAAATGCTTCTCTAACTTCCTTAAATGAATAACAAGTACAGTACCATTCTTGACAACGAGAATACTTTTCAGCAAAATCTTTGATTTCATATATTGTACCTTCAAGTGTCTTAACCATACGATAATGAACAGAAACAAAGGAAATATCAACAATAGTAAATTTATCACCAACAATAAACTTACCCTTTTTCAATTGCCCTTCTAATACCAGATATACGTTATCCGAATTGGCAAAAGCTTTTCCCAAAACTTGTTCATCAGTAACATTGGAAGTTCTATAGATAAATAATTGTTGGAAAGCATTGGTAAATTGAGTGCTTTGGAAAAACAACCATTGGATTTGTTTCCAATAGTTATCACCATCATTAACTTTATAACTTACTTTTCCTTCCTTGTCATATTTGTCGGCAAGATAAAGCAAGATAGCATTAGATTCATTCAAGCGAATGCCATCATCCACAATTGAAGGAATACGTCCATTAGGATTAATTTTCAAATACCATTCTTGTTTAATTTCCGGTGTTGGCCATGGGAATAAGTGGAGAGTGAAAGGGATATTTAAAAAGTTAAGAAGGATGGTTGGTTTAAACCCATTTCCAGTTGGTGCTGTGTATAAAGTTAATGTCATGATGATTATTACACTAGGATTTGAAAGAAATCAGACTATTATAAGCGAAACTAGTGAATATGTTTGTATTCTTGTCAGTGGTTGAATTTAAATAGTGCGAGATAAAAAAAAGAAAACAGAACCGGTTGAGAGGTTATTGTTTCTCTAAACAATGAAGCTGGTAATTAGCCCCCTAAATTCGTGGTAAGGAAAGTTTCTAAATAAACAGACTTTCATACTATTTCTCAGTCAACTGCTTATTTCCCTTCTTTTACATATTCTTTGGGAGACAGCCTTGTTCTCTTATTTGGAGTAACGAAGGAACCACCTTGAATGTGCTCATGTTATTAGTAGCCTATATTCCGTTCTCAATGAAATAAAGTGACGATGCATACCTCAGGCCATTTTGGTACTGATCAATGGCCTCATAATTATTCGATGACAATATGTGACTTTTATTAATAGGTTTCGGAAGTAATGGATTGTCTGTTCAACTTCAATACAAGTCAATTTGCAACCCTTGTAATAACCAAAAGATATTTTGTAGATTTATTCATAATTACTATGTCCACTTCTAGGGATTCTAATAGGAATGGATAAGCTACTGATGAATATCGATGGAAATTCTCTCTAATCAAAACATAGGTCTACTTGAAAATTCGTTGCCATAAAATGGTTGCAAAAAAAATGTAATGGCCTAATTGGGGGGAGTTCACAATATAACAATTGAAGTCAGAACACTAAAAACTTAATGGTTGACTTATTTTGAAATAAGATTATAGAATCAAGGTACATGCAAGGTTTTGTTATTTGAGATGTAACTTCATTCCTTTTTCCACCTTATAGACTTAAATGAAAAGTATGAGCCCAAAAAAAAAATCAATGAATCCATCATTTTCTTCTTTATTGTCAATAGAAAATATCATGAAGTAAGACTTTACCATTTTTACAAATCTCTGTTTCATCTACTGGTTTCTAACATTTATAAGAAGTAAACTGAGGTCAAATATTAGAAAGAAATATAAATATACCAATCCCTTTACTCCCTTTAAAGATATTACCAATACTGCTTCAAGTAAATCCACTAACGCTCTAAATATCTTGCTAGTTGAAAAGTTGCAAAGTTGTATTGACTCTTATAAAGAAGTTGAGTCGTTGCATGAATTACCCCAAGATCATAAATCAGAGGAAAAGTTACCACAAATTGAAAAGCCAACAAGATCCCTTACTCGAGCCGCCGCTAGTGTAATCAAAGCATATGAAGATGAAGAATCAAGTGATAGTGAAGATTTTGAAGCTAATGATGATTCTGAAGAAGTTATTGTGATAAATTATAATAGATCAAATACACCTAAATATGTAGGTAAATTTACCAATGTTATCATTGATAACAAGTTAAAGCGTCAATGCAAGAAGTGTCCGGCTATTTATACTGACTTGAAGGGGTTCAATCGCCACTATCAAAAGAAGCATCTAAAATAAGTGGCGATTGGTTACAATGGTCTAATCATGTAAGCTATTGGCTAGTAGTTATCAATTGTGTAGTTTTTTGCAAAGGGAGCTTATTTTTGCTGTCCATAGATCTAGTTATAATATGTATATCCAATAAAAGGTACTAGCGTCTTAAATAGTTGGTTGAACTATGGGTATTATTGCTGGCTGTGCTAATTACAGGTGATTGCATATTACGTTTGTTACCTTATTTCGGAGTTTTCGTAGATAAATCCGCATTATACCCCAGATAATTGTAATTTGAAAGAAAAAAAATCTCAACTGATGTATCTCTATTTCTTTCTCATTTCAGAAACTTTTCTCAAGTAGTGGTTCTTATGATGAAGTATGGTTATACCTTGTGAGTGGTGGTTACTATATATATGCAGCTACTAACATTAACGACTAGTGAACAAATTTTTTCAAATGACCAATGTAATCCTGTAATGTTAGTTAGTGGAAGTTGGAAATCAAAGGCGGCTACGATTTTAATAGTTGATGATTATACCTTTCCACTTCAAGACTTTGCGCCGGCAAGAATGCAATATGAGGGCCTTGAAGAAGGAGAAGAAGAAGAAGATGATGATAATGAGAATGATGAAAATGATCAGTCGAGTCAATTATACAATGGATCTCTTACTATTGCTGTTAATAATTCAGCTATATATAAACATGACAAGAATTATGTTTATGGTAACGCTACCAATGAAGATGTGAAAAGTATGAATGAATGTGAGTTAATTAGTAAGTCAAAATATCATCATGTTAGTAATATAAATCGTACATTAAAACGTCGATATAAGAAATGTTCTAATGTTTATAACAATTTGAAAGGATATATTCGAAATCACGATAAGAAGCTTTCTTAAATAAGGAGGTGGGTGTTGACTATGATATCTAGATAATTTTACTATGTTTATTATTAAATTATATATTTTTGCAATTTAAATTGTATTCTATGCATATTGGAATAAAAATTGATGTATTTTTTTATAAATTTAGTTTTGACAGATTTTTTAGATTACATAATCTCACAATTGTCTTATTAGGTAAGCAGAAAAATGGTTCAGACGAAAAAGATAAGAAAATTAGATTAAAAAAATATCGGCTCGGAAATTACCAAAAAAAAAATTAGCTTCCGCTGATTTAGACCCAAAAAAAAAAATGGAAGATATGGGCCGAGAATTACGTCAATGGATGATATGATCCTGATTTCTACATGTATGCTAGACGATCTCCTTGATCAGATTGAGTTGGGTAACATTAGACAGATAATCAGCTAATATCTTTTTTGGTTTAAAAAATTGATATTCAAAAGATTAAAGAAACGATTTAGTAGCGATATGTCCGACGGGTCGTGTACATGTACAATACAAAGATTGACTAAGAAGATGCCGTCCTACTAAACGGGTAATAAAATCCAAGACAATTGACCGTCGTATTTTATTAGTGTTGGGATTGTAGTACAATTTCAATAGAAGTGTGGGTTTTTATTATCGGGTTTATTTCCTAATTTGAATTACGCCTATTTCTCGGGTGTAACTCTTATTGTTAAAATGGATTTACTATTGCCACTCGGGTGAAAATTTTTATGTAGTGACGGAATTATGATTTTTTTTTTAATCCGATCCGTAGAGTCATCTAGAAACAATTAATCCCGTAGAAAGTAAAAGTTTCGTAAAAAGGGAATAGACTAGTTATTACGCTATGATTAAACTAACTAACAAATCAGGTAGGAGAGTATATTCAAGTAGTAGCTGATGATGACTCATATAATCTCCTATTACTATTTCTTAACTTGTAAAGTAGTAAAATTAATATATGTAAATAAAATTGTGTAATTTAATTTAAATATTTCAAATTTTCAAGAATTTAATTAAAAAAAAACTAAAGCCTCACCACCTATTAATTAATATAAATATAATTTTCTTTAGTAATATGATGATGATTATATAAGAATACGAATCATTCCGCCTTTTTAATTTTATTTATTTATTTATTTATTTATTTTATTTCTACTTTATTAATTTACTTAGTAAGTGACTATTGCATATTCCTATTGATAGACAAACTACCAAAACAAAATATGTCTTCACTTGAAAAGCAAAATAAATTACAACGACAAAAACGATTGTTAAGTTTCTTATTATCAAAAGATGTACCTCATATACCTTTAGAAGATGAAAGAAATCCTTATCCTCCATCATCAAATGGTGGTATAATATCACAAATGTTCTTTTGGTGGTTATTTCCAGTAATGAAAGTTGGTTATAAAAGAACTTTACAACCACCTGATTTATTTTATTTAACTGATGATATTAAAGTTGAAAATATGGCAAATTCATTTTATAATTATATGACTAAAGATATTGAATTAGCAAAACAAAAACATTTACAATTAAAATGTCAAGAAAGAGGTGAAACAATTGAAAATTCAACTATTGATCCTGAAATTGATTTAAAAGATTTTAAATTAAATAAATTCTTAACGGTTTGGGCTTTAGCTAAAACTTTTAAATGGCAATATTTATCAGCTTGTCTTTTTTTAGCTTTAAGTGCAATTGCTCAAACTACTTTGCCATTATTGACTAAGAAATTAATTCAGTATGTTGAATTGAAAACTTTAGGTATTGAAACTGGTATTGGGAAAGGTTTAGGTTATTCATTTGGTGCATCTGCTATTATATTTATTATTGGTGTATTTATTAATCATTTCTTTTACCGTTCAATGTTAACTGGTGCTCAAGCAAAAGCTGTTTTAACTAAAGCTTTATTAGATAAGTCTTTTAAATTAAATGCTGAAGCAAGACATAAATATCCGGTTGGGAAAATTACTTCAATGTTAGGTACTGATTTATCTCGTATTGATTTTGCCCTTGGTTTTCAACCATTTTTAATTGTTTTCCCACTCCCAATTGGTATTGCTATTGGTATCTTAATCTATAACATTGGTGTATCCGCATTGGTTGGGGTTGGTATCTTATTTGCATTTATGTTTGGTATTGGCGTTTCAACCAAGAAATTATTTGCTTATAGAAAAACCGCAAATGTTTTCACTGATTCTCGGGTTGATTATATTAAAGAAGCACTTAATAATTTAAAAATGATCAAATTTTATTCTTGGGAACCTCCTTATCATGAAAATATTACTAAAATCCGTCAATCAGAAATGAAAATCATTTATAGAATGCAAGTTTTACGTAATATTGTTACATCCTTTGCATTTTCCTTAACATTATTTGCTTCAATGACAGCTTTTTTGGTTCTTTATGCAATTGCTGCTAATAGAAAAGATCCTGCATCCATCTTTTCTTCATTATCGTTATATAATATATTGACTCAACAAGTCTTTTTAGTTCCAATGGCTTTAGCAAGTGGTGCTGATGCTTTTATGGGTATTTCTCGTGTTGGTGAATTTATGGCCCAAGGGGAAATTGATCCTGAAGAATTTTCAATTGAAGCTAATCCAGAAAAGAAATTATTAATGGATAAAGATGATATTGCAATTGAATTGAATGAAGCTAGTTTTGAATGGGAAATCTTCAATGATGATGAAGAAGAAGAAGAAGCGGAAGAGCAAAGTTCTGAAAAGAAAGATAAATCAACCGTTGTCCACAAATCAGTCACCGAAATTAATAGTATCAATGAAAAAGACTTTCATAAGGGTACAGATGATGATGAAGAAATGAGAGTCAACTTTGCTGGTTTAAATGATATCTCTTTCCAAGTCAAAAGAGGTGAATTTGTTGTCATTACTGGTTTAATTGGTTCTGGTAAAACTTCATTATTAAATGCTTTATCGGGTTTTATGAAACATACTACTGGTACAATTGATGTCAATGGTTCCTTATTACTTTGTGGATATCCTTGGGTTCAAAATGATACTGTTAAAGATAACATTCTTTTTGGTGAAGAATTTGATCAAGCCAAATATAATCGTGTTATTTATTCATGTTCTTTAGAAGCTGATTTAGAAATTTTACCAGCTGGTGATCGTACTGAAATTGGTGAAAGAGGTATTACTTTATCTGGAGGTCAAAAAGCTCGTATCAATCTTGCTAGAGCTGTATATGCTGATCGTGATATCATATTATTAGATGATGTTTTGAGTGCAGTTGATGCAAGAGTCGGGAAACATATCATGCAGAATTGTTTATTGGATTTATTAAAGGATAAAACTAGAATTTTGGCTACCCATCAATTATCTCTTATTGGATCTGCTGATAAAGTCATATTTTTAAATGGTGATGGTTCTGTTGATGTGGGTACTTTTGATGAATTAAGAGCAAGAAATGCTGGTTTTGAAAGTTTAATGAAATTCAATAGTGAAGTCACCGATGACGATGATGATGATGATGACGTAGATGACAAAGATGAAGCTGGTTCCTCTAGTTCCTCAATAAGTTCATCTGCTGATGATTATTTACATGAAGAAAAAGAAATGATCCGTCGTCAATTAACTACTAAATCTCAAATTGATGAAGAAGCTATCCGTCATGAATTCAATCAAGATGATGCTATTGATGGTAAATTGATAGATGAAGAAGAAAGAGCTGTTAATGCAATTGGTTGGAGTGTTTATAGCAAATACATCGAATTAGGTTCAGGAATATTCGGCCCTACGGTTTTTACACCAATGTTGGTTATTTTAATGATGTTGGCAACATTCTGTCAAATTTTCACAAATACTTGGTTATCATTCTGGACTGAAAAGAGATTTGATCAACCTGATTCACTCTATATTGGAGTTTATATCATGTTTACATTTTTGTCATTTATCTTTTTAACTTTGGAATTCATTGCATTGGTCTATTTAACAAATACTGCTTCTGTTTTATTGAATATTTTGGCGGTTAAGAAGGTTTTACATGCTCCAATGAGTTTTATGGATACTACACCTATGGGAAGAATTCTTAATCGTTTCACAAAAGATACAGATGTATTGGATAATGAAATTGGTGATCAATTGAGATTTTTCTTGTTTACATTGGCAAATATTATTGGGGTTTTAATCTTGTGTATTGTTTATTTACCTTATTTTGCAATTGCTATTCCATTTTTAGGATTTTTGTTTGTTTCGATTGCTAATTATTATCAAGCTTCAGCTCGTGAAATTAAAAGATTGGAAGCAATCCAAAGATCATTTGTTTATAATAATTTCAATGAAACTTTAAGTGGTATGCCTACTATTAAAGCCTATAATGCAATTGAACGATTTATTGCTAAGAATAATTATTTGATTGATAAGATGAATGAAGCTTATTATTTGACTATTGCCAATCAAAGATGGTTAGCTATTCATATGGATATGGTTGCTGTTTTATTTGCATTATTAATTGCTTTATTATGTGTCAATCGTATTTTCAATATTAGTGCAGCTTCTGTTGGTCTTATAGTTGCCTATGTTTTCCAAATTGCTGGTCAATTGTCTATGTTGATTAGAACTTTTACCCAGGTGGAAAATGAAATGAATTCAGTTGAAAGATTAAATTCTTATGCTACTGCTTTACCAGAAGAAGCTCCATATATTATTACTGAAACTACACCAGCTCCAACTTGGCCCGCACATGGTTCGATTGAATTCAAGGATGCTAGTTTGGCTTATAGACCTGGATTACCATTAGTTTTGAAAAATTTGAATTTTAAGATTAATCCAATGGAAAAGATTGGTATTTGTGGTAGAACAGGTGCTGGTAAATCATCAATCATGACTGCATTATATCGATTATCCGAATTAGAAACAGGCTCGATTATTATTGATGATTTGGATATTGGTAGGTTAGGATTACGTGATTTAAGATCAAAATTATCAATTATTCCCCAAGATCCGGTACTTTTCCGAGGAACAATTAGAAAGAATTTAGATCCATTCAATGAACATAGTGATGATAAATTATGGGATGCATTACGTCGTACTGGTCTTATTGAAGAAAAACAATTGGAACAAATTAAACGTTATCAAAAGAATTATTCATCATCAACTACAGAATTATCATCATCAATGCATAAATTCCATTTAGATCAAAATGTTGAAGATGAAGGAACAAATTTCTCACTTGGTGAAAGACAATTAATTGCATTTGCAAGAGCATTAGTTCGTGAATCCAAAATTTTAATTCTTGATGAAGCTACTAGTTCAGTTGATTATGAAACTGATTCAAAGATTCAACATACTATTATTAAAGAATTTAAGAATTGTACAATTTTATGTATTGCTCATAGATTAAAAACAATTATTAATTATGATAGGATTTTGGTATTAGATAAAGGTGAGATTAAAGAATTTGATACCCCATGGAATTTATTTAATTTACATGATGGTATTTTCCAACAAATGTGTCAAAGATCAAATATTACTGCTCAAGATTTTGAAAACATTTCTGAATTTTGATGAATTGGTTTTTTGTATAATTTATAGAAAATAATAAAATAAAATATTAATTTAATGTATAAAAACTATTTAGTATCTATTATTTATTCCTCTGTGGGATGATGTAGAAGTAAAAGTGTTTAAGGATGTGCTAAACACTAACTTAAAATGTGACTAGTTGAAGTGTAATACTATGCGGATTGGTTATATTTTTGGCGGGCGGGGCCCCCATAATGACCATGATAAATTTCCCAACTTACAAGAGACTTACATAAGTCAGTTTAGGAGTGTAGAAATAGATCTAACAAACATGTCTTCGAAGAGTTGGAACTCGAGCATTCATCAGACTGTCATTGGAACGGCCGTGCCCACAGTGGTGATTGTGCCCGTTTTAATGAGAAATGGTCAAAAGTCATACACACATGTCATAAGATATGGCATTATGAATATTCTGACACTTCGTTCTTAGAAAGAATGGTTAACATGCTTTAACTGCAACTATAACTCGAACCATTTATCTTGTAGGCTTCCTGTTCATTAAAAGTAGAATGGGTTCTTTTCAATTACTAACGATCATTCATTTTTATTGTTCCCCCAATCGGGCAGTGCGAGGGGAGGAGGCTTCTGGTGCCCTATTTCTAGACAAATAGAAAAAGATAAGCAGAGGGAAAAAAAGCTAGCACCCTCGTTTTCATATTTAATTATAAATTAATTACCCGTAGCATCCTGTCCATCAAAAGGAAATAAGAAACGTAACGTAAATTAAAGAAGCAATGGCATTGGAAGAAGATGTTCGTCCACATACAGACGGAAGTCAATTTAAGAAATTATTTAATCGATTAAGTGGACAACCAGAATCTTATGCTCGTAAGGCCAATTATACATTTGGAAAAACATTAGGAGCTGGTTCATTTGGAATTGTAAGATATGCAAGAGATAATGGAACCAATGAAGAAGTAGCAGTTAAGATTATCTTAAAGAGAGCACTTAAGGGGAATGAAAGTATGATTATTGATGAATTACATCTTTTACAACAATTAAATAATCCTCATATTGTTGGATTTAGAGATTGGTTTGAAAGTAAAGATAAATTTTATATTGTTACTCAATTAGCAACAGGAGGAGAATTATTCGATAGAATTGTAAGTAAAGGTAGATTTACTGAACATGATGCATCATTAGTTGTTGTTCAAATGTTGGAAGCATTAAATTATTTACATGGAAAAGATATTGTTCATCGAGATATTAAACCAGAAAATGTATTATATTTAACTCCAGATGAAAATTCTAATATTGTATTGGCTGATTTTGGTATTGCTAAACAATTACAAGGTCCAAATGAAGTATTAACTTCTCTGGCCGGTTCATTTGGTTATGCTGCTCCTGAAGTTATTTTGGGTACAGGACATGGGAAACCATGTGATATTTGGTCATTGGGTGTTGTTACATATACTTTATTATGTGGATATTCCCCATTTAGATCAGAGAATGTTACTGATTTTATTAATGAAGTTAAACATAATAATGCCGTTATTTTCCATGCCGATTATTGGAAAGATGTCAGTAAAGATGCTCGTAGATTTATTGTTAAAGCATTACAATATAATCCTGAACATAGACCAACTGCAACCGAATTATTGAATGATCCATGGATTGTTAGTGTTGCTGAAAAACATAAGGAATGTGATTTATTACCTCATTTGAAACGTGGATTTGATGCAAAGGCTAAATTTAGACAAGCGATTGAAGTTGTTAAATTGAATAATCGTATTAAGAAATTGAAGCAAATGCAAACTGAAGCTGATGATGATCCAAGTGAAATTGATTTATTTGGTGATAGTGGATCAATTATGAAAGCTGCATCAAGAGTTCCATCTAATGTTGAACAATCACCTTTATTAACTTGGAAGAAATTTTCAAATGTTATGAATGATTTAGATAAGGATTTATCAAGAACATCATTATCACCTCTTACTTCACCTTATGCGAATGAACAAAAGAAGAAAAAGACAATGACTGCTGATGCATTTATTCAATTGGTTCATGCTGCATCTAAAAATAAAGAGAGAGTAGCTAGCTATAAAGATGATGATGGCCAGATAGAAAAGAAGGAGGATGAAGACCAATAATACGTTTCTCCATGCTTAATGTTTACTTCAAGTGTAGGTCATTTTCATACTGTAAAATATGTTTGATTTTTTATTGACGTTTTTTGATGCTGATGAGTTGTGTGTCTATTTTTCTTACGTTTCCCTTTACTTTCTAGTTTGGTTGTTTGCATTTATGTACATAAGCATATCCTATGCATAAAGTAATATATAACAAGTATTTCATTTGGATAATTACAAAGATTAAGCTCGAGTTGACAATAAATGAAATAGTCTGTTTGGTAGCTCTGTATTTTCAGAGCTACAATGCCTTGCGATTAATATCTTCCGATATTCTTGTGTATTTTACATAAAGGGTCCTGTAATAGAAATCAAAATCATACTATAGGATAGAGATTTACACTGCATTGTATTACGTGAAGCAATGTTGTCTTGTTAGAGTTCTTGAGAAGTAAAGATATATTTCTATCAACGTGGTGGTAATTTTCATGAATGGACTAGCCATGCTTCTTTGGTCGTCTTCACACATTCCCACTTAAATAAAAGGATAGCTTCTAAATTGGGATTCATAAGTAACACAAAATTATTGTTTTATAACTCCACTCTTAAGATTGAAGTATCTCTTCTTTTCATTGTCTATGAAGGTATAAGAATCTTCATTGAACATACTATAAAATTGAAAAAAACATTCCAAACAAACAAACAAATAATAAACCAGAAGTTTATTAAAAAAAAAAATTAAAATTTTTTCTCATTACTTCTTTCGGCAAATCTCTCTATCTCTCTACGAAAACTTCAACTGTAAATTATTAACACAGTTTGTATTATTATTATTATTAAGTATCTTACTGCTATTGTATCCCATAAAGACATTAGTATCCCACCTTTTAACATCCCCCGTCATTTACCCTAATATAACGTAAACTATTGGGCATTTTATATAGAACCTACACATTTTCATTATGAATAGCATATCACGAGAAATAACTGAAACACCACCAGTTTCAAAACAACATACACCGGCAATATTCACTTCATTTGAAGACAAGACAGAAGAAGCTGTTTCCAAATTCACCGAGATTCCAATATGTACATATTTATCCAAACAACTTGGATCTTCTCAATTACAAGAAAATATGACATGTGATTGTCAAGAAGAATGGGACCCTGATTTACAAATGAATTTAGCATGTAATGAAGAATCTCATTGTATTAATCGTGTCACAAGTGTTGAATGTATGAATCGACATTGTTTATGTGGGAATGATTGTCAAAATCAACGATTTCAACGAAGAGAATATGCAAAAGTTTCAGTATTTCAAACTGAATTAAAAGGTTATGGACTTAGAGCAGATTCATCAATTAATGAAAATCAATTTATTTATGAATATGTTGGAGAAGTAATTGATGAAGTTACATTTAGAACAAGAATGGTTGAATATGATCAATTGAAATTTAAACATTTTTATTTTATGATGTTAAAATCAGATTCATTTATAGATGCCACGGTTAAAGGTTCTTTAGCAAGATTTATTAATCATTCTTGTAATCCAAATGCTTATGTTGATAAATGGGTAGTTGGTGATAAATTAAGAATGGGGATTTTTGCTAAACGAAAAATTTTAAAAGGTGAAGAAATCACTTTTGATTATAATGTTGATAGATATGGTGCTCAATCTCAACCTTGTTATTGTGGTGAACCTAATTGTATTAAATTTATGGGTGGAAAAACTCAAACAGACGCCGCATTATTATTACCTGAAGGAATTGCTGATGCTTTGGGAGTTTCTGCTAAAGATGAAAGACAATGGTTAAAAGAAAATAAACATTTACGTACTAATCAACAAAGTGATGATTCAAATATAAATGAAGAATTTATTAAAGGGTTAGAACTAAGACCGTTACAATCTGAAGTGGATGTTTCTCGAGTAATGAGTGCATTAATGAAGTCTCAAGATTTATTAATTTCTAAAAAATTAATTCAAAGATTGCATATGACTGAAGATCCAAATATTAATTTATTAATTATTAAATTTCATGGATATAAAACATTATCAAATATGCTTAAAGAATATTCTAATAAAGATGGTGATTCAATTGTGGAAATGATTTTAGAAATTTTATCAAAATGGCCAAAAGTTACTCGTAATAAAATTTCATCATCTCAAATTGAAGATGTCATTAAACAAATTCAATCAACAACTAAAAACAAAACAATCAAATCATTAGCCACTGATTTATTGAAAGAATGGTCCAAATTACAAATGGCATATCGTATACCAAAAGGTGGTGCCTCCTTAACCACTTCATATACTTCACGTATTTCCCGTTCTCCAGACCGAGAGGACCGTCATGACCAGGAACAAGAAGACCTTCAAGCAGATCAACAACAACAGCTGCTGCTGCCTCAGCAACAGCAACAATACGTACAAGATCTGCAACAGCCAATAAAACTTGAAGAGGACCTTCCTGAAGGTTGGGAAGTGGCATTTGATCCAAGAACAAGAAGTAAATATTATTATCATCGTATGTTACAAATTTCTCGATGGGATAGGCCGGCGGCTTCTGTTCCTCGAGGTCCAAAGCCACCAACTGGTCCCCGTCCACCCATTGGACCTGCAGCTACGATTAATAGTGGTGGTAATAATTTGGGTGGTAATACTATGGGTGGTGATTTTAGACGTTCAGGAAGTGTTACCCTAAGTGAATCAGAATTGGCCAAACGAGAAGAATTAAGAATTGCCAGGGAAAAACGTCAACAATATCGTGCATTACAAGAGAAAGAAAGACAATTACAAGAATTGATTGCTCAGAATCGCGAAATAGAAAGAAGAAAACAAGAAGAAATGGTTGCTGCAGCAGCGGCGGCAGCAGCAGCTGCTGGGGCTTCTTCTTCTTCTTCTTCTTCGAGAAAGGGTAAAAAGTCAAGTTCAACAAATGGAAAAAACAAGCATCATTCTCATCATGAAGAAATTTCTGTAGAAGCTAAATGGAAATATGTTTTAGCTAAACATATTCCCAATTTAATCAAAAAATATGAGAAAGAAATAGGAAGAGATAATATTAAAGGATGTGCTCGTGATTTGGTGAATATATTAGCCAATAAGGAGGCTAAAAAGGATCCTGAACAATCACCACCTAAAGAATTAGACAATCATAAATTGAAAAAAATTAAAGATTATTCCAAGACATTTATGGAGAAATTTTTAATTAAATATAGATCTAAGAAAGATAAAAAGAGATCTTATGAAGAAGTTACCAATGATAGTGAAGCTGTTGGAGACGAAGCCGTGAAACGTGCAAAAGTGTAAAATTCTATCTATCTACCTATTAAACTTGTTTAATGTGTAAGATATAACAATGTAAAATTTATAAATTTAATTAATTGAATACTTTTATTTCATGTAACATCGTATAATTAAACCTATAGACAATATGTAGTAGTAGTATGTAATTAGTAAATTAGCTAGATATATATAATCAATTAACAATCATTTAATAATTTTGGTAAATTTTCAATTGATTCAGTCCCAAAAATGATATTATAAGTTGCTTCAAATAATGGGAATTCTTTTGTCTTTTTAACATTTGTTAATAATACATGAACTTCTTTAGCAGTAACGATCCCTTGAGAACTTTGACCATTTAATAATCTCCTTTCAGCTTCTTCAGCTGAAGAACCAGTTTCCGCCATATATCTTCCAATTTTAACATTTCTACCACCATTACAACTGGTAATTAAATCAGCAACCCCACAAGATTCAGCAGTAAAAGTATGTTGTTTTGATTCTGGGAAAAACATTTCTGAAAATTTAATTGTTTCTAATAAACCAATTCTCATAACTGCTGCCTTGGCATTATCACCCCAACCTAATCCTTCAACAAATCCAACCGCTAATGCAACAATATTCTTTAAAGCACCAGCAACTGAAGTACCAGCTACATCTTCAATGACATGAACATGGAAATAAGGTCTATGGAAAGTAGCTTTTAAAATAAATTCATCAATATCTAGACCAGGACCACGATAATCTGCTGGTAAATTATATGCAATTGTAGTTTCTGACCAATTTCCTCTAGCAATTTCAGGAGCTAAATTTGCACCAGAAAGTGCACCACATACAATTCCTAATTCATCAGATATATGAGTTGATAATAATTTACAACCATCAGGATTAACTTCCAATCCTTTAAGACATGAAATACCTCTAACTGTAGGTGGTACTCTCCCCTTCAATTGTCTTAAAATATTAGTTAAGAATTGATGAGGGAAATTAAATACAATTAAGTCAGCTCCATTAACAGTTGATAATAAATCAGGATCAGCGATTAAATTATTTGGTAATTTAACTCCTGGTAAATATTTAATATTTTCATGTCTTGTATTAATAATTTCACTTAAATTTTCATCATTAATTTGTTCTTCATAAACCCACATTTTAACATCATGAGTAAATAATCTTGGTCTTGCCATACAATTTTCAGCAATCATTTTAGCAATAGTTGTACCCCAATTACCTGCCCCTATTACACATATTGTAAATGGTTTATCCGGAGATAAAGAAAGATTGGGATGAGGAACACAATTTATTTTATTAGGTTGAAGAATTTGTGACAATTGTTGTAATCTTTCATTTGCATTTGCCAGTGTTGTATTAGTAGTATTAGATGACATTTGTAAATGTATAATAATGTTTATATCTGTTTAAAAAGTGAAGGTTAGTAAATTGTAAAATAATTCAATTAAATTATGTTGTTACTTTATTGGTTCTTTAAATATTTAAATAAAAAAAAACTTTTTTTTTTTTTTAATTTGTTGGGAATTAATATTTTATTTTATTAACAAAACAAAAGAAATTTCTGAGATAAACTTCGTAAATTTCGCAAATGATTGTATATTTTCTTATTATTTTACTTTGGGTAGGTCAGTAAATATGGTAGAAGATCTATTCCTATAAGTATAAATAAATTGATTTCGTAGATGAACTAAATTAGATCAAATCAAAAAAAAAGGGTGAAGAGAAACATTAATTAATTTATAGTCAAATCTAATCAACTTATTACTGGCACATCAACCGAGGTGCCATCTCACCTGGTGGTGGTGTTCCATTAAAAAATTTATTAGTCGTCGTCGCATGAGAATAATAACCCACTTTTCATAAAAACTCTAATTTCATAAGAACTGGTCATAACTAACGGTTACAAAAAAACTTTAAAAATGTCAAAATGACATATGATATTTTTTGATATCTCAGATGAGTCAAATCTAGAGCACATGTAAGAGATTTAAAGGTCATCTTGTTTTTTAAAAAATGAACCCTATGGACCTTATCTTTATTTTTTGAATCACCTTATTCGAAGGGATCTCGCCTTAGCGAAAAATATTAGTCACGTCTTCTCAATGATTTACATTAATTGGAATTTAAACTATTAATAAAGTAATATGAAGATCTCACAAGATAGTTGAAAGTAAATACTTTCAATTATACAGAGGTTATATCCTCGTGCACATTCAAGTCCGAGGTGTGGATTTCATTTGTATGTAACAATGGCTATATTGTTTAAAGAAAAACATTTCCGTTTACGGTAATTACTTTAAAAAATGGGTGCAAAAAAAAAACTTGATATTAGTCCAATTGTAAAAGGTTTATAATATTGTCCATATTCTATACATCTATAACATTATTATATAATTCCGACGTATTATTACTGCATCAGCCAACTACCGTATCCGATACTACCACTTCGGCTACCACCGATACCTCCGGCATCATCATCTTCATCCTCATCATCATTGTTATTTCCTCCTCCACCACCAGCACCACCTCCTCGCTTATTGTCATCTAAATAATTCAAATTGTCAATATATAATTTCTTTTCTGAATTTCGTTTACAAGTTAATGTACCCTTGTGTCTCTTTAATGCATCTTTTCTAGCAAACCCTTTCCCACAAATATCACAAATATTAGGTGGGATACTTAAATGTTGTTTTTCATGACGTTTCAAATCTGAAGAACGTCGGAAAGACATTGTACATTTATCACAAGGAAACCTTCTTTCTTCTCCTCCGCTTCCTGCTTCACTTGTTCTACGTGATTCTGCTATCGATTGAGGTAGATTTACTTGCGAGCTACGTTGCGGTAGTTGGTGTTGTTGATGATGTTGCTGATATTGGCGTTGTTGTTGTCTCTGTTCCTGTTGCTGTTGATGCCTCTGTTCCTGTTGCTGTTGATGTCTCTGTTCCTGTTGCTGTTGTTGGTGTTGCTGCAGATGCGGAAAAGAATCCTCAAGTAAGAAATTCCAACCTGGGTCATTCTGACTTGTGGTAGCAGTAGAAGTATTGGTACCACTTGATCTGTTGATATTCCCGGTAAATATATCATTACTTAAGTTGGGGAATTGCGAATAAAATCCCTGGATATTTAATTGTCCACTTTCATTTGCCTCGATTCTATTCAGATTGGAGATTGGATTCCCATGAGGAGAACTGGCATATTGTAATCGAGTTAATAAATCCAGAATCGTAGGGTCAACAACTTGTCGATCACTAACACCTTTGGCAGTGGCAACTAAGGCATCTCTAGCTAATCTTAAAAACCGTTCATCTTCAGTTTCCTTGGTGCCATTCGATCCACTTGTAATATGGCTACTAGATGCCGAAGGCATCGTATTTTCTCGAGTATAACTTATATTTGGTTGGGAAGATCTTAGTAGAATTTCTTGCTTTGGTTTTTTTGTTGGTGGAGATCCAGGAGATGTTGCTGAAGGTAAAAATGCCGACGTATGAGACGACGAACTAGTAGCCGTTGAAAACATATCGTAGTGCGTAGGTTGTGAGGGCAATATTGGAGGTAAACTTTGTGTACTTGACTTTCTATTATGTCGATGTTTTTTGTTAGTATCAGACTGACTTGGTTGATCCATATGATTAAAAGAAAAGAAAGAAGGAAAGAAAGGGGGTGGCCAGATGAGGTATGTATGTTTTTGAAGGATCCTTACACTATTATATAAAACAAATGTTACATAAAATAGCAAAAAAGCATTAAAGTAGGAGTGGAGGGGTGTGTAAGATGATACTATTCGGTTGTTATTCCTTTTTTGTCTTTTTATGATAACGGGATCTTTTTGACAGGATGTCAATTAAGTCGCAATTCTTTGTTTTTGAATTCACGTAACTGTGGATTTAAACTTACGTGATAATTTATTGTTCAAAACTAATGCCATTTGGATATTTAAGAATTTTTAATTAAATAAAGCCACAGTTTTTCGCAATTGGTAAGTTTTCTGAAACGGTAGTATTTATTTATTTATTAACCAAAAAAAAAAAATTAATATTATGGCTGATCGCGAATTGCCGTTTGATAAAATGTTGGTATTCAATTGGTTCTAGGTGGAAATGGATAAACTAATGGGGGAGTGGCAAATGTAGCAAATGTCACTTTGGAATTGTCCTACTTTTCATGATAAATATCAAACATGAGTGTGGAAGCATCATAGCCTTTTCGACCTCGGATACCCAGCTGGCAACCATCACCATTCATGACTCCACAGTTTTCCTTCTTTTTCAAACTCCGAGATAAGATTGGATCATAAATAGACTTCTTGATTATACGTACCTTCAATGTCTCTATCGTTTCAAATTTAATCTCGTCTTTAGATTAGTCAATTAGTATCAAACTGTATTCTACTTTGTTATATATCGTCAAACCTTGATGTGATAATATAATGCACAAAACTAATACACACGACTGTGAACTTACTTTGGATGTCCTCTTTCAAATGATTTTATTTTGAGGCTTTTGATATTCTGTAGTGAACTACAATAATACACTGTGTATTAATATTTATTTAAATTCATTCATAACTTCGGTTTAATCATAAATAAAATTGGAAATGCTTATAAAATTTATTCAAGAAATTACAACTAGTCATGTGATTTATCGTTAATTCCTGTATATAATAATAATATCCTTACTACAGGAAAAAAAAAATGTGGTTGCAAAATTCATTTTACTGGTATCAACCAAATTAATATTTTGAATCAAATTATATTCTATCCACTATTCAAAAAAAGGGTTATCTTTTAAGAATCTCATATTTGAAAAGCGCATGGCTGCAATATACATTCTGTGTGCCACCTTTTCGAGAGAGGGCACGAAAACGAACTCGACCTTTCAATTTTTCAAGCTGAAACAATAGAAGATCCTCCACAGTCCTTTCCCCACATAAATTCGTTATCAATGCATCATTATCCAGCATATGCCCCTATCCGTTAACAATATGAAAGTATAAGATTATGTGTGGTAATTCAGCTGCTAATTCATGGAATAGTAGAATGATCAAATAGGTTTCAAGGTTGCGACAGAATTACAACAGTAACCTTGTACAGATGCCTCAAGAGTCCATTTTACATCCCCTAGCAAACTTGGTGTCCACTCTCTTCGGTTTGCCAACCGAATAAGTTCTTGAATCCCTCGCCTTAGGTGACATGACAAACAGGAAAAGCTTTAATTATCAGACTGTTTTAGCTGCTATAACGGGGAAGTAACCAAAATTTTGCAGTTGTCTACCGGGTATCCTGTTCCACCGTACCAGCAACAACTTTCAGTTTCTATGCTCTATTTTATCGTTAAAATAATTGTATTTAACTTCCTTTATATCACTTTACAATTTGTTTTAAGTTATTTGGAGCTTATCTCAATTTATAGGATTTATTGCACTTGGTAATTTTTCGCACCCAAAATACGCAAAACATTCTCCTGAAATTCTACTGGTAAACGAAAAAATATTCATCAGGTTTCAATCTGAAGTGAATTACCGCTAACCAGACTAATATAGCGATAACGTTTGTAATAAATAATTGCTTATATTCCACGTCCAATGGTATGTCTAGTCCCAATTATAGTAAGCTTTGGTTGGTGAAATTTTATCTTTCGGATAGTTTACGGGTTAACCCATTTTTGCATGTTACATATTTTTTGCATGTTACATCATTAGAAAAATGTAAATTCTTTTTTAGCCAGGAAAATTCATCAAATTTCGATTTTTGAATCTTCCTTCCCCCGCTATCAATCAACATTCCAACATCAGTTAAATACAATGACATCATTTCAAGATCTTCCTTCTCGTCAGAAGTCACAAAGAATACAGAATAGAATGAAGGCGCAACAACAGGGTGATGAACATCAACTTCCCCATGAACTAAATGCATCGCATGGGACTAAACGTTTTCTTCCCTATAAATCACGTCCTAGAACTATAACCGGTTTACATGAACTCTTACCAGGGTTGAATGATATAAGTGATGCATTTGAGGCATTGCCTTTGGATATAATTAAATATTTCACATTATTAAAAGAGATTGATGCAAAATGTATTAATACTATTCCAATTATAAATAATCAGATTGAAAAGTATATAAATTCAATTCATGAACAATCACAACTTTCACAAAATAATAATACGAATAATAATGAAAAGAGTAAAGAAACAAGATTGAATGTGATCAAGAATAAAATAAATGAAATTATTCCTTGTTTGGAAGAAAAGATGCATGTAACTTCAATTGCTACTGATTTATTAAGTAAACATATGACTAGAATAAATCAAGCGTATAAATTAATTATTCAAAATAATGAAATTCCAGAAAGTATTAGAATTGGTCCTTTGAATCATCCAGCAATGATTATGGATTCTGCAAATTCAAATATCACCAATCCAAATAATCCAAATGCTAATTTCGATAGAAGTGTTCCAAGTCAACGTAGTGAAAGTAGGAGAGAAGCATTAGCTGCCAAGAAAGCAAATAAAGAAACTGATGATGGCGGAGAACCTAAATCTTCAAATGCTGGGAGAAAGAAGAAGACGAATCAAGAACCAACCCCAGGAGTTGATGGTAGACAATCAGGAATGCCAACTGGATCAGCCGCAGCCGCGACTAATTCAGCTTCGTCCAATGCTTCAATAGGCACGGCTCAATCCTTATCAACTAGTAATTCTAAAAAGAGGGGAAGAAAAGAAGATTCCAATGGAGCAAGTAGCAAAAAGAAAAAGAAGAATGAAAATGAAGAGACTGATAATAGTTCACGAGTATCTCCAAATGCTACTTCTAATAATAGTACTGGAAACACGAATCAAAATAAAACTCCAAGGAATAATGAACCTACGTATTGTTATTGTAATCAAGTATCATTTGGAGAAATGGTTGGATGTGATGGAGATGATTGCAAACGTGAATGGTTTCATTTACCTTGTATTGGATTCAAGAATCCTCCCAAGGGTAAATGGTATTGTGATGATTGTTTAGTTAAGATGAAAAAGGTTAAAAAGGTATAACTGTAGTCTATGTAATTTCATATATGTTTAAAAATAATAAGCCAATTTTATCTTTGACTAGGATACTTTTATGTTTTCATGAATGCGCTACACCAATATGAAATTGTATTCTCAGTTGAGCTCAGTTAATTAGGATTTTATTTGAAGGTATACATGTAAGTATTCCTTTTAGGATGATTCTCATTCATAGCTGTGGAATTGACTATTACACAGTATACCCATAAAGGTTTTTTTGACCTTCTTAATGACAGAATCGTTCACCTTCCATACCAAGTGTACATGTGCTATAAATAGTGCATTTTCTTGATTTCCGGTGTTTGCCGCGCGCATCAAAAAAATATTCAGAACAATGAGAACAATTTCGGGGATTCCAGGAGTGCATTTCCGAAGAACAAATGGCATTGCCCCTTCGAAAATACAAAGCCAAATAATATAGACAATGAACAAATACAAAGAAAGAGTGGGGAGGGGGAGAATGCAGACTTACGGAAATCATTGAAATGCATTGCATTCCCTATTGGTTAGCTAAAACAATAACCGAGGTTACCTCCATTGATATTTTCTCTTAATTGGATACAACCGGCGAAAATTGCACAATCGAGAAACAAAAAAATGTAACGTTTCATCCAGTGGATGGCATGGCATAAAAAAAGATCTAGTCTGTATATTTTTGAGGGCCCCTTAGTAAGCCAAACTAAATCGTTTGACAAATTTCGTACTTTTAAAGAACCGCACAAAGTAAGTGAATCTATAAGCTAAAGAGGCGAAACATCTACTAATGAAGCAGAATGTGTAAATTTATTGAGGTGGGGAGGAGGGCGGTTATTTTGCAGTGGCAGGTCTTTGGATTGTTGCCAGGGGTGAAATTGCTGCGAGAGGCTGATCCCTTGTATTCAACACTTACTTTATCCATTATCTTTACAGAGAGAAAGAGACGAACAACAAGACAAAAATAATAAAATAATAATAGTGACCTCAATAATTTCATTTCGTTTAGTAAAATTTCAAATTTACAAATAATAAGAATAATTTATTATTTTTATATCAATCTCGTGTTTATTTTATAAAGTATCACTCTGGTGTCTCCTTTTTTTTTTTTGGCCCTGATTCTTCTTCTTTTAAATATGAAAAGTTTTTCCCGGATTTAGAATTTTAACTTTTTTTTTTTTATTCAATTTCTATTTTAGAATAATCCCCCTTTTTTTTTGGCTTTCTTTCTTATTGCAAATACAGAGAAGAGTTAATCAATTGAATCTTTGATAAGTTTTCCTTGTTTCAATTAAAGTTAGTGTTTCAATCCTCGGTTTTCAGAAAGGTAAATTAAACACATTCATTCATTTCAATATAAAAGACTAGAAATAAAAACCAATGTTGAGAGAATATAAATTAGTAGTTGTTGGTGGAGGTGGTGTTGGTAAATCTGCCCTTACAATTCAATTAATTCAATCCCATTTCGTCGATGAGTATGATCCAACAATTGAAGATTCATATCGTAAACAATGTACAATAGACGGTGAACAAGTTTTATTGGATGTATTGGATACAGCAGGACAAGAAGAATATTCTGCAATGAGAGAACAATATATGAGAACAGGTGAAGGATTTTTATTGGTATATTCAATTACATCTCGAAATTCATTAGAAGAATTACAATCATTTTATGAACAAATATTAAGAGTTAAAGATGCCGATCATGTTCCAGTAATTGTTGTTGGAAATAAATGTGATTTAGAAATTGAAAGACAAGTAAGTTATGAAGAAGGTTTAGCATTAGCAAGACAATTCAATTGTCCATTCTTGGAAACTTCTGCAAAACAAAGAATTAATGTTGAAGAAGCATTTTATGATTTAGTTAGATCTATTCGAGATGGCGGGAAACCAAATGGATTAAATGGAGAAGCTATAATAAACAAAGAACAATCTAGACAACAACTGAATAGAGATCAACTACAAGGGGGTGAGGATGTCGGATACCATAATGACGATGTGCTAACTCAAGATTCACAAGCCGATGATATTGCAAGAAGAAAGCAACAATCAAGGAATAATCAAACAAGACAACAAGAACCGAAAGAGAAATCTGGATGTTGTGTGATTGTATAATAAAAAAAAAGTTCCTCCTAGTTGTTCTTTCTAACTTTTGAGATGTTTCTTTATATCCCAGAGATATCTATCATTTTTTAACAGGTTAAAAAGGAAAATATTCATTTTGTTTATGATTCTATATATTCTTTTAATTTTTTTTTTCATTCTTTTTGAGTTTATGGTTCCAAAAAATTATTCAATGTTTGTTATTTGATTTGTATTAATTACTTGTTATTGCTTAGCAGTAATTTACTTTTCTTAATATTTAATTTAATTTAATTTTTATTGTGTTTGATAAAGTTGCTTTACTAAATCAATTTATCTCTTTAGGATATTTCTATAATTAGAAATTTTCTTGCCGAGGCTTAACCAAATTCTTTATAGTTGTGGTGCAAGACTATCTTGGATAAAACCGGGTCGTCCTTGTTATGAATTCAGAGAATTGCTGTCCATGTAATTCTACAATAGGAGATTCGATTTGGTTACGAATTTTGTTGACTTCTGAAGTTTAGTTAAATTCTTCCGATTAATTCCAAATAGCTTGTAATGCATTTGCCTTACGCGTCACTTGCTATAATTAAATAGTGAGTATTTCTAAAGAAGTTTTATGAAAAGGGCTGGATGGGATTATACCCTACTTAAATGTCTTTATTAGTTTCTAGTCCCCCCATAGAAGGAAGCGTTTGTACTTGTGCGTATACTACATTATATTTTAGTAACATATTAAAGGTTAAAATTTAAATTCAGTAATGACAAGCGAAGCGACAACTTTTATTTTATTAAGAGGCTTTTTATAGAACAAAATGCAACCCAAAAAAAATAGTAAGCCGTATATAAAAACACATCAAATAAAAATGATAAATGAATTTCCCATCAAAAAAAAGAGTTTACTAGTATAGAGTTTCTTTTAAACTGTGAATTACTTAAACTAAGAAGGCATCTTCTTATTGTCTTACCAGATAGTATTTAACTCCAAGTGGTTTACTCAACAATTTTTAATATTCAAATTTTCTGGCAAATCAATTGTCCCGGGATTTATCGTGAGAAGAAGAAGAAAAAAATTCCCATAAGAAAATTTCAATTTCTTCCGAGCAACGTTTTTAAAAATCCAATTGATTGTTTTCCAATCATTTACTACCCAATTCCTATAATAATTTACAAGCACACACTACTGTCCCAATGACGAGCAGTCATAGTCCCATAATATCATATAACCAACCGTCCTCATATTCATCGTCATCTTCACACTCAACCAACTCAAATTCGCCCAGTTCCACGACTACCACCACTACCACTGCATCGGGTCCACCTACACACAAGCCAGACGATTATGAGAGTCTTTTTAACAAGTTGGATATTCAGCACACTGGGGAAATAACCCTAAGTGACTTTAAGAAGGCTATTAAATCTCTTAATCATCCTATAAGCTCAAATCCGGACTTAATTCAAAAGATTTTCAATTCATTTGATTCAAATCATGATAAAGTAATTGATTTCAATGATTTTAAAATATATCTTTCAACTACTGATGATCAAATTTTGAAAGGCTTCAATGTAATAGATCAAGATAATGATGGGAAATTAAATAAAGCAGATTTTGTTCGATATTTAAAACAATCACTTAATTTAAATCCCAGTGAATTTAATATTGATTTATTCTTTAAACAAATTGATTATAAAAATGATGGGTATATAACATATGATGAGTTTCGACAATTCTTATTATTGATGCCAAGATTACATGGATCTAGAATCAAAACCGCTTTTAATTTTATTGTTGAAGAATTTGATATAAGTTCCGATGGTGATGTTACATTAATCAATCAATTTTTAAATGGATTTGGATTCTTTTTAGCTGGTGGGTTTTCGGGAGTAGTTTCGAGAACATGTACTGCTCCATTCGATAGAATTAAAGTGTTTTTAATTGCCAGAACCGATTTATCATCAACGATTTTGCATTCGAAGCAAGAAATTGCAAGACAAATTGCTTCAGGGGCAGAATTACATATCATTGAAGAATTACGTAAAAAACTAGCCCATGCTGAATTACAAGTTGCCAAAGAAAAAGCAGCGGCTGCAGCAACAACGACTTTACGAGAAAAGACCATTAGATCTCCTATTGTACAAGCAGCAAGAACTATTTGGATACAAGGTGGTTTTAGAGCATTTTACGTGGGGAATGGATTAAATGTTGTAAAAGTTTTCCCTGAAGCAGCCATGAAATTTGGTTCATTTGAAGCAGCTAAAAGATTCTTGGCTAGAATTGAAGGAGTTGATGATGTATCTAAAATGTCTAAATTATCAACTTATTTAGCGGGTGGATTTGGTGGGGTTGTTGCTCAATTTGCCGTATATCCAATTGATACTTTAAAGTTTAGATTACAATGTTCAAATCTTGATAGTTCACTTAAGGGGAATGCATTATTAGTACAAACAGTTAAAGATATGTTTCAAGAAGGTGGGGCGAGAATATTTTATCGAGGAATACTTGTTGGAACTGGTGGGATTTTCCCCTATGCTGCATTAGATTTAGGAACATTTACAACCCTTAAAAATTGGTTAGTAAAACGTCAAAGTAGAAAAACTGGAATTAAAGAAGATGATGTTAAATTACCAAATTATATGGTATTAAGTTTAGGGGCATTATCAGGGACATTTGGTGCAACTGTTGTTTATCCAATTAACTTATTAAGAACTAGATTACAAGCTCAAGGTACATATGCTCATCCTTATACCTACAATGGATTTTTTGATGTTTTACATAAAACTATAGCAAGGGAAGGATATCCTGGTTTATTTAAAGGTTTAGTTCCCAATTTAGCCAAAGTTGCTCCAGCTGTTTCTATTTCATATTTTATGTATGAAAATTTAAAGAGTTTTTTTGGATTAAATAATAAAGTGAAGAATTGAGTAGAATTATTTATTAAATAGTGAATATATTTATATATTACAATATTTATTTCATAGATCAAAATATTTCATTATAAAGATCAAAATTTATTATTTGTAAATCAACATTTCCAATGGGTATATAATCTTTCTTTTCAATTGGTTGATCATATGATTCAACAGTTTGTTGTTGTTGTAATCTCACCCAATTGGATGTTGTTGGATTAATCTGTTCATCTAAATCAACTAATATCTTGAAGAAGTTAGTATCATCTCTATTATCATCAATATTCAATTGTTTTAATTGTTGAATATGATGAAATAATATTGAATTAAATTGAGTATAAATTTCTTGCCAATCAATTCCTTCAATATTTAATTTAGATGATTGATCATTGGCTATATCATCTAAATTATTAATAGTTTGTTGTAAATTGATAATAAAATTATGAAATTTAATCAAATATTTACTTTTAATTTGATTAGTATTTGTATTATAAATTATACAATTAATTTCATTTAAACCATTTGATTGACTAACTATTAAATTATTAATAATATTTATAATTAAATCATTTAAATATTGTTGAATTAATGGATTTCTATTTTTATAAATTATTAATTCAAATGATTTAAATTTATCAAATGTTAATTGATTATAAATTTTATTATAATATAAAATTTGATTTATCCAAACAATAAAGAATTCTTTAAATGTTAATAATAAATTATTAATAGTTAATGGAAGTGAAGAAGATGTCCCTTCCATGCTTACTTACTCTGTAACTAATTATGAGTTGTCTTTAAGGTTGCCCTGGGCCAGTTTATAGACGCGCATTTCCACGGCGCGTGATTATTTATATTTTGATATTTTGATTTTCAATTTTTATAAATTTTTATGAATTTGTTGCTTTTCATTATCCAATGAATAATATACAAGGTATTAATACAACTGATGTTTCTAAGATTACTTCAGGACAAGTGATTATTGATTTGAAAGCAATTATTAAAGAATTAGTTGAAAATTCAATTGATGCTGAAAGTACTAAAATCGAAATCATTTTTGTCAATTATGGAATTGATTCAATTTCAATTCAAGATAATGGAATTGGTATCAATCAATTAGATTTTGAAACAGTATGCCTTAGAAACCATACATCAAAATTAGCTGAATTTGCCGATCTAGAATCATTAAATACTTTAGGATTTAGAGGGGAAGCTTTAAATTCAATTTGTTCTATTTCAAAATCAGTTTCAATGATAACAAATACAATTAATGATTATCCTAAAAATTATCATTTAAAATTTGATCAATTTGGTAAATTATCTTCCAAAATAGAGAAAATTGGTGGTATAAGTAATAAATCAGGTACTTTAATTAAAATTGAACAAATTTTCCATAATTTACCAGTTAGATTAAAGAATTTTATTAAGAATAATAAGAGAGAATTTCAAAAATCAATAAATTGGTTAATTAATTATTTATTGATTTATCCCAATATTAAATTTACCATTTATAATCTTATAAATTCCAAAAAACAATTAATTTTATCAACAAAGGGAGGTAAAGATTGTTCAATAATTGATAATTTAATTTCAATATTTGGTAATAATGGAAATAAGAATTTATTACCCATTTCATTAAATGTCAATTCCGATATCAATTTACTGGGATATATATCATCCTATTCATTCGGCTTGGGTCGTTCAACCCAAGATAGACAATTCTTATTTATAAATAAACGACCAATTATTCTTAAAAGTTTATCGAAATTAATTAATGAAGTTTATAAATCTTTTAATCATGTTCAATTTCCTATTTTCATTTTAAATTTGGAAATTAATACTAATATATTGGATGTAAATTTATTACCTGATAAATCACAAGTTTTAATTCATCAAGAATCTGAATTGTTGGAATTGATTAGACAGAATTTAATTGAGTTTTATGAATCCCAAGATAATATCATCATTCCAAAGAATAACAATGTCTCTTTACAACTGGTTATTAAACTGGTTGATCAAGAGATTGAACAAGGAGCATTATTGTTGCAGAATAGAAAACTGAAAAGAAAGCTACAGGCTGAGACCGCGGACGAAAAGTTATTCGAAGAAGATTTTGAGGATGAAGTTGTTGGGAACATCGATGACGCTGTTGGAAACATCCTGAGGAAAGAGACTGAACTAGGAAATGGAGAGGGTCACAAAGGTTTTGTACTGAGAGAACCGAAACAAATAGATATTTTAGATCCCGATGACATCTGTAAAGCTGTTGACGAAGAATATGAAAGTGAAGAAGTAGACGAAAAAAGTGAAGTAGATAGCCAGAATGACATAACAAGGCCGTATGAGAAACAATTAGACAAACAGCCGCCACCAAATGCCGCCTTTGAGATTACTAGAATAGAGTCCTCTACAGGGAAAATACAAGAGCAAGATAGCGTGGATATAGAGGATGTTGACGAGGAAGAAGTGGGCGACATAGAAGAGTCTGAAGAGGAAAGTGTCGCTTTGCACAATGTTCCTGTTGAAATTAGCAAATCCACCACTTCTGCACCACTTAGTTCATCTCAATGCTGTTCAATAACTCAAGGCGACTCTATTTTCAGTTCTGAATTTTCCCCGTCGTCAATAGACTCAATTGAACAACAGCAAAGCAAGACCGACCATTGCAATCATGCGGATGATCAGCATGGAATTAACTTTTATCCCGTAAAGGATGACATTTTGACTATAGAAGTTGGGTCAAATGTCTTTGAAGAAAGTCTGATGGAACGTCCAAGCAAACGGGCTAAGAAACTGAACAATCTATATCAAACAAGAGTTGGCTATAGTTCTGAACAATTGCTATCGAATTTAAAGTTGCAATATTTTGATAACAATAATTTGGAACAGGAAGGGAAGAACAATAATATTACAATCAATCAAGATTTGATTGATAATGATAAACTATATCATATCCGTAAGTCGGATTTTTTATCAATGAAATTAATTGGTCAATTTAATTTAGGGTTTATATTAGTTAATCATCATGAAAATAATTTATTCATTATCGATCAACATGCAAGTGATGAAAAGTTTAATTTTGAGAATTTACTTGCTAATTTTCAAATCAAATATCAACATTTAGTTCTTCCTAAACAATTAGAGTTAAATATAATTGATGAAATGACTGTAATTGAACATGAAAAGATATTTATTGATAATGGGTTTAAATTACGAATCATTAGTGATAATTTACCGGGTAAGAAAGTTTTATTAATTTCATTGCCAATATATCAAAATATTATATTCTCCCTTGATGATTTTTATGAATTAATAAATTTAATTAATGAACAACCATATAATAATAATATTAAATGTAATAAAATTAGAAAGATTGTTGCCATGAAAGCATGTCGTAGTAGTATAATGATTGGAACATCTTTATCTAATTTTAAAATGAATCAAATTGTTAATAATCTAAGTACATTAGATAAACCTTGGAATTGTCCTCATGGCAGGCCAACAATGAGACATTTGGTTGAATTAACTAATTGGAAAACAAATAGTTATTATGATTATGAAATTTGAAAATATATTTAAATTTAGAAAGTACATTATTAATAGATTTACGAAGTAGTACATGTACAATATACGATTATTCTTGATTCTTTTGCAAAACAACGTTAAGCGAACAACTAATGACGTATTTCATTTTACTAATATATTAATCAGAAAAGAAAAAAATAAAAATAAAAATGAATCATATGATTATGAACCTATAAATTACCCCCCATTATGAATCTAGAATTAAACAATGAGGTAATGGGGAAATATGAATTTATTATTTATTATCATTCTCTTTTTGTTTTAAAAGAATGTATATCGTATTATTTTTAAGATTATGCACTTTAGATTGAAAATAATCTATTTTTTTTGACAATTCTCCACATCTAAGATAGCCTTCATGGGTTAAGTGATTCTTTTTTTTGAAGAAGAATCGAATTTTTTGATAATTTTCTTGACTAATAATTTCTCCCCTCTTTGAGGATTAAAATTAGCTTCTGAAAAGAAAAAGAAAAATTGAAGTACATAGTCGATTTTAGAATGCTGGTGTGAATGCTTTGTTCATGTTTAGAGACATCGACTGAGTTAGACACCGAAGTTTACGAGTTTTTTGTTTAGATAACAAAGGGGGTATGGAAAAACATGAGGAAAAGGGCTCACTAAAAAATAAAATTTTATGATTGTTGAAACCATGACTTCATTCGCCACATCAAAATGGGGTAGTATATACGAATAAAATAAAAGTTAAAAAATGTCAAAAATAAATCCAAAACTTTGTCCTTTTCGAAGATGATTACTCGAAAGGACTACCATTTATGCATATAGAAATACACAAAACTCTTAAGGAGGTAGTCTGAGTGAATTCATGTAGATACCGAGGTTGAGACCTGGCACAATTTCCACAATTTTAAAGCTGGCAGGCAAGCCATTGAAAGCCAAATCTGGAAAAATATTTTTTAATTTATAACTCTGCTAGAATAGCCGCACCCTGCTTGATTTTAATTTAAAGTTGACATTATGAAATTGACGTTGTACATCAACTAAGACCTAAAATCTCTTAGAACAGAACACCTTTAATGACTGTAAACGTAGACTTTCTTAGTGAAGAATAGATTGAAAAGTCCTTCTATCCCACTTCTTATTACTTCTTTTGCATCAGAACAATATGAAATTATTAACATCCCGCCTTTGTTTTGAAGATATTTTTGAGTTGACAAAATGAAATATTAATCTTCTAGAACGTTGTCTAAAATAAGAATTTGAATGTATCATAAAAAATAATTAAAAGTTAATAATTGAATAATAAAAAAATAAAAAATAAAATTGTTCAAGTGATCAGCCCAAGTATTTAAAAAATAAAACAACCTTTTGGTTTTGTGTAATAAACCCTTTAAATTTATTTTTGAAATAAAATAAAATAAATTATAAATAAATTTATATATAAATTGAAACCAAAAAGTTACATTTTTAATTTCTTCTTTCCTTCTTTCTCTTTAAAATATAAATTCATTTATCAAATCTATAATTAACGTTTCAAAGGTAAAGCAACTTTCACATAAGCAAATAAAAATATTCAATTGGAATATACTTATCTAAATGCAAGTCATGGTTTATCCCCATCCCGCTTTACCTAAACCTGAAAGAAAAACGAGAAAGACCCACAAAAATTCTCGTGACGGTATGTTTCTTTATGATTCAATAAAGGAAGATGTTTTGTTTTTAACTAACATATAGTATAGGATGTCCAAATTGTAAATCAAAACGAATAAAATGTTCAGAAGAACTTCCATCTTGTTTCAATTGCATAAAAAAGAACTATCGATGTGGATATTTGGATTTCCCTAAAGAAAAATTAGACGCTATCAGAAAGAAGAATGCTAAGAAAGAACAACAGAGTCAACAACATAATCCACCTCAGTCTACATCTTCATCGGTAAACAAAGAGATCCGTAATCCACGAAAGAAAAGCACCGATTTGAGCCGTCCTCCTCCAGCTCCAACTACAGAAGAACCTCCAATGCAATTGGTTAATGATCTGTATTTAAGTAATGGAATAAGTTCTTTTTTAGATAATGATCAATTCTATAACGGTGGAAATATCAAGAATAAGTCACCAGTGCTATCAGATACACCCAACAACAGCGAACAGTTATTAAGCAATTACTTTCGTATGCCAATACCAAATGAACAACCCAATGAATCAACACCTCCGAATATATTTAATAACGTGCCACAAGACAGTTTTAGTTACTTTAATATACCTTCCGACGAACAGAAGCCTGATTTGTACAGCGATTCATTAAAAAGAATCTATCACGATTATAATATCGGCTTTGAACTTCCCAATGGTTATTCGACCGAGTCTTCAGCTGATGCCATGGTAATAAATAATGAACAAACAAATGGTTTTAACGGCTTTGAAAATAATGATACAACAGCATGGAATGATCTATTCTTACCTTCGGTAAACGATATGAGTTTCTCGTCTCCATCATCAGTAGCAAATGGAAATCCACTACCAAATGCAATTCCCAGCTCTCAGACTTTTAGAATGTTAAAATTCCCTACAAAATTAGGTGCCGTCATTAGCAACAAGAGCTACCAGAAGGACAAATTGAGTCAAGAAAGAGTCAAGGGAATGCTTATTCCAATGTGGACAAAACAGAATGTTAATGGGATCTGGTCTTCCGTGTTCAATAAGTCTATTGCTTTCAAAGTATATTTTTCATTTTTTATGGACTGTTCCTTGAATGTACTTCTCAAAGTCTGTAATAAATCAATCCATTCAGGAACAAATTTGACATGTTTCACATTCGAGACTTTGGAACAGTTGACAAGAAAATCATACAATTACTACGGATCATTGATCAAGGATTTACGAGAATCCATAAGTTCCTTAGATCCAGAATACTCGACGATGGTTTCTTGGTACGCTGGATTTTCACTGCATTTGCATACCCATACCACTGCCGAGTCAATAGCATTGCTCTATAGTGGATCATCATCCTTGCTAAACAATGCCATTGCAAAATGCGAAACAATTGAAGAAGTTCCTCCAACCTTATTGATACTAACGCATGTTTTGAAAAGCGATGTTGCTGCTTCAATGATTCCTGATTATCAATTTGAAGTCATTAAAGAACTTTATGAAGATTTAAATGAATTCAAAACCTTTATCAATTATAATCAGGGTTTAACATCCGAAAACAATGGATATATTTTGAAAGCTTATATAGAAGTCATGAGTTTTCTTAAGACACTTATTGAAGAGATTTATCCAAAGTTTGTAGCGATCAATAAATCCTACAAGGCTAAATACAACCTTGAGGACAAGACTAATAACCTAGTGTTCATTTCCCCGTCGATGTTGTTTGATTTGTTGGTGAAATGGTTTAATGTGATTCCAAGTTATGCTTGCTCAATTGGAGAAAGAATGACTCCGTTAAAGAAGACGTTCTACTTGTTTTATCCTGCGATTGGAATTGCATTGGCCAATGTATTTCCCCTGTTAAGATGCGTAGCTCTAGTTGACTCATTCTATATGCTTTATCCCCATTGTGACTTCAATAACAAACTTTATCAATTTACCATTGACGAAGTTTCAAACCCCCAGCAATATCAATATTTGTACAATTTATCTACCAAATTAATACGAATTATAAATTTCTTCACTAATCGTCAACAAATCATTAATCATTACCTACAAGCTCATTATGATTTTGGAAATTGCCATTTGGAGCTGGTTGAAACAAATGATGATTCGAGCGTTCACAACATCATAAGGATACTCCCTCCAAAATTGGACACCAAAGAGATAATGCTTTCAAACTTCGGAATAAACACTATAATCAACCTTAATAACTACCCAATGATCAACGCTTTCTTTGGAGATATTCAAAGTGAAGTCAAGCAAGTTATCGAGTACGAGAACCATGCCCAAAAGATGAGAATTAATCAGTTTAGATTAAAATACAAAGACTTACAGTCATCTTCATCGGATAAGCCCGACAGTTTTATACAAAATGATAACCAATTGCATGACTTTGACTACACAAAAGGCTATTTTACGTTTGACTATAAGATTGAGACAGCTATACAGTTGTACAGCTTACTACAAAAGAAATCATGGCCCCAATTGACTATAGAATCAATTCATATCTCCCTTTGCAACCTTGAATTGGCAATGCAAGAGATTCAAAAAAGTATTTGCAACAAACGTACTAAGTGAAGGTGGAGTTTGTCTGAGGTTGCTATCGAACAGAAATACAATAAGGCTCGAAAGTACATACTTTATTAGCACGTTTTATACAGTAATATTATTCATTTCAGTAAGCGTCTCTATTGTCGTATCGGTCATCTTGGAGAAGACGACTAAAAGCTCTAATAAAGTAGGTTGATACCGCCCCCTAACTAGTCGCATCAGGATATGCCTTTCTCACAATATACTTTGCACTCGCCCAGTATTGACTCGTAGCACAACCATCCCTATTCGTTTGAGAGCCGGTGGCTCAAACAGTCATATATTTGCAAACCTATACTTTCAGGATATACACCATCGGCTCCCTCACATTAATTGAAGAAATTTTTCACCCCAAATCAAGAAACACTTTTCTGGAATTGGAAACGACAATTTGATGGGGCCGAAACAATCCCTAGCTGACATCATATAGCCTATTAGTAATATTCCGGCGAATTTAAGCGTTGGAGGCAAGTACTTTTTAATATAGATTTACGTTTTATTAACCTGTGACTTGCTCAGCAAAAGTTCACAAATCAAAAAATGATGCAAAACAACACTCTCGAAACTTGAGCCAAATTTAGCATGGATTATGAGAGTATAAATTAGATCAACACACACTCTTTTTCATCTACGCATTAAGTATTTCTTGATCTTACAGCCCTTTGAGTTGTCCCAGTATTCATAACGCAAGCGGCTAGTTAAACATCGCCTTGTTCACAGAGAATCTTTGACATTGATCTACTCTAAGGGATGCATCCAACAACTTACTCAATCATATCAGGGCCCAAGCAGTACAATATCCTAGGCTTGCATGCATTTTTTCAGTTTTAGCGCTGCTTCGCTAAAGTAGGGAGGTAACTAACTCCGAATCCAAAAATTCGACCAGAAATGAATCAAAAAGTTTAGAATTCTTCACCAGAACACTATATTTAGACTGAGCGATCACCGAGCAAGATCAAATGCTCCTTAGTTAATGCAATCATTTTTAATAAAACGCGGAAGGAACATGAGGTTTCCAATTTGATATCTTGTCGAGTATTATGAAACACAATAACCCTTCATTTACATGGTTTTCAAGATGCTTGCCATTTTCTGGAATGGAGTCACCCCATTAGTATAATCCAAGGTCTGGTAAATCGACTGATTCATAAAATGTTTTGAGACCATCCAGAGTCAATACTAAAGTAATTGGAAATACTTTCAGAGAAGGAAGTAGGAGTCAAATGCTAACAAAAATGTCACAGAACCACAGAATAATTAACATGAAACTCAGAAACAGCGACATCGGCAGGCAAAGGAGAAAGTCAAGATCAACGAATCAATTCACTTAAGCATCCTCCATCAGTCAATAATTCCAGATTAGTTCAAGCAGAAGTTGCATAATTAGCAGACAATACACTAAATGCACATGACAAAGACCAGTTGATTGCTCGACTTCAAGCATCACATCCTGCATTCTTCGGAGGTCATTGCTACAGCTTGCATGAGAGTTGCGGTGGAATTAGAAAACCTGGCGAATGGAATTGCCACCGCTAGCATTGGCCCTGTGCCAGTGAAAGGCTGTGTCGAACCCGTCGCAACTAACCAAATCAGTTCTATTTGGATAAAGTCAAAAGAGACAAGTATTTGAGGGCGAATGCTAACCCAAAAGCAAGGTTCAGATAAGGGATTGGAATATCAATACAGTATTGAGAAATAGCAAACCAAATTTCAGCAAAACATCATCGTCCGTAATCATGAACGAACTGATCAATAATACGTCGAATCGTAGTATCTGACGAAGATACTGGGAAGAACAAACCACGAGTTCCCTCAAGATCAAACTGAGAAAAGAAGTTTCAGTGCACGTTTTGAAACGAAAAAGCTGTAATTGATTCAGAACCAGAGCCTTTTGAATGCCTCGTTTCAGCAAACATAGGGCCGAGCGTGCTGTGTAACCTTGGACGTAATTCCCTAGCTCTAGAATCTAGCATTACCAGTCTGTTATTGGGCCAGATTCATCCTGAGGTGAGCATCTAGAGTAAATTAATTACGATAACCTTGGCGGATAGGGCATCATCTTCTATAAACAAGCAATGGCAATCAACATAAGAAGATACATTAGAGGCAACACCAAAATACTACAGACAACGTTCGACTTATCTTCATGGCCAACAAACGAACCACCAACCATCAAGCTTCTAGAAATTGTAAAAGGTGAGCCATCACAGTCAGAAAAGGAGAATCCGATTGGCCAATGGTTTTTTGGTAGATACTGTAGCAGCTAACCCAGCATTGAGCGTCCCTATTGCACTCAAACCGATATGAGCGCCGTGGGAATGAATAGCCCAAGGCGAAGGCACGAATATTTCATCATCAGCAAGAGGTACCGTCCTAACATTGCGAATATCAAATATAGATAGCAAGATATCTTTCTTTAAGAAAACTGGTCAGAGATACCACCAATATTTTAAACAGTTCGGGAATCGGATACCTTCAAGTGACCAATTTCTTGATGAGCAAGCTGAGGGAAAAGCCAGTGATAAAAATAGCAACATCTAGCTTCACGAGATTGAGCCACAGTCATCGATTTTTGAGCTAGGTTACCAACAGCTCATGTTAATCAAACGTAATCAAAGGACTCTGGAGCTATAGCCGTCATATCCTTCACAATTTCACGAAATTGATCGAGAAAACTCCCTGTTGAAGGAAAGAGCAAAAGTAACTTTGATAGAAATTCACGAAGAATCGTATTTAAAGGTTGGACTTCAATATCCATAGTCAATGGTAAATCCCTGCATAGTTATCGACACCACTACAAACCAAGGGACAGTTGTCTCCATAACTACCTATTATCAGTTCCAACCTTGCCAGTTGATGGAGAGTAGATTCACTTGAATGGCTCATGAACTGAAGTAGTGATAAGGCTTCTTTATGCCTTTCGGCGTTGCTTTTCGCAAGCTTTACTGCAGCAAAACAACCACGGCTGAGTACATGTTTGGTTATTCCTTGGGAAAAACACAGCTTTGTTTTACGATACTATACGTCAATTCATAGTGTTCAGAATGACGCTCATCTATTTTGAATATCACATATTTGGCACGTCTCGCAGTGACAAGGTAAGAACCCAATTGGGAATGGTGAACAAGTTGAGAACTACATTGGGGTAGTTACAATCACGGTTTTCTGGAAATGCCCAATTACTAGATTCTTCTATGGGCAGACCAAGGAGTGTCGAGGTCGTTAAACATTTTTGGCATTACCATGACCTAGTAGAATATTCTTGTTTGTTATCCCCTCCTTACAGCCTGCAGACATTACATAAAGATCCATGATACTACAATAAAGAAGTGCACATGATATGCATAATTGCATAGTTAGATCCAAATGATAGAGAGGGATTTTGGCATGTTTGGTTTTCACTTCGAATAGGTCAACAAACATGGTCATTAGTTAGCTTCGATGTTCCGCTGTGCCTTATTTCTGGATCGGTCAACATGAATTTGGAAACTCTATTCTTAATCTAATTTAAAAATGCACTTCAGTTGAGGGAGTGTGCGTCACCAATGTGGGGTCACTTGATAAGACCGTAAAGCTTGGGACCGATAATCATATTCCAGCCAGCGATAATAAATAAGGAGATACCATAACCCTACAAACGGAATAGAAATCATTCAAGTAATAAAGCCCAGCTAGGAAACCATTTTAATAACAAAATGCCTCCCTAATGGGAACAACATTAAGCTCTCAAAGTTTTATATCTTGTACCAGAAGCATAATAAACAAGTAGGTTCATTTGGAAATTATCAAAACCAAAGACTTGTCCGCAATTATCTGAAGAAATATGCCAACCACCATTTCTACAAAATCACGAATTAAGAGTGTTGGGAAAGAATAATCCAAGCGCTTCATAATTGCTAAACTGATATGAGAATTTGTCATGAGAATAATGGATTGAACAAATTGCGTTTAAGCTAATTTGTGTAAAAATTCGTGTAAATTTTACAGAAAAGAATTCGAGGTTATGATACATTATAGGAATAGCTATTATGTTTACAGGTTCTTCAAATTTCTCACGATAGCCTGGGTCGGTAATGTCCCAGATTGTAATGTCAATATAAGGAATGACCGCTCTGATACCTTCCAGCAAGTGGACAAACCGACCGGAACTGATTTGGTAAGCCGTTTCGCCAAATATGTTAGTAGCACATACAGCAAATGTTTGAAGTCACAGAGTTCACCAACTGTAAGGGAAAGGAGCTAGTCGGTCATCAAGCCTACACTTAATTTATGCCAGGGAGGGTCGGTCTCTGTCCGAGGAACAACTGGGCGATTTAGTATGGAAATAATGGGAGCTGAACGTAAATAGTTCGAAGATATATAACTAGACTAAGAACGATTACCAACTCGACCGTTGCCACTTAGAAGGACTCTTGTTTGTCCATTTCTGTTTCCGATTAAAAGATGGGGGAGAATCCATAGGTATTTATCTAAGTCCGGGTGAATATCATAGGAGGAAGATACATGGACGCTGGGTGTAACTCGAAGTAATACAAATGCAAATTGACACCATTCCCAAACACTAGATTGAGCACATGGGAACGTTTTGTGTCTGTCATGGGTGGAACTAGGCATCTACCATGCTTTCTGGGAACTGAGAACCTCAGTCCGGGTAAATCTAACACCCCATCCTGTTGTATTAGGGTTTCCTTAGAGTACCGCCGACCGGGCGACAGAATTCGCTCAAAGCGGTCATAAGCCGAAATAAGAGGACGTCGGATCCGAAATTCTAATATTATTACTCAAATACAATACTGACTTTGTAACCTATGCTACGATCTACGGAAATGACACAAAACTAGTAGAATCTACGGGAATGACACAAAGCCGATACGGCCGAAAGCACTTTTGTGTCACACACCTTAACTCCGACCCGATCTAATACTATCACATTGCATTATTTTTAACATTTTCATTAATTTTCACACTGTTCCGGCATACAGAATCTTTTTTCTGTCCAAACCCAAAAACAATGATATTTTTACTTAATTTATACACATTTCCTGTATGAAATTTATTTGATACACAAAATATAATGCGGAGATACCTAATTAGGAAGGTCCTTAAGTGCTTTTTTAATTTTCGGCAGTTTCCTATTTTGGCTTATAGCCGATGACACAAAGTGGACTTAATTTCCGAGATTACCTGATTAGGATTGCAGCCGATAGCACAAAGTCCCATACACGCCAACCGTCAACTTTTGGACAAAAAAAACATTGTTCACCAGGCTGGCTTTTTTTATTAGAAAGAGAACATCCAATCTTACATATAAACGTTTTTTAGTTAACAAAAAAGAGCCAATCTGGTGAATAATCGGGGGAACAATCGGGTTTTTTCGGAGACAGTTGGCGTTTACTTAGTCGCTACGGATAGTAGAATTTATCAATGAAACATCTTTCCTGACATCACTGAGAGTCGTATGTCTTAGTGAAAGGCTACAATGGTCCTTGATAGCTCGTTATCACTGAGATATATTTGAGGGACGAGGTCTAAGAGATAAGTCTGTATCCCCCGCTGATAAGAGAGAAGCCCCACCGGGTCTACGTTTGACAATTGACTTCTGCAGAGCCACGATGAACACCATCCTGTAAGACCCCTAAGGGTAAGGTCCAATTTCGAGAGAGGAATAAGTCAAAATTGACCCACTGGGCTTTAGACCGCACCCAAGTGGACGTTCGATAACTAGGCAATCAGTGAGTTTGTCACTAACCGGCTGGCCATAAACATGAAACAATCCGCTACTTAGGTTAGTGCAATGAAGTAGCTAATTTGACTTAAGCTGAGGTGAGGATGACATCAGAGCCCTAAGGTTTCTGAGTGAACCAAACCTCCACACTCATACCCCAACAGTCAGGGGAAGTGTGGCACGAGGGAACGGTCAAACGAGGTGCTCAGAAGCGACGTAGACCCGAATGCATTAGGGTCAGCTTGAAAGATTTGGAGAGTGCCTAGTTTGAGAGAGTCCAACACTAATAAGAAGATAGTAGTTCCAGACGTCATGAAACGCTCCGACAATGGGGGAAGACCACCACGTGTAGCAGAACAAACGGACTGGGTTCAATGAACACGACAACCTGGTAAAGCCGTGGGAGCACGGTTGTTTACCCAAGCCACAGAACCCGGCTGGCTGGCGACTGCAGGGATTGAATTTAAACTCAAACCGATATGAGCTTACATATACCGCGGTTGTCTTTAAGTGAACTGTAAGAGGCTAGTAGTGAGGACGGTATAGAAGTTGATATGTACGTAACTGGATGGTTGAATGATTACACGATTCTCCTACTTTATAATTGCCGGACACGAAGAGGTTCCATTTGCTGTGTGCTTTTAGAATGACAAGAAGACTCTATGCAGCTTAATTCAAACCTTATTGTCCCCTATAGCCCGAGCAAAATAAGCCGTTAACTGTGAGGCATACGGCTATAATAGCTAGTGGCATTCTTAACCCTAGCGCGAATGCCAATGTGGCGGTGAGCTATTCCTCATCGGTACACCTATCCCGCCCCTTATATCTCTCTACTGCGAGCGTTGGCTTCGACCAACTACTCTCACTATGAGTCTAGCTACTTTAGACCCAAATGGGATGTGTGATCACGACCAGCTCCTGATCAGGTGTGGACTATGCCAGCATCCTACGAGTACGATCTATATCCCGTACTGCATCGTAGAGCTCCCCCCCACTCTGGCCACTTCCGACAGTATGATCTCAGACTACCTCATGGAAATCTGGGACTCTCACCGGTCGGTCTAAACTTTGTAAGGCTAAACACTGAACCAATGAGGTTTGCATAGTGTTGACACTTACCACTACTAGCGCCAGAACGGTATGAAACAGAGAAGACCAGTACGAAGTGACTAGAGATATAAGATAGGGGAAACTTGAGAGTTTCGATGTGACACCGACATCAGAAAAGCTGTCTGAAGTATCCCAGGGCTATCAGTGAAAGCTACTAGACCCTCTGCGGGGCTTAAGCTACCCTGCTACTTTCCCCTGAAGACAATTGCCCAAGCCCTCCTTATATCCATACCCACACTTCCAGCAGGTACGTAGATACTGCATAGTGAACAGGTAGAACCCACCTATACGGCAACCGATAGCGTATCAAAGCTACATAGGGATGATAGGGTCATATAGATCGAGAATCGCCATTGTCTGTTTGTCAACTCGATGCCTTATAGGCTCATCTCGTCTTATTCTGGGTGGTTGGGTAGAGCTTTTCGTTGTTGCTAGAGCCACTTCAGATGGTTTAACAAGAGCCAGCAATGGTTTTGTCATCTGTGGGTCACTCTCAGTCTTGAGTCTAGGAGTACGAAGGAAACTTAGATGCTCTCTCTGCTATGCGCTAGCGCACCAGTCCAGCGTAGACCAGCACTGGGTAAAGCTCTCGACTAAGACTGACAGTTGTCATGGCTCCAGAGAGCTCCACAAACAATCTCTGTATTCATTTTTAAAATATTACAAGAGGTACCTTGGGAAATGATAGCTGTGCCCCAGGCAGGGCAGCATAGATGAGGAGAAATTTTTGATACGACTTAGTTCTCTGATTACTAGTGATATTAACAATTCCAAACGCTAGTAATTAGGAATAACGGTTGGTACTCGTAAACTGTAGAAGTTTGCAAGTTTTGCGTGGATATTAAGTTTGTCTTGAGTTTATTTTCTGTCAAACTATGGCCACCCTCGAAGATTATTGCTCCATTCGAGGAATTGTTCATCAAAAGCCAATCCGAAACTCGTCCGTACAGAATGGCATGGCTGAAAAATCTCCAAGTACTATTGAAGTTATATCCAAGAAACTACGTTATCATCTGTACCTTCCTCCGTCATTCCGGACCTTGTCCGTTCAATGCGGTGCATTTGTTCACAACCATCTCTCATTCAATTCCACGGGTGAGATATTTCCCTTGCACGGTGCTCAGATCATTCTCCATCTTTGAACCTTCCTCAAGCAGGCTTCCTTTGCTTCCTCTTGGTTCCTTCCGAGTTAACAATCATTCGAAACTAAAACTTGCTTCTGTCCCATGCCTGATGGTTGTTTATGCAGCTGATAGGTGAAGCTCCTAAATATGCAACAGAAGTGTTTTATTGTCGGTAATCATGTTCGGTTCTTTGCACGTGGAGGTCCTGTGGCTAGAGGTAAAGTGCTGCTCCCTTCCAATCAACAAGTATGTGACAAAATTGCAGTGCTTGATTACCTCCTATTGCTCTTCAAACCCCATTTTCTGATACCAAATGTTGGTGTGTAACCTTCTTCAACCTCCTCCCAGGATTCATTCTGAAAACTAGCACCATCCGACACACAATATGGTGCTCAACCCACGACTTATGATTCAACAACTTCAATTTATCAACCGGGTCCTGAGGCCGAGAAGTGGGATCCCATTGTAAAGCGGTTCAATGATGTCCAACAACCTACTACTGAACCGCAGCTCAAGAAAGCTAAAAGTGAATCTGGTCCAGTACCAGTTGAAAAATCAATGACAACAATAGTGGTGATGAAGACTATCCACGGTTAGATGATGAATATAGGTCAGCAGCTAATTCATTGCTGGCTATGAAACCTTCTAGCAACAAGATACCAAAGAATGTTGAAGAGCCTAAGAGAAGTCCCGACTGGGTAAAATGGAAAGCTATTGATCCAGAAATTATGGCACATCAACAAAATCAAAAGTTGGACTTTAACTAATGGTTGTATGCGACTTCTCACTTGAAAAGATGATGTTAAGACTACTCCCATTGCACAGGGATTTTGTCAACGTGAAAGCATTAACTACACGGAAATATTTGCTCCAACTATTAGAAGTTAGTCTATTAAACTTCTCAAGGTATTATCAGCAAAGACTTGTAAGTCCATTTATCAGATGGACTTGCCAACTTCATTCTTGAATGGAATCCTCAAAGAAGAAGTCTACATGAATGTGCCTCCAGGTCTTGTGGTAAAGGATAGAAGTTTGGTATGCAAGTTAAACAAGTCACTCTACTATTGATTAGAGCAAGCGCCTCTCTGATATCACAATCAACGATCTATTGGTCAATAATGGTTATAAAAGATTGACTGGTGAACTTGGTCTATTAGACTGCGAGGTTTATATTGGTTTATATTGGATGATTTGCTTATATCAGGTAACCTGATTGAAGACATTAATGATGCGAAGTCACTACTCAAGCTGAAGTGAAGGTTCTAGGTCTAACACAGAAATTCTTGAGAATGAAGATGCAATAGAACCAAAATGAAATTCGTGTCAGTAAGATCAAACGTTTAACAGGAGTCCACCAAACCACAAGGATCAGTATAGTGCTGCCGAACGCATAGAAAGTGAAGTTCTGTGTATTGAAAAATGTACATTTGGCTCGAAAGTTTGCTCATCCAGAAAGGATGGTCTCTCAATAAAAGGTAATGAAAGCATTTAGTTTACGCTACTTCAACTTTTACCACAAAATTTAGTGTTTTTCTTCAATACAATTTAGTCCATCAAAAGATTTGACAAGAATCACCCACATTGGGCTGGAATACGAAGAAGAGAAACTCTCCAGTTGAATCTCTATTAATTGTCTGCCGAAAGCTGTTGGAGTTGCCGTCTTCAGCCATGCCGTTACAGCAACAACATCCACTTTTTTAACCGGACTTTCACGGAATGAGACTCGTAACTAGAAGTTCCGATGACTTTTATCCAGGTGTTCATTGTGTGTAGCCTATTGCGCTCCGTTAGACCGTAGAAAACTACTTGCTCTTCTATCGCTTGAGGAAACTGATCTAAGCCGAAGAATTGATTCCGCCGGTAACCGTGTTTTATTCTGTGTAACGTTCTTTTATAATTACATAATTTATTCTTTAATATACCCGTCAGGCACTAAAAGTGGTGAGATTTTATTTTTTTAATTGTTTGTGCGTTTCCGGAGCCTAAAGCGGGATGGGCATAGCCAAAAATTTCATTGTGATTACGTAATCTATGGAGAAAATCAAATTTTCAGGAGCTACGGAGTTTTTCAAATTAATTACTCATTTTGTTGAGTTTGAATTAGTCATTTTCTTATTTAAATACCTGGAATCCTCTCAAGTGATTTATCTTTTTAAATTTTTCAAATATTTCATAATATTTAATAAAGAGAACTATCGCCATGCCTATGTTACAAGACCCTTCTGTTAAGTACAGAAAGTTCCCTGATATCAACTTACCCAACCGTCAATGGCCATCTCGTTCATTGGATAAACCTCCAAGATGGTTATCTACCGATTTAAGAGATGGAAACCAGTCCTTACCAGATCCAATGTCAGTCGCTGAAAAGAAAGAATATTTTAAAAAATTAGTCGCAATCGGATTCAAAGAAATTGAGGTCGCTTTCCCCCTGGCTTCACAAACTGATTTTGATTTCACTCGCTTTGCAGTGGAAACTGCCCCAGCCGACGTTGCTGTTCAAGTCCTTTCTCCATGTCGTGAAGAATTAATCATTAGAACAATTGAATCCTTAAAGGGTGCCAAGAAGGCTATTGTACACATATATCTCGCCACATCAGATTGTTTCCGTAATGTTGTCTTCGGCCTTTCGAAACAACAGTCAAAGGAATTAGCTGTCAAATGCACAAAGTTGGTTAGAAAGTTAACCAAAGATGACCCTAGTCAAGCAGGAACTGAATGGGATTTTGAATTTTCTCCTGAAACTTTCTCCGATACCGATTTAGATTACGCCGTGGAAGTTTGTGAAGCTGTCAAAGAAGCCTGGGAACCAAGTGAATCAAAACCAATAATTTTCAATTTACCCGCAACTGTTGAAATGGCGACTCCAAATGTATATGCTGATCAAATTGAATATTTTGCCACTCATATCACCAACCGTGACACTGTATGTATTTCATTACATCCCCACAATGATCGTGGTTGTAGTGTTGCTGCTGCCGAATTGGGTCAATTAGCAGGTGCGGATAGAGTGGAAGGTTGTTTATTCGGAAATGGTGAACGTACAGGTAACGTTGACTTGGTCACTTTGGCGCTCAATTTGTATACTCAGGGTATTTCTCCAAAGCTTGATTTCTCCGATATAAATTCTGTGATTGATGTTGTGGAAAGATGTAATAAGATTCCTGTACACGCAAGAGCGCCTTATGGCGGGTCGCTTGTCGTTTGTGCCTTCAGCGGTTCACATCAAGATGCAATTAAGAAAGGATTTGCTGCTCACCAGCAAAAGAAAGAAAAATCTGGTGGAAAAGAAGTTCATTGGCAATTACCCTACTTACCTTTGGATCCAGAGGATATTGGAAGAACTTATGAAGCCATTATTAGGGTTAATTCTCAGTCTGGAAAGGGTGGTTCGGCTTGGGTTATTTTACGTAACTTAGAATTGGATTTACCAAGAGGGTTGCAGATTGCCTTTTCTAAAGTTGTCCAAGATCGTGCGGAGGTTAAAGGTCAAGAATTAACGAATGAAGAATTATGTGAGTTGTTTAAACAAGAATACTTTATCGACTATGAAGATTCTCCACCTCAAGATCAATACTACAAATTGGTGGACTATTCTATTTCAACGCCTAGCAAGGGCCAGAAAGAGATTCAGGCCGAATTGGAAGTGAACGGCAAGATCGTGAAGATTAGTGGACAAGGTAACGGTCAGCTTTCCGCTTTCAACAATGCAATTGCTAAATATTTGAACATTGAAATCGAAATTAAACATTATCACGAACACTCCCTTGGAGACGACTCCAATTCTCGTGCTGCAACATATATCGAAGTCTTATTAAAGAACAACAACATTGCAAGATGGGGTGTTGGTATTCATGAAGATGTTTCGCAAGCTTCGTTCTTATCTTTAGTTTCAGTTTTGAACGGCTTACAAAGAAACCAAAGCATTTAAGGCTCTTATTTATTATTTAACAAATACTTTTAAAGCAAGTTTATATAGTCTGTTTTGTGTATATTTGAACAAAAATTTAACAGTAGTATGCCTATGAATTTGTTTACTAGCATGTTTTTCGAATATGGGTGGGTCTGGGCTTAAGTGGAGCCCAGGCGTAGTAGTGGAGGAATTTTCGAACTAGTTTAATAATAGCCACCACATTTGAATATAAAATCTCCAATAAAGAAGCATAGGTTTACCAGGATTTTGAAGGGCCCTAAGTGATCGAAATATATGGAATATCAGCACTGAAATTTCGTCTAACAGATTAACTATGGGGAAGATTTGTACTTGAGAGAAATATGGTCTTTATAAGTTGCAGAAGAATACCAGAATGTGGGTGGTGGCTAAACTTTGACAGAATTACTGCAAAATATTCACATAAATTTCTGCGTATCTTCATAAACTTTGAGCCCCTCTTAAGGACATGAAATATCTTCCTAAACGTGGTGTTACACCATATACAAACTCTCCAGGATACTTTCTATTTAGATGGGGAGACTACATACCTAAACATGTTTGGTCAATTTGCTTTGTAAATACATACAAATTTCGACTGTTTTTTTGTCGGGCCAGGTGCCGTGGGTGCCGCTATTCACCCAATTGTCGCGACCAATGGTACGACACTTCAACAAACGGTAAAAAAAAATAAAAGAATGAACCAAAAAAACCATAAATCTACTAGAGATTAAGAAGTACCACACTCGTCGTCATGGAACAAAAGAGTCAAGCTAATATTGCAGATACATATAAGCAGCTCAACGAAGCAGAGAAGCAAGCAACAAACTTAGAGAAAATGTTGGATGAATTCGAAGCTAAGCTTGAAGCTATTCTTCAAGAAGCAGAACATATCAATGATCCACCAGCAGAGGATGCAGCAAAGGTCAACGGTAAAGGTAACTAAGATCCATAACTTTCCTTGTCTATATAGTTCCAGGATTTTCAAAGAAAGAGGATAAACTCTATGCAAAATAATTACTTATCACGCAACATTCTTAATAATTGACTTTTTGAAACGAATTCTGGTTCGTTGGTTTCTTCAAATGGATTCTGTGGGCACTTGGGATTAAATACCAAATAATCACCGTCGGTTGGTAGTACATGAAGTTCAGGTATAATCACCTTAGCTGCTTTGCCACCTTCCAACCACCATTTCAGCTTGTCAGAACTAGGTGCTGGTAGATTCCCGCTTTCCTCGTCATCTTCGAAAAGATACGTGACGTTGGAAGTAAGGATATTATTTATACCACCATACTTCTTTTTATAATTCTCATATAGTTCATTTGATAGCATTTCTTTAACAGATTGATTAATTAGCTTAACGGTAGCAGAAAACATCGCGAATACTGGGCGATGGTCAGAAAATATCAACTCTTCATCACAATAGTAAACTAATGGTTTGATAATATTCTTCCTTGACTGATATAGAATTCTATCGGTCCATGCAGGGATTCGCTGTTTCTCACCAGTATCATATTCCTTCGTCCCATTATCGAATTTATATGTGGGAGGGAATTGGATTTCCATTTCATCAAAGAATGGAAAAGTTGCACCATTTGCCATTTGTTTATTTAGTTGGTCAAATTCGAACAATTTATAAAATGCTTTTTGATGAATCAAAGGTCTCACTTGTTCATTAGGTAAACCGATACGATAATTGAAATCTCCTAACCAAATGACCGCATCATGATCTTTAATTCTTCTATTCTTGGAAAATTGTATTCCCTTTGCTAGAGTTTTGTAATTCTGATGTCTTTCTTCAACATTGCTTAACCCAGCAGCCAAATGAGATGAAACAAAGCAAAACGTATTATCAGCAAATTTGAAACTAACAGACACACCTCCCTTATTGGCAGCAACACCTCCTAACCCCGTCTTTTTGAATGAGCATTCTACATTTGAAATATGCTTTAGTTTGTCTTCCTTCACATACAATAGCAATGCTAGTCCACCCAATTGACCGCTCCACATAACTATATAACGACAATTTTCAGGATTCTTATCCGAGAGGCATTTCAATATTTTTCGTTCCCAAAGTGATTTATTTCGGAAATCAACATTCATCATTTGACCAGGATTCAATTCCACAATCTCTTGCAACCCAATCAATACCAAATCATAGCTCTGGCCCATTGGATACTTCTTTGGGAATAACCAGCCTTCAATGTCACCATCATATATTGATCCATTAACGTTAAATGTGGATGAGAAAATCGATATGTCCAAATAGGAAGTATATTCTTGTGTATATCTATTCAACTCGCGTGAAACGTAATCATGAATTGGATTGTGTAAACTTAAATTGATTTGATCTTGTAGCCTCCCCAACAACTTTAATATTGCAGTTTCCTTAGGTTTCGTATCAACAACGCTGCTGAGGTATTTTTTAGTAATATGGGATTTCATCGATGACGTGGTTGATCTGGCGCTTGAAGCTTGTAATTTGTCACTATTGGATATAAAATTGACGGTTAATTTAGAAATATATTCTTCGCTTTCACTCCATAACTGAGCATGTTTGCTGTAGACGTCACGGTCAAGACTTATGCCCATGTCACGAAATGCCAATTCAATAACTTCTTGACAGATCACTTTGGAGAGGAAATTTGCTTTACTTAAGCTGTCAAACGAATTTACGCGGAAGACTCCTAGTTGTTTGCCAATAAATGTTCCTTCTGATTGATCGTAAAACAAGGCCCCAAAGTTGATAATTGAATTAGATAACAATGAAATTATATCATACGGATTTTGGCCCGAATATCCTATTTTTTTCATGCGAGATGTTGTTATAGGGACGTGGGTGTATAGTAATTTATAATTAAATTCATCATTGTCATATAAATCTTCGCTTCTACTTTTATTGAAGTATTGGATTTGGTCGATATATGCAGAGCTCAAGATTCCCTTGTGGGACTTGGGATCTTCTGAGAGTGTATTCAATATATGAACATCTCCAAACTGCGAAGCCAAGTCATCAAAATGTCTAGTGAACGCATGTTGCGAAGCCTCAAATGATCTCGGGAATATGATTCGTTTTCCATTTTTAGCTGTTATTATACTCTTTTTGGTGAATGTACTTTCAGTTTCCCAATATATAGGTACATTCCCGCTTATAACAATATATGACAAACAAAATCTTTCAGTGTAAATGATGATTTCTGTTTCAACGTAATTTGAGACATATCCATTGCCATCACAGCCCCAATCCCCGAACAAGGGCCCCTCCTTCGCGCATGCTTGTTTTGATATAAGTGTCATCAATGCTTCTTCTTCTCCAATAGTTGTATTGACTGATTTGGCATACCCTCGGGCAATAATAATGAAAAACCCATTGGAGTCAATCTGTCGTTGCTCAAATTGAGAGAGTCTATTTCGAAATTCCATCAACTCTGACATCATAAATCCATTCCACTGAAATCTTTTAAAATAATGAGAATCAGCAATCAACTTGAACTCTGGATTATTGAAACCTGACGATACACCACGTTCTTGGATATTTGAAGTTACATCGAATTCGTGGGAATAAAAGAAGGCCCCACTTGACAATAGCTTTCTTACTGATCCAGCAGGATACTCGGAACCAGAACGTTCGCGATCTTGTCCATTATCATCATTGTCACCTATTAGATAATCAAATTCATCATTATTTAGACAATAAAATTCAGCTCCTGTTATTCTATAGATCTTTTCATTTATTGTAGGAGAAGCCACGAGTTCTTCATTTGTTATAAATCCAAGGTAAATTCCCCCTTTTACATTCAACAATCCTAAAAACCCCAGTAATTTAGATCTCCGGGGTGTAATATCACGGCAAGCTGTAAGGTCGAGATATTCCTTTTCTATAAACTCAACTACCACCTTATTACTATTACTATTGGTTTTGTTCTTATTGTGTGCGGATATTCGTTTCTTGAAACCTTTATCTTTATACTTTGGAAATGGATGTCGAATGATTAATGCATATGAATTGGACGTAATTATGAACGTTCTTGGCCTTTCATTTAAGTATAGTCTCATAACGATTAGAAGTGCTGTTATTAAGAGCTGGTGGATTAATTTATTTATGCTGTATTTTTTTTTTTGGAGGAGAATCATTCCTACTCGATTTTCTTAGTGCGAACATACATACAATTACATACCCTAAACTCGATTTAAAACTATAAGCAATTTATAAACTATAAACTAAAAATCAAGTTAAAGAATTGAAAAGATAAAAAGAGCATCCATTGGGTGGATGACTATCTGAAAATAGAATCAAGCCACCTTTTTTGTCTTAGTTTGTTTTAAATGACCTTCCGGAATCCAATTGACATCATAACTAGAACCACTTGGGGTACCACGACCAGAGGATACACCACTTGATGGAGACGCAGCTTTTCTTGCTTGAACAGGAGCAGTACCGCGAATATACTTCTTTCCCCAGATTTCATAACCAAGATACAATGCTCCAGCAGCTGAAGCAATTAAGATCAATTCAACAAGAATCAATCTTGGATCAAAAAGTGAAACAGGAGCATCAGCAACTGTAACCAATTGACCACGAACAGGGAGAACTTTGACAACGTCTTCGTGAGCAAAGAAAACAAAAGGAACCAATTCATAGTTTCCAGGAATTAAATTCACTCCGATAGTTTGCTCGAATCCAGAACTTTCACCCGAGGCAATAGCAAGTGGGCCGACTTTACCAGTAGTCAAATTAGTGATAATCTCACCAGTGATTGGGTTCTTGAATTGACCTGTGACACCAATAATATTGACTTCGGATTTTTCGTTATTTTGAACTTCATAAGCAATGGTTACGGTATCACCATTGAACCAATTGGCAACGTCAGAAGCACCGATTTCAGGTGATTCTCTAATTTGGAAATCAACGACAATATCAACAGGATGTTCTTCAGTCATTTCATAAGCTACAGCTGGACGAATTGCTGCAGTAGCAATCACAGCCAATGTGGAAAAGATAGTTGAAAACTTCATTTGGTTGGTGTTAATTGAATCTCACAGAGGGTATGTTTCCTTGTTGATATAATTGAAATGAAAATTGTCCAAAGGAGCCAAAAAAAAAAAAATGAACAACTCAGATCCTTTGTTGAAAGTGCGGCGAAAAAATTTGACACTATAATGTCACGTGATCCCATATGACTTCATTTTTTTTCCAATTTGTTTTGTAAGAAGATATCTTCCCTAGATAGAAGGTAGGCAGTAGATCAACTATGATATTGAGGAAGATCATCAATGCTCGAAATAAGAGCATTGTAAGATATTATCTGAATGTTTTCCCCGACATCGCTTCACAAGAAAATGGTTATGAAACAGCTAAGAACATCTCAGAGGTTGAGCTGCAGAGGTACAAACGAAGGCTCGATGAATTGGAAAGCAATAGAGAGACAGCTAAAAGTTATCTAAAGCATCATAAGAAGGTTCTAGAAATAGCTAATAGTCGTGACAATCTAACTTCATTACTTAAGCGAACAAGCAATCATCGATCCTTACTGAACCCGGTATTATTGTCATCACATGAAGAACTAGTAGATACCTGCGGTGGGAGCCTCTCTTATGCTGAACCAGAAATCAAAAGTACAATCATGCTAGTGTGTCATTCATTACTTGAAGCGCTCTTGGTGGAACATAGATTGCATGCAGAAGATTTTTCCAGATTTGAATCCTTGGTCAATCAAGTAAAGAAGTCTGATTGGTTTAATTCTTTGCCTGAATATAGGGTCAATTTTACTTATTACAAATCGGGTCAATACTTGAACTATTGGGAGTCAGATGTGACTCCAAGTACTGCTAATTATGATTATATTCGGTTCAACCTGGAGAGAAAAGATTCGACTGAGTATATTGACAAGTTTGAATTAGCATTTAAAAGGTTTGAAAATCATAATAGGTTTGAAAATCATAATGCTGATGCCGTCCTTGTTTTGGAAATAGTTGGAATATTACTCACCTGCAACACATACACCCCTACTCCCCAGATTTGGAGTAATTTACTTTCACAATTCCATAAGTTCGATCTATTGAACTACGAATCATTAGTATATCTCTCATTGCCGCAATATAAACACCAACCTACCGTCCTAGCTTCTTCCGATTCGGTAACTGCCCCATTAATGGCTGATCATTTTATTCATCTCGTCCATTCAGATCCAAATATTCTAGCAAGTCTCTGTGAATATCAAGTCCCCAGAGCGGATCGACGGATGCTAGTTGAGCTTCTCATGTTTCTTCAACTAGATAAATTAGTTGATCAAATCCGAAATATCCGGTTTCCTTTGCTTATGAAATCGAAATCAAACATCCTGGCTGAGGAACTCCCACCAAGTATAAAGCTTGAAAAGAAATTAAGTATAACAAGAGAATGCATGTATACCATAATGAAGGCATGTCTTTCGCTCCGAATGTTTGATTACATTGATATTTTATTTAATAAAATTGTCATGCATTCTAGTGACAATAATACCATCGAATTAAATCCTTCCGAGAATCATGATATCAATGAAGTCTTCATTGATGAAGAATTATTCATGATATTATTTGATCAAAGTGTTCAGACTCGAGATTTGGGAAGGGTTATGTGGATTCTACAGTTCTTGGATGAATACATTGTTACAAAGAGTCCACTGGAAGATTTCAGAAAGGCAATTCTTGACTTTTTGAAAGAATTTGAAATAGAAGGGAGGGTGGCTCGCTATCAACAGATATTTGAATCCTCTTGTAAATAAACATGTAAATAGTCAAAATAGAAGAATCCATGCAAAGTTCGGTAACGATTAACTACAGTTTCTACACAACTTTATAATATGACAAAATTATATTCGTTTCATCATCTAAATACAAAAGCTAAAAAGAAATACTAACTGGAAAAACTGACGAAGTGCTGTAGCTTCTTACAATAATTTAGTGATCTTACCAATTGCAATGGTGGTACCTTGATCTCTTAAAGTGAATCTACCCAATTGAGGATAATCGTGGTAAGTTTCGGCACAAACTAGTTCATTCACTTCCAAGACAGCGATGATCTTCATACCCTTCTTGGCAAATGCAGGCGGTTTCTTTGATTTTCTATTTGTCCCCTTTTCCAATTTATGTTTCAATTCAACAAACTTGACTTCTTCGATGGCTGTATGCAAGTGCATGACACAAGAGAACCCGTTTGATAAAATGGATTTCAATTCGACAATAGCAATCTGAGCTTCAAACTTGGTCACAGTTTTAACTGGGAACTTTGGAGAAGTCAAAACGTAACCCGGCTGTAAGTCTTCTTCTTCAACCCCCTTTAATCTTAATCTAACTTGTTCACCACAGTATGCACTTTCACATTCTTGTTCTGTTTCGTTGTAGACGGTCAAAACTTCAACATTAGTCTTATTAGGCATTAATAATAAATGTCCACCTTTCTTGATATGTCCAGATTCAATCTTACCTTCAACAACAGTACCCATATCCTTCATCTTACCAGAAACTGGCATCATAAATGGACCATTGATCTTACGATTGACAGTTTCCATGTTGTCCAAATATTCTAATAATGCAGGACCAGTGTACCATGGACATACGTCGCCAACTCTATCCTTCAAACCAGCACCAGTATATCCCGAGACTGGCATAGCAACAATGTCATCTTTGTTGTATCCAATACCTTTCAAGAAAGTGGCTAATTTAGTGGTACATTCATTATAACGTTCTTCAGACCAGTTGACAGTTGGGTCATCCATCTTGTTGACAACAATGACGATCTTGTTAACACCTTGAGTCTTTGCCAATAATGCATGTTCTCTAGTTTGACCACCTTTTTCAAAACCGGTTTCATATTCACCCTTTCTAGCAGAGATGACTAAAATACCAACATCAGCTTGAGAAGCACCACCAATCATTTCTGAGACATACATCTTGTGTCCTGGGGCATCCAAAATGGTATATCTTCTCTTTTCAGTTTCGAAATAAGCTTTACCAACTTCAATAGTCTTACCATCACTTCTTTCTTCCTTATTAGTATCCATAACCCATGATAAATACCAACCTTGTCTACCAGCATCTTTTGCTTCACGTTCATACTTATCAACAGTACGTTTATCAACAGAACCAGTTAAGTAAAGAATATTACCTCCCATGGTGGACTTACCAGCATCGACATGACCCATAAAAATAATGGAAACATGATCTTTACCCCCAAACATATCCTTAACGACTTCTTCATCAACTTCATCTTCTTGTTCACGTGCAAGTGAGTCAGAAGATTGGAGAACAGCAGGGCTGCCTTCCTTCACTGAAGGAGTTGCTGAAATACGTACCGATGAAGGAGTTGCAGCTGGAGCTGGAGAAGCAACCGGCTCCGGAGTGGACACTGGAGCAGCTTCTGTCTTTTGTTCGACGGCAGGGGTTTGTGGGGCTGCTTCCTTTTTTTCTTGTTTGGCTGGCTCTGGAGCAGGTGATGCTTCTTCCTTAGGAGTTTCCTCCTTTGGTGCTTCCTTCTTGGTTGCATTTGCCAATTTGATTCCTGAGGATGGGGCCAATTTGAGAGTTCTTTTTGGTTTATTCAAGGATGATTGTTGCGATGCCTTTTGCTTTTCAAAGTCAGCTAATGACATTCCTTGTGGTTGCTGTTGTTGTTGAGGTTGTTGCTGTTGCTGGTCATATTGTTGATAGCCACCTCTGTTGCTGTATTGTTGGTAGCCGCCTCTATTGTTATATTGTTGATATCCCCCTCTAGTGTTTTGTTGATAGCCACCTCTAGTGTTTTGTTGATAACCTCCTCCTCCGTTATAATTCTGCTGGTAACCACCTTGCTGATATTGATTATAGTTTTGTTGGTACCCACCTTGTTGGTATTGATTATAGTTTGGTTGATATCCGCCTTGTTGGTATTGATTGTAGGATTGTTGGAATCCACCTTGAGGAACGAATGCTTGTGCATTGTTTGGATTATAGTAGTTTTGTTGTTGTTGTTGTTGTTGTTGGGATTGATCTGGCTGATTCCCAATAGACGCCTGTTCGAAGTCTTGAGCCAATTTGTCTTGATTATATGGTTGGTCAGACATTATGTTTAGGTGTAATTGACGATGGGTGATGTGAAGTTTTCAGAAATACACTTGAAAATTTTTTTTCTTATTTCTTTGACTTTTTTTTTTTAATTTTAATTTCGGTTTTTTTGACAACAGGAAAAATTATGCGAAGACCACCATCAATTCCGGTAAGATCACGTGGTATAACACACCGTAAGTGCACAATACAATAATTTTTCCGAGAAAAAATGTGACACAAAAAAACGGAATTTCACCCTTGATCTACACCCTAAATTTCTGACAACTGATACACTCTTTTATAGGGGGGATCTTACTCTAAAACTATTATAAGCAATGCCAATCTTCGGTGAACATCGCTGCACTTCGATTACAATTAAAATCAATCAATTGGCGGAACCCAATAGAAATGATGAAGTTGATGATTCAATTGAACTTTACTTATCTGATCTACTTGATTTAATTCAAATCCAACCTTCTGGTGGAGCGTCAGAAGCTGCTAGAGCAATTCGTAAGAAAATTAAATATGGGGAATCAATAAATGAGCAAATGAGAGCATTGAAGATTTTAGAATTATTAATATTGAATTCCGGTCCTAAGATTGGACCTGTCATTGCCCGAGACGATAAGTTACTAGATGTATTGAAGGGTGTTATTACTGGCAATGGTAAGACTGGTTCTGGAGTACCATACGACCCTAAAGTACAGAAAGTTGTCAGACAGATGGCACTTGGATGGAAGGGCGAATTGGCTGACATGGAAGGATATAAATACATGCAATCATTATATAAATGGGTTCCTCGCAATAAAGGTCATAGGAGAGATCAATCACGAGGTGACTATAGCGAACATAATGACAGTGAACAAAACGATGAGAACCAACCGCACGCATTTGACGATTCTTATCAGGAGAATCTTAGATCTCCAGAAAGATCGAGCCCAAGGTCTCCACCACCCCCTCGCCCTCGTACGCCAACTCGTTCTCGTTTAAATAAGAACCCATCGAGTGGAACTTCAGATGACAAGAGCAAAAAGAAAAAAAAGAAGAAGAAGTCGGGAACCAAATATGCAGATGAGGAGTTCGAAATTCCTCAGATCAATTATAAAGTGGAAGCTCCTAAAATTAGAGAACTTATTGCAAGTTGTTACACCCATTCAACCACTTTGAGCAACCAATTATTGCAATTGCCATCTGGTACATCACCATTAGATGATGACAAGATTCTTTCTGAATTTCAGAAATGTAAGAAAATTAGACGTAAGGTTTTGAATTATTTGCAATTTGTGGGTGCCGGTCAGGCAAGTGCAAAATCATCAGAAGTTGCGGCTTTAGATGAAGAGTTTTTAGGTAGTTTAATTAGTGCCAACGAGCAATTGGTTGAGGTGTTTCAAAAATTCAATTTTAAAGCGGGATACACACAAGCCAATCCTGCACCAAACTATGATGAAGAATCTGACAGTGGCGAGAGTTATTATACCGAATCAGACGAAGAGGAAGAAGAAGAAGAAGAAGAAGAAATTGAGCAAAGATTAAATGATGTTCGGATTGGTAAGAAGTCACCACCACCACCTCGTCCTCATAAACCCATGGCACTTAATCAAGCCTTTACCAAGAATTCCGCCAAAAATTCTGATACTCAGTCAATTGAAGGAGATCCATTTGGAGATACAAATGCCCTTGCCGGAAACCGTTCTTTTTATGATTAGGCGAATTGTCTCGTTTACTTCTAGCTCATAGAGTTTTTCTCTGGTGGGTTATATGTATTAAGTCTTTTATTTAGTCTAAGTATTATTATTCATTCTTTTTCTTAATCTTCCTCTTAATACTACTTATGCTATAATATGCGACTCCACCAAACACGGCAATTGTTCCAATTATAGTCTGTTTGGAAAAGTCATTGTCATACCATAGTATACTAATAATTAAACTGATAAACTTTCTTACCAACAATACAATGCTTACAGTTAATGCACTAGTTCTTCCAGCTAACATATTCACCCCTTTTATGCACATGAATTGGGTGAAAACATTTATAATTAAATTCACGAGTTGTTTTGATAATATCAATCCAGGGAATAATTGAATTGTCTGATTCTTATCATATAAGATTATTAAAAATTCCTGGTAAATAGTCTTTGAAACAACAAGAAATAATGGCAATGATAATAGATGACTATAAAATAAACCTTCCTGCCATTGATTTCCATACGCTTGATATAAATCTTCATTATAAAGTCCCATGAATGCTCCTAAAATACAAGCAACGAATAACATTGCTATTCCTAATATAAAGTTGGCATCTACTTCTAAGGAGATTTCTGATCCTTCCTTCTTGGCACCTTGGGGGATAGTCGCTAAAATTGTCCCTAAACTTATTATAATGGACGACATAATTTGATGATAATTATAAGTCTTTCCTCCGAAAAGGTAACCTACAATCATTGTTACAACGGTACCACTAGATCTAAAAACAATATGTAATGGAATACTAATATTGTATTTCCATACCAAATTGTTCAATAGAGAATTAATAAAATATAATGTTACTGGTATAATCCATTTCCATATTGGAATCTTTGAATGTTTTAAATATAATCTTTTCCAATTGGAATTCTTAAAATCTGAATTTGGAAAATATGATAAAATTGTTACCACTAAGAATTGACCAAATGTTATTGTTGATCCTAAAGAATATGACAGTTGATTATTAGTTATTAAATTCTCTAGAACAAATACATTAGCGCAACAACCACCAAATACTTGATAACAAATTGTTATCCAATCTGATATAGAAATATATGCAAATCCTTCCATTTTGTTCTAAACTTGCTTTAACTTTAAAACTTCTTCTTCCTTTTCCCTTAATTAATTAAAATACTTAAGCTCCCCCCGGGAGATCAACCTTTTTTTGCTTCAGATGGTACGACAATTAGAACGAAAGAAAGTAATTAGTTTAATCCCCTTGTTTCCTTAATTTATTTTTTCTCATTATTCTTTTCTCTTCTTCCCCTTACTTGTGAAAAAAAAAAAAGATTATATAATCGCTTAAACTTGTAAAGCTAATAATACAAGTAAATTCATGTTAAAGTAAATCTCATTATCAATCGACTTCCATATTTCCCATTATTCATTTAAAATTATTACTAGCTTCCATTGAAATATTAATTAAATTTATTAATTGAAGTATTTTTTCAAAATTGACATGAATCCAACAAGAGCCTCCAATGACCCAAACCCCAATAGCCAGGTAAGACGACCTACAACTGCTGCCAAATATAAAAAATTCCAACCAAATTTCACCGATTCAAATCCACCATTACCTCCTATTGAAGCATTTCAACTAGATACTGTATTAAAGAATGTCTTACAATCAGAATCTCAACAAGTAGTTGATAATCTACTAAATGTCACTACCAATTATCAGAATGATTTAAGATTGGGAATAAAACATAACCTATCGGTTGAACAAAGAATCCAATTTAAGAACATAGAAGTAGCTAAGTTGGCGAATTCATTAAGCAAAACCATTAAACATCGACGAAAAAGATTGAAAAAAGCGGTGTACAATTCAAGAAATGACACTGTTGATTCAAATATGATAGATTCGGAAGTTAATCGACTTTTGAAATGTACAATCACCGCTGGTAGTAAGATTAATAATTTAATAGACAGATTATCTACTATAGACAAGAAGTTGCACGCAGATGGTGATCGCTTATCCACCAGAAATAACACAAAAATGTCAATATACCCCAACGTTTACAAGCTTCTTCAACTAAAACAATCAGAACCATCGGGAGTTTCTGTCAGCACGTCTAATGAAGATCAACTTGATGGAATCAATGAGGATTACTTTGACAATGTCGAAGTAAATTTCCCTATAAATGGTATAGACAACTCTCCAAACCCGGAAAGGTTACCCACACCCCCTATCAATGGCAGGGCCCCAATACCAATCAACTTGGATAAAACAAATATGACGGAGCATTTACCTCACACTCCTGATCTGTTCTCCGAGAATGTAACTGAAAATGAAACCGAGAGTTTTTCAGGCATTGACCGAGAACTGGAAATACTGCCGAAGCAACAAACAGAAGATGACGTAGCCACAAGGGAAGAGCAAAGCGGACCAGCGACAGCAACAACAAGGGAAGAAGAAGAAGAGGAAATGGATCCCGAATCATTCGAAACATTTATGTCGGATAGCATTTCACAATATAGAAAATTACAATCACAAAAGCATCGAATCCAACAATCATTCGATGCCATATATGACGATAAAGAGTCGAATATCCCAATTAAAGAAAGAAGCAACCCCTTGAATTTGCTTTATTCCCAATTGCTTTCAAATCCAAAATACCGAGATTCTGCTCCATTTCGAGATTCCAGTTGGCCATTCTCGAATATATTGACTATGAAATCGCAAGCCACCATTAAACTGACGTTGCAGACATCTCATTTCAAAAAGCTACGAATCAATGGGGCTCCAATAACGTCCGAAAGTTTCAGGAATGCCAGTAAAAGTAAATGTGCTTGTAAAACCGACCTGGAACATGAGGAGCATGAACATTCCGCGGCACGGAAAATTATTGCTGAGTCATTATTAGAGAATTTGCGATTGAGTAGTGACGATGATTCTGTTTGGAATTCATCTGGGTTAAACACCGAGGATGATGAACATGATGATGAGCATGATGAAGATTCAGTTGATTTGGATCAAATATTAGGTTCAGATTCTTCTGAATCAGATTCATCAAATGATGATGAATTGGGTCATACTAATAAGAATATATTGAATACTAATCAATATTATTCAAATTTGAAATCAAACTTACAACAGAAGAAAAAGAAGATACTTTTGAAAAAGAGAAAACTCAATGGTAATCATCATAAATCAGCTAGAATAAGTCATCCAAAGGATTTTTCTCCCACTCCAAAGCATAAACCATCACATCATATTTTAAAACCAAAAAGATCGATTTTGAAAAGTAAACAGTCCTTCAAGTTTTCAAAAGAAAACTCTCCTTATAGAAAAGCAGGAATGGTAACTGATAAATTTGATGAGAAAGTATCCAATGAAAGATGTGCCCTTTCGGCAGTCAATAATGCATTTTCATCAAAGATCAATAATGAAGTTTCGGATTTCAATGTTCAAGGTACCATATTACCCATAGACGATCCGGAGGTTGAAGATTATAGTGCTGATCTATCTGAAGGTGAGAATCCTATTGATGATCAAAGTGATCGTCATAGTGTACACAGTACAAGATCGATTTCGATATTAAAAACGTATATTCTGTAACAAAAGTATTAAATTAATTTCGAATTAAAAAGAAAATAGACCCATTTAACCTTATGTAAGTCATAAAATGTAGTTTGCCATGCGCTAACTTGTTGATTCTCAAATTTCTCTTAAAATAGCCAGACCCAGAAAAACCATAAAAATACAATTAAAAATACCAATAACCACATACGCCATGTTATACCTGCTTTTTTACTCATATCTATCATATTATTATAAGTATTTTTCAAAGTAACTTTACCTCTTTCAAAATTATTAGTTATGTCTTCATTTAGTTTTACCGATTTATTAATTTCAACACCCATTTTTACACCTAAATTCTTTAGCATCGCCACTTTTTGTCCTATAGTATCCATTTCATCTTCATTTTGAGATTCTAATGTCAGCATCATTGATTCTTGATGTTTTGCTGATGGTTGAGGTGTTGGGTCATATGGAGAGGCTGTCCTATGAGGCACTCTTCTAATTCCTTGTGGGGTTGTGAATAGTTGGGTTCTTAAATCTCGTTGCAGCGAATCCATAGCAGAATATCTTGAACTCATTGTGATTTGAAAAACTAGTTGATTGGGTGTTCTTTTGGTGTAGTTGTATTTGAAGGGATAATATATTAAGATTTCTTTTTCTTAAACATTTTTGACGCAGGGCTAGAATTATAAATAGAATAAAAAATAGAATATGAAATTTAATTGATTAGTAAAAGAGCCAACCATTAGAAATGAATGAAAATGATTTGAATATTCAACAAAAGCAGGATGTTCCCAAATCGCTTGAAAACGTCAAACATATTATCCTAATCCTATCAGGGAAAGGAGGTGTTGGTAAATCATCAGTCACCACCCAAACTGCACTAACATTGACTAACAAAGGATTCAATGTTGGAGTTTTAGATATTGACTTAACAGGACCTTCATTACCTCGAATGTTTGGTGTTGAAAAGAAACAAGTTCATCAATCTACGCAAGGCTGGATTCCTGTTTCTGTATACAATAATCAATCTGATGCTAATAGAGGTACTTTGTCATTAATGTCATTAGGTTTCTTACTTGGTAATAGAGGGAATTCCGTCGTATGGAGAGGTCCTAAAAAGACTGCAATGATAAGACAATTCTTGAAGGATGTAGTATGGGGTGATAAGAATAAGCGATTAGATTATTTATTGATTGATACACCACCAGGAACATCCGATGAACATATCGCAATTGCAGAAGAATTACGATGGTCTCAACCTTTGGATGGGGCAATTATTGTGACTACACCACAACTGGTTGCAACTGCAGATGTTCGGAAAGAAATTAACTTTTGTAAGAAGGTTAATTTTGATATCTTGGGAATAGTGGAAAACATGTCAGGATTCATATGTCCACATTGTTCTGAATGTACAAATATATTTCTGAGTGGTGGAGGGAAATTATTAAGTGAAAAATTGGATTTACCATTTCTAGGGAATGTACCTATTGATCCTCATTTTGTAGAATTGATAGAAATGCAAGATAATGAAGATGTACAAGGAAAGAAGAAATTAATCGAGTTGTATGATGATTGCGAATTAAAACCAATAATGAACGATATCATAGACAAAATACTAGAAAGAAACCTACCTTCAAGAATATAAGATAAACACTATGTTACAATTAATAGAAACTCTATAAAAAACAATATTTAATTAATACCATTTGCCTTTTTCCATTTTTGAATCCTTCTTTTAAGATCACCGGCAGTTTGTTGATAAATGTTTAATTTCTTATCCCATTTCATCTTTTCATAATCATCTCCGTATTTTTCATATAAACTCTTTAACCAGTCACTTTCTCGTTGAGAAAGATGTCTTTCTTTCTTAATTTGACTATTCTTTTGAGCATATTCTTCCAATTGTTTAATCACAGAAGTGTTTTCAACTTCAGCATCTTGGTCTTTCCTAATCACTTTCATAGTCCCATGAATAACTTTTATAACTTCATTTGTTTCAGGATCTCTAATTATTCTAGCTTCACCTTCAGGAATCTTGGCCGGATCATCAGTTTGTTCAATATCAGACACACTAGGAATCTTATTATTGTCTTCATTCTCACGTCTAGCTTTTATTTCTGTCAAACTTTCTACTTTCTTTTCTACACCACCAGCTAAGCTCCCTAACTTTGCTCTTAATCCTAAACGTTTATAATTTTGTTGTAAAGTTAAAGATTTATCCCAATTCGCAGCAATGATAGGATTTGAATGAATATTGATGTTTCGTTGTTTATCTTTCACTCTTCTTGTGTTTTTCCTCACAGAGGAACGAGCCATCTTTCTCTTTCTTACAGAAGTCATCTTGGATATTTACTTGCTATTATTTGGTTTCGTTTTAGGTCCTTGATTTGAAATTAATCTGATATTGGTACTGATATATTTTTTTTTTTAAAAGAGAAGAGAGAGATGAGGCCGAAAAGAAAGTTGGGCTACCATGTATTTCTTTTTTTGAAATCACGTGATCGCTTATCTAAATTCCAGCTGACACTTGTNGAAAGTTGGGCTACCATGTATTTCTTTTTTTGAAATCACGTGATCGCTTATCTAAATTCCAGCTGACACTTGTTCTGTTTGGAGGAGTAATTGAACAGCTCAGTCATACAAATGAGAGAACTACTCGGGTATACAGACTTAGTAAGAGCTTCCGGCGATCTAAATATGCCTACATTTGACAAACTATAGATAGATATATAAACTGAATTATCTTACTTACAGTGAGCACGTTGCCAAGGTAGGGTATAAAATAAGTTGCAAAACTTCACACAAAACAGGTAGTAGCCTTACCAACATACTGCCACTTGAAATAGCCTAACAAGAGCATGATCTAATCTTCTTTGGCAGGCGCAGGTGCTTCACCTCCTTCGTTTGTTTCATCTTCATTCTTAGCACCACCTCTGGAACTTTCACCTCTACCTCTACCGCCTCGACCTCTACCTCTACCACCTCTACCTCTACCGCCTCGACCTCTACCTCTACCACCTCGACCTCCTCCTCTCTGTCTAAATCCTGGTAAATTAGTCCTCTTTGTTGTAACTCTTAATTCCCTACCTCTAAATGTTTTCCCATTCAATTGTTCGATGGCTTGTTGTACACTTTCAGATTTTTCAAATTCAACATAGGCATACCCTTTGGGTAATCCCGTGAATCTATCAAATAAGATTGTAACACGTTCAATTATTCCTACTTCATGAAAAAATTCTTCAATTTGTTCCGGGGTGGATTGAAAATCGACATTACCGACATAGATTGAACGAGAATCAATCTCTTCTTGTTTTGCCAAACGTTCGGCTCTTTCTTCTTCAGTTTCAGGAACTCTTTTTGGTTTTTCTTCCACTGGGGCTTGATCTTTTTCGGTGTCGGACATTGTCAACAAAAGGTGTTATTTCTAAAAGGGGGGGGTGGGGGGTTAATGAGGGTATTAGTGGAGTTCGACAATTCAATTACAAGAGGGATTATCTTCTTCAATTGATTCAAGGATAGAAAAGAATGTAATTCAATTAATATATCAAAAGAAATCCTTTAACAAATTTGAAAATTCTTTGTTGGTGTTTTGGATTTAATTTAATCCAAAAAAAAGATTATTGGTCAGTGAGTTTTTCGTATTTCTTGGTAGTTAAGAATTGAAACTTTCTATAAAAAATCATTATCTTATATCTGTATTTACTTCTGTTTTACCGGATTATGCTTCTACAAACGCTCTATATGTAGTGAATTCTTGATCTTGAGATTCAGAAACTAATTCAATTTCCACTCCAGGTGCGACAAAATATACGAAACCAGTTTGAACCTTTTGAAGAGATGATTCATCACCTTTAATTTGAATTGATCCAGAACCACTGGTTGCAATTATAATAGATGGACCTTGGAAACCATCAAAAGTTTGTTTTTGACCGACTTGCTTATCAAAAATGGTTTGTAAAACAGAAAATTCTGCAATTGGTGGGTCATAAAGAACAGATTTTTCAGCATCACCTCTAGATCTTGAGAATTCTTGTAATGGCATCTTTTGTTTTTCAACTGAATCATAAGAATATGTTAACATTTCTACTAAGTTCTTAACATCCTTAAATTTAGGGGTAAACCCTGCTCTTACAACATTGTCAGATGCAGCCATACATTCAATAATATCACCACTGATATAAGCATGAGGATCTTTAGCTTGTAAGAACATGGCTTCACCTTTATTGAGGGCCACGTGATTCAACAAAAGACAACCACAGAATAAACCAATATCATTTGGGAATTGCTTATTTAATCTTTGAATTAATTCAGGTAATCTAGAATCAATACTCTTGAACAATTCTGGGTTCAGCTCGGTTCTTTTGACCAATTCTTGTGCTTTCTTATTAATAATAGATTCTTCAGTATTCATTAATTTACCAAAGATTTTTTGCAATAGTTTTCTATTATTTATATCTTCATTAGAACCTAATTCTGCATTAGGTTTTATTCCTTGAGAAAATTCTTGTACCAAGTCTTCCCCAATGATTTCATTCAATTCTGGAATAGTTTGTAATGTGGTTGACAATTGATCTAAAGGTTTGAAACCACAGAAACCTTCGAAATCTGTAACAGCAATTGCCATTTCTGGTTTATGATTATCATCTGGATAATTCTTTGGATCGCTTGCATGTAACTGTGCTCCTAATTGTTTATCAGGGTGAGCTTGGATAGATAAAACCTTTTCAATGGATAAAACTTTAAAAAGGAATGGTAATTCCTTTGAAGAACCAAATTTATCAATAATTGACTTCGATAAGTAATGTTCAGGATTAGAAGTTACTAAATCACGAAGAGTTTTCTTACCTGGTAAATCAACAGCTATTGAAGGAACTGAAGGATGAGTACCCATCCATAATTCGGCATATGGTTTAGATTCATCAATCTTTACTGAAGGGTCCGAGCTTGCTGCGAATTGTGCAACAGCTGACGTTGAGCCAATTTTCCCCCAATCGTAGTTTTGATATCCACAATTAATTCTAAACAATTTTTCAGACATTTTGTATTTAGTTTTGCTTTTTCTCTAATGAATAAATGAATTGAATAAATGAAATAAATTCAAGTGGAGGGGGGGAGATGGAAAAGGAGGTTAATTAAATAATCTCGGAGATTTTCTTAAACAGCAATGTAACCGAAAAAGTGAAATTTGATGAGATAAAATAAAATATTTTTTTTCCTGTATTTAAATTAATTACAACAACAACAACAATAGGACACGTACACCACGCAACACGCGTTATTTTTAACAACAAAGAACACCCACTACAAACAATTACTATCAATTCAATTTCAAGTTTTGGGGAAGCAAATTACAAAGGTGGAACTCGCGTTATGTCCTATCTAATAATTAATTAAATTGTTCTGTAGAAACACTGTAGATAATGAATGGAGTGGCCCACGTTGAAATATGTCCCCTGAGTACTTCAAACGTCACTCTAAAATTTATACATCCACATCATGCAAGCAATCAGGTACAAAATACCGACTTAAGCATCTATCTAAAAGTGGTATTGACAAAAGATTGACAATTTTAAGGGTCCACTTGAAAGTTAGTAACGTTTCTGCGAAAATTTTATGATTTTTTTTGCAACCATTCTGAATAAAATTGAAGGCAGGGGCTCAGATAATATTATGAAATAGAAATAAGACTTTAGCATGTAACTGAATGAAGAAATATACATACGAAGGACTACATTAGTGAACTAATCAGTAGCTTGGCTTAGTCTATTTGTGTAAACAGATAAAGTTTGTAAATTCCCAAGTAAAGAGAATTGCAAAATTCATTCTTCATCATTTTGGAAGGAGTACATATTTCTTAGCTAAGCATTTGAGGTCTTTGTTTAACTTTAGTACTTGTATACAATTTCCTTCGTTGAAACCATTCTCTAACTCTTGTACTGAGGAAAGTGGTACACGTGATATTTGTCGCAAATATTGCGACACTCTCTACGACAAGTGTGAATATTTCTTTTTTATGGCGGATTCTGTTCATCTTTCCGTCAGGCGCTACCAGAAAAGATTTACAACCATGTTCTATTCCAAACCTGCCCCAGTCCAAAATGGACCAACTAAGGTCGATTGTCACGGAAACTCCAGAAAACTCTCTAAATGGGAAAAACGACAAAGATTTCCCTTATTGTAATTTTGGGTGTGGAAGGATCTGTTGCAGTAAAAATACTGGAAAAGATTGGTCCTAGAATCGATTTTATTTTGAAGTAAAACACGATCAAATATAAGAATGTCAACGTTTCAATCATAGTTTTATTGTCAATTTGGAATAATTCAATCTTGGTCAAAATCTAACAGGTTTTGGCATAGTTCATTTGTTGATATCCAGGACATGGGTCGAACATTAGATCTTAAAATAACAAAAAAAAAAGACAATTTTGCGGTGCAAGATCTAACTAACTGTGCCAAATGGCCGCAAACTGCTTCAAAAAATCTTACCGAGTTGGGCGGTCGCATCACGGCACGTGCAAATCATGTGACATAATGCACGTGATATAAATAGTACAAAACCGGATGCACGTGAAAGTCACGCTAAAGTCATGTGAATTTTGTCATGTGATCATAATCTAATTTGACGTCAAAT